AGCTCACTCACCTTTTCCACAGGGCGTTGGGAAGGGTGAAAGAGTAACTTTCGCTTTTTCCTGTATAATGATCAGGTCATCATTCCAAAACGAGAATATCCGATTTGGTCGAAATTTCCTCAAAATCTGACAAGAATTGAAAAACTTAAAGAGCGAATAATTTGGCAAAATTTTTTGGTGGCCGGTTTTTTTTCCGGTGAGTGTATGTTTCAAATTTACATCTTTTCAATTTATCATGGTGAACACAGTCCACAACATATATCTTTCCGTTCTCTTTGGTAAATCACCTTGTACATTTCAATTCCACTTAATTCTCATTCCGACAGACCTCTGTATTATCAAATAAAAATTGAAGTTTTTTATTCCAACTCTCCCATTTGATATTACTTATTTGATAGTTCCAAATCAAGAGACGCACCCAGTACACAAAGTTTCAAGCTATCAGACAAGTGAATATGTTTCGAAATCAGTTGACAAAATTCAACCCTAACGGAGGAATGTCCAAAAATAGTTTATAGTTAGTGATAGTGTCCACCAACCTGACACTTGTGGAGTGCTATTCGACGACCCATACCCATCATCCATAGTCAAAGTTGGCGTCACATGGACATTAGACTTCTTGTTACCATTCTGATTCATCATTTTCTCTTCAACGCCTGCTTTGATAGTCTCAGTGCTCCCAAACTCCTCGCTGGAAGCACCCCTTTTGCTTTCCGGATCCTTCTTGTTCATGTCTGAGAAACTTTTCGACGGTTTCTTGCCGAACAAGTTCTTCGCAGTCAGTTGGATATCAAGCGAACTTTTGCGCTTCTTCTCTCTCGAAGGTCCCGAGTTTTCGTTACCTTTCGTCAGTTGTTTCAGCGGAAAGTTGTCGAAGAAGCTCGATGACATGTTGCACAGCACACTATTCGAACAGCATTTTGAAAGAGAGTTTTTCGCAGTTGGCGGCGAGTTGGTTCATGAATTTGCGGAGTTCCGGTTACTGGACTATGTGATTTTAGATTTGGCTGCCGGAGGGATGAGATGCTGATGACAAACTAAGCCGCGATTCGCTCTCCCGATTAGATCGGTGGAGGAATTGACAGGATTCTATTGGAGTTGGACGGACGACAGACGCTGTCCTCTTCTAGTCCATTGTGATCCTTTTTCGGCTGTTTCGAGATAATTGACGCGCGAGTCTGGCCGCACTTCAGGTGTGATGATTTCACAATTCACTCGAAATTTAATTAAATTTAATTAAAAAAGAATGGAATTCGATTATAAAAAATAAGGATTTAGAAATAACGACATTTATCCTCCCTACGCCACTGTTTATGTTCTGGATATATATTGTTAGGGAAATAAAGTATGACCAAGATATAATAGTAGGAGAACCGGCTGCAAATTCCGACCGTCTGCTGATAACGAAAAGTTATATGTTCCAAAGGCATGTGAAAACATTGAATTTTATCGAACTGCACCTGTGCCAATCACTATCCTGAAAAAAATGATTGAAAAAAGGCACTTTCCTGTGCGGTTATTTGCACTCATTTCGCGATTTGATAACGAGATGAGACCAATCCCACTATATAAGCAAATTTGAAAGCTATATGTTGATGCAAGTTTGTAGCAATTACTGAAACTGATATTCAGCAATATTGCGAATGTAAATTTGTAGATGTAACGTTCCAGCAATGTCACAGCAACATGTTATATTGCTGCAATGCTACATTATCAAACTTCACCTCTGCAATATTGCTGAACGTTCGCTTGAGTTATTATTGCTTCAACATACGCAGATTATTGCCCTAATGACGTGATACTGATTCAGAATGATCTGGACAGTCTGACTGATTTCCACATTACTTCCAGTAGAAATTCAATTCTAATACCAACCTCGTTATAAATTTCAAATAGAAAGCTATAAACCGTCAAGCATGCGCGAACTAATAAATTCCAGAACCCTTATAACATTATATATGTCATATGTTAATTGCGTTCTGACATACGACTCAGTGATTTGGAATCATCTCTATAATATTTACGCTCAAAAACTTGATAGTATTCAAAACGAATTCATTGATTGCGTAAACAGGAAATGCTTTCCGCACGTCAGCGAAAGGTGCACCGTTCGGAAAAAACTAAACCTCATTTCACTTGAACACCGGAGGAAAATCACAAACGTAAAGTTTCTTTACAACTTGTAAATCACAAATGAGACTCAAACGAAATTGTAAGTCAGATTCGATATGCTGTACCTATAACTACAGCACTCACCAAACTCTTTTATTCTTTACCGAGCAAGCTAATACAAACTTTCATCTAAATTCCCCTCTTCACAGGATAATAAAGACCTACAATATTTGATCAAATATTCCACTAGCATATCTGCAAATAGCTTCTACAAATTTCGATACATGAGTACACACTTTTCACAATTATAGAGCACCACTGTATATCTGCCAAGTTGCACCCCCCAATAATTGTTTTTTAATTGATCTTATATTCTCATATCATCTTAATATGATATATATTGTAACTATATAACCACTCAGAGGATGCATTTTTTTGGGCCGATCCACTTTGCACCCCACAATAAATAAATAAATAAATAATAGAATAAATAAATAAACATAGCTTTCAACTCTGCTTAGTGGGAAGCTATCCGATACCAATTGAATAGTAGATCTCAAAAACCTACCTGTGCCACCTCTCAATCTGAATCAAATCAAATGGCACAGCGATTTATTTGATGCCATATTATTCTGGACAATCTGGACACACTTCCGTCATGTGATAACGAGTTGAAACAAAAAGCAAATGGAAGGGGATAATTTGCGTATATACTATATCCAAACATGCCGCGATTCAAACTGAGCTTAGTTAGAGGCAGAGTGTCAGTATTTCCGAAAATATTTCGTCCCTCTGTCGAGAGATAATATCCGATGGACCAGTGTGAAACTCATCTAGTGATCGGACTACAAGCATTCGAATCCACATGTAGAGTTCATGTCTCACTAGGTAACAATTAATAATGCGAATCACGACAAGAAAACATCATTTTGGTATTGCCAGGGGACTCTTTTATTTCACAAAACATTCGCAATATTCGTCACATTTTATCGTATTTGAAACTCAAAATGTTGGTGAATTTGTGAGGCTCCTAACAACCAAGAGACTCACTTGAACCTCACATTCTTGTATAATATGTAACAAATGGAATCAATCAGTTTCATTTGGTATCATAATGTGAATCATAAAATGACCAAAAGGGTCTGAAATAGCAGTCATTGTGAGTTCAGTGAGACTCTATCATGTCGAGTCACGGATGTGATGTGTGGCATGAATGTGATGCCCTCTCATATCTCTGGGATCAATCTGTGTTAACTGGGGGCACATGACTACACCACAAGCATCGACCAAGATATCAATTCACTACACTCCACTCCACTACACTGGTCTACGCCGAAAAGTGTATTGTAGTAATATATGTAGTGTACAATATAAATTTCATGCAGAAACAGCGGACAGGCCTTATAGAATGCCTCTTGTAGTAAAGTACAGCTGTATAAAAAAAAGTGTTGGTACAACTATATTCATTCGAGAGAAATTAACGTCAACTTATTTGCGTAAAACGGGCTATCGGGAATGAATGTTTACCAAATGATGACAGTATAAAGAAGTCATAGGTTCTAAATACACAAAGCATTGGCTGAGCCTGAGATGCTTATACTATGAGCCAGTTTCACACAACTAGAACTAGGATGCAGTTAACCTCTCTTTCAGTGCTGCCGTTTTGCAAGTAATTACTTGCAGTAGCAAGTAATTACAGAGTTTCGCAGCAATCGGTAAGGATTCAACATATTGCAAGGATTCTGCAAGGATTTTGATTTCTGAGTAAACGACCAAAGAGAGGTTAACGACCTTAGGACCATGTTTTGCGTAGCGTGATCGTCGTGTTCCGTACTTGTACTTCCGTGTTCCTGATCTTCTGTGTCATTATTGTCATTCATTTTGACAATTGACTAATGTCTCGAAGCTTGGCTATACACTAATGACAGTTGACATTGACAAATACTTATTATATACAGTGTCATTTGTCATAAACAAACCTAACCAAACCATCTCTTTTCTTTTCAACACTTGTATGAGTTGTATGTACGCTTCTTTATTGAATGAGACGGTATATATATATCCTAATAAATTTCATCAAAATATCTAGTGGAATCACAGATATTGATGAAAAACATTTTTTTTATTCTACCATCTTGCATCTCAAAAGTTAAGACGTTTAAGTCACACCTTCATATGAAGATTTCTTTTCAAAATTGACCCCCCTGAATATTGATATTCAATTTTAGCAAACACCCTGTTTTGGCAGTACATACATAGGTACTTTCTCAAGTTCTCAGAGAATGATACAATCTTCTGCTTCTCTCTATATTTGCAGTGGTTTCAACTGTATGCACCACTTTCCCAATAAAATACAAAACCCCGCCACTAGTTTTTCCAACGGAATCCTCTTCAAGAAAAGAACATCCAGTGAAATTCTCTTCTTTGAAATCATCAACTTTCGTTTCAAATGGTTTCAAGGTTATGTTCTTGTCAACCGACACAAAAACAAAAGGCCTTTTCATATAGATATATTTTTAACACGCATGCGCTCGTTTTTAGATCCAGAATTTGATTAGGTAATGCGAAGGTGAAGTCTCATTGGCTATAGTTCCGACACAAAATTCTGATTGGCCATTTCGAATATGGCGGTTATTATTGAAGTTATGTCAACAGTGTCAACTGAGTGTCAACCACCATGGGCATTCGTCATTGAGAAACAACAATAACAATACAGTATTTCCGATTCTATATTCCTGGTGAGTATTAATTGTATTATATTAATTTAAATCGAAAAACCGTTACTAAGGAGTGTGGTGCAAGTGTTTCGGTGAAAATGGCCGCCACTGTCGTTGGATGCGAGATGTAAACACAGATAGTCATTTGTCATCTTAATGAAAAGGCCTATTATCTGAAACTTATTTTTTATTTGACATATTCAAATTCACAGCAAGTGGTTGAATCGGGACAAAAATGTTCCATCAAAACAAATTTCCTATCCTATCACAGCTGTACACATAATATTAAAAAAGATCTAGTATGATTTAAGACAAAACAGAAAAAAATGTCAATGGTGATGGACCTTTCTTGAAAGACGAGAAGATCAGGTCAAGATTGTAAACAATTTTATGGCTGTCTATATCCTATATACATTTTCACCACCTCCATTGCTGATTGATAACAAATTCATTTAACGACTAGGATATTTCAGTATTTCACCAGTTCAACAATGAATTCATGGCAAAATCTTGCCCAAACTGTTTTTTTTTTATTGAGTATTCTCAACTTCGCATTTTCAATATTTTCGATGAATTCATCGGATTTTCTTCTTCCTCTGAAGACTTATTATTGATTTTCAAAAATTCGATATTGGGAACATGGTGTTTCTGTTTCTGATTACATTTTATTTGCAGAAACAATTTCCGTTCCTCAGAAATGCTATATTACTGAAAACACTCAGTGGCAAATCCCAATAGAAAATATATGAATATGGTGAAGAAAATTTGTATATCCTAGCATTTTCAACTCTATTTTATCGTATTCATTAGCTGGATGGATTGTCATTTTTTTGAGTGACCCCAGAATAGCAATTGGAGAAAAGATATAGGATTTCAGAAAGCAATAACACTTTTTGAGACAAAATCTTGATCTTCTCGTTTTTCAAACGAAATAAATAAATAAATATCTATTGCAAAATCTAAATTAGGTTTGTTATCATTTGTTTAAAAAAATTAGGCTATTTTGCTGACCAATACAAGGAATGCTTCCAAGTAAGTGAATACTGAAATGCAGGTCAATTCTTCGTCTGTGGCTGCCATCACTTAATATTCTGAAACAGAAATACAATTGTAACGTCTTATATGTAAATACAGATTAAATTTCGAATCCGAATGTTTCAAAAAGAGTTTTCAAACATCCACTTCCTAACAACCGAATTGTTTTTCAATAAATTTCAAAAGTTTTTCATTCTTTGTACCTGCATTCTCAAACATCTATAGCAAGATCAGAAATTTTCATATGCAATATCACAATGGGGAAGACCACTGAGGGATGAAATCCGTGCAAACCTCTTTCAATCGACGAATCATGATTTACGTTTGATGTACAATCAATATTATGAATTGAAATTGAAGGGAATCGAATCTATATCGTTGTGAAATCAGCATATCTCATTCGATATTTTGAAAAGCCAAGTATGATGGTGGAGCGGTGACGTATTAGTCCCGAACTGTATCCATCTCTCTCTGATACTTCGTTATTCTGCAGTGCTGGGGTGTAATTGGTAAGTTCAAGGACAATAGGCGTGTTGGGACTAAGACGTCGCACCAGTCACACCAATGAATTGAGAAAATTTCAAATGGCGCAGGAATTGCGTGTTTTGGAATGGACGTATTCTAATTTATTTTTTTCATCGTCTTAGCATGAATGAAAAAATTCAAAATTAATTCACTAGTAGTTTTTCAGTATAGAGTTCACGATAATGTCGTTTTAAAAAATCAGTGGTCTCCCCCATTGGGATACTTATAACTACAATACTATTTTACTGGAATTAGGCGATTGTTGAGACAATAAAGGAGCGGCTCGCGAGAGTTGCACACGCTGCGTCCATCATTCTGGCTTCCAACATTAAAAACGAGGTTGGTGGTCACGTTTGGATCAATTTGCCTTCTGTATAGGTAAACAAAGTCTGATAATTATCAGTTAACAAAAAATATCGATGTAATACAGGAGAAACCGTCGATTTTGATGGAGTGGAATGAATTCTAAACACAAAACCTGAAACATTCATAGTCCTATAGATTCAAAAGACGGAATTCAACAAAAAAACAAAAACAAAAATGAGTAAGCTATTAAAAATTTTAGTTTAGGGTTACGTCCACAATCTACAATATCATTCAGCATCAAAACCTTTTTATTTTTTTAGTTCAATGATTATGTAAATTATGATCATGTGATGAAAATAAAGCGATGGGGTGCATTATTAATCTGCATTTTCTAGAACCAACTGTAAATTCAACAACCCTAGAAATATTCCAAATCTTATTTCATTCTATAAACAGGAAGAAATTGAAAAAACAAACTTCGCATTTTGATGAAGTCAAGAAAGTCCATAGTTATGGGACTGGACAATTGAAATAAGTGGATAGCAAATACATATCAGGTCAAATTTTGGTGAACACAGACTGCATATTCCATGAAATAATTGTATACATACAACTTATTACCGGATGAGTTGAAAATATACATGATGCAAGAAGATTTAAAATCAATCTCAAACAATACCTGACCAGGAAAATTTGATTGAATAATTTTAATATGTGGTGATATGATTACTCAGAATTGTAATGTAACAACTGTCATAGTCAGATGAAGTAAGAATGTTTCCACTGAGTATGATTTATTAGGAAACCTTTTCATTATTTTTAATGATTTTTTTTTCAAGTATCCCCATTATGAATAGTCATGATTCTTGTAGTAACAACAAACACACACACTTAATTTATCCACCAGACCAATTGAAGGGTCTAGGACTAAAATGGTATAAGTGTCAAATAATCTTTTCTGTGTAATAATGAGTGTCAAAAGCTGATTTTTGATACATAATTTAGCAGATTTTGTACAATAACAGAAAGACTGTAGTGAGCCAGAGTAAGATGATTTTTGTAAGTGGCATCCGTCTACTGAACTGATGAAGCAACTGGACTAAACACTATTTTTTATGAAGAAAAGGCATTGAATCTTCTGTGAAATGTATAGAATAGGAATCTAAAGTTAGTGCAAAACCGGTATAAGTATAAGCACTTCAACCATGTTTGCAGGAATCATCAACACAAACTCTAGTATATTCACTGCCCGGTAGATGTCAGTCGCGCTGATTTCAAACACTTATATATATATATATATATATATATATATAGATTCATAAAGAGGGAAGATGAGATCATTTGTATATAAATGATTGCCAAGGTGAGATCATTTTGGAAAGTCGAGATCCATTTTCGGATCTCGCCTTTTTCAATGTGTATATCAGAGTTTTTCGGACAATATCGATACGATAGAGTTCTATTTTGAATTTCATGCCGGATCTCATCTGAACAATTTTTCACCGATTTTATACATCAGTAGTTCATGACTGTTTATGGTAGGGGGCGCTCACGACGGAGTATATAAGTAGAGACATTTGAACAAAAGTGAGATCCGAGAATCCGGCAACGTCGTGGAGCTCATGTTATCTTAATTTATCCTGTATCCTGCTACGTACAGATTTTAACTGTTTATCTATAGCATGGAAATAGGAAGATAGGAGATTGTTCGCAACACAGTATTGAATATTCTACAAAAAATTGTCTGTGATATTGATTTTTTCAACAATCGTGAAGAATTCGTGATGACTAATATGGCATAAGTAGCTGCGAGTTTTTGGGAAATGGGATTATTATTTTAGACATAATCAAGAATTCAGGAGAGAGGATGAATTTTATAATCAATATGGTCTGATTCCATTCAAAATTGATATTTGTGGGTTGTCGTGGATAGTGAGTTTTTCGAGGAGAAGTAGGTATAATTGATTCAAGATGGCGGAAGATTTTCGTGAACATGGTCTGTTCCTATATTCAGAATTGGTGTGGCAGTTTTCGATGTCAGGGGTTATGTATTATTGTTTCCCAAAATTCATTTTTTTTTTAATCGCTTGGAGCGCACGAAAGGGGATCCCTATAATGTTCAAAGAACATCGTGCGTTCCTAGGAAGGATAGGGACAGGCGGTAGGTATTGGAATTTTTTTTGAACTTTTGGAGATTATATCTTGTTGGGAATACTTCCACAGGCAATGAATTCCAGAGCCTAGCCGTTCTATGGATGAAGGAGTCTTGATAAAGTGCTGTTCGACATCTTTCGAGGTTGACAACGAAAGGATGTGCTGACTGGGCTTGTCTAGTTCGTCTGATTGGTATTGCTAGTGAAAAAATGATAGCAGAGATTTCCGAAGAACATTTCCCGTGGAAGTATCGATAGAAAAGTGAAAGGTCGCCGACCCTTCTACGGTGTTCCAATGATGTCAAAGAGTGAGTGAGTGTGGCGTCACCCACCGGGCGGATGGCTCTTCTCTGGATGGAATCTAAGAGCATCAGCGTATGTTTTGGTGCTGAACCCCATGTGTGGGAACAGTATTCTAGAACAGGCCGTATCTGCGCTTTGTAGATCATGAGAAGCTGTTGAGGTGTAAAGTAGCTTTTCGCACGGAACAAGAATCCGAGTTTCTGTGAAGCAGCTTTTGCGATGGATCTGACATGATTATCCCATGAAAGAGTGTTGCTGATGGAAATACCGAGCATAGATATGGTGGACTTGGTGGGGATGGTGGAGCCAGACATTACAATATCGGGCATACTGAGTTCTGCCTTTCTAGAGAAAATGCAGGCTTGAGTTTTGGTGGCGTTGAATTCAACTAGGTTGTTCGTTCCCCAGGCTGTGATTTCAGCAAGATCTTCATTGACAGCATTGGCCTGCCTGCGTCGTGAGTTCTTAGTTTCCTGGGAAGAAATGGGAATTCTGGAAGAGAACGCAGTATGGAGGGAACTATCATCTGCAAAGCTGTGGATGGGGCAAGTTGTTACTCCCAACAGATCATTGATATGAAGCAGGAATAATGTTGGTGCCAAAATTGATCCTTGTGGAACGCCGGAATTGATGCCAATGGTATCAGACGATACACCGTCCACCACCACGTGAAGCGATCTGCCTGATATATTCAAGATGGTGCACGAGTTTTGTGAATATTACCCGATTCTATTCAAATTTGATTTGTAGGTGTTTTCGGGGTCGGAGATTGTGAATTCTTCATCAAAATTCATTAATTCAAAATGGCGACTCCTAGATGGCGGACGAGTATAGTGATTCTGCTTCGATCCGATAACAAATTGGTACATGGGGGTTTTCGGGTCGTAGCTCATGAATCCAAGATGGCGGACGAGTTTTATGATTATGGTCCGATTTCATTCAAAATTAGTATCTGAGGATTTTCGAGGTCTGAGATAACAATTTTTTTGTTACTATTGGAGAAATGAAAATTAGTATTTCTTTAATCAGATGTCAAGATTTCAGTATGGCTGCTCCAAGATGGCGGACGAGTTGTATGATTATTGTCCGATTCGATTCAAAATTAGTATGTTGGGGTTTTCAGGGTCGAAGATTATGAACTCTTCGTGAAAATTCATTAATTCAAGATGGCGGCTCTCAGATGGCGGGCGAGTTTTGTGATTCTGGTCTGATTTGATTGAAAATTGGTGCGTAGGGGTTTTCTGGGTGAGAGATTATGAATCTGTCAAAATTCATGAATTCAAGATGGCGGCTCCAAGATTACAAACGTGTTTCATGTTTATGGTCCGATTCGTTCCAAAATTGGCATATGGGGGTTTTTCAGGGTCGGAGATCATGAATCTTTTGCCAAAATCGATGAATTCAAGATGGTGGCTTCAAGATGGCTGACGAGTTTTGTGTTTATGGTCTGATTCGATTGAAGATTGCTATGTGAGAATTTTCAGGTTCAGAGATTATGTATCTTTTGTCATGAAATTATTGAGAAATGGGTTTCATGATTGTCTGATTTCATTGAAAATGTATACATGTGAGGTTTCACCATTTCTTGTCTAAACTCAATTTGGTGATTGACTATTGATTCAAGAAAAATTTTAATACTATAGTAAAAAACAAATTCATGAAGACAAGTGCAGGAAAGGGAAAGGTATTTTCCTTGATCGTTTCACATAGGTTATTTTTTGTGTATGAAATCCGTTAATGATTTATATTGTTCTTCAGTGTGGTTTGATTCGACTTTTCCGTTCATTTCTTTCTGCTTCGGTTTACATTTATTGAATTCTTTCCAAACATCTTATCTTCCTAGTCCATCGACTACGCATTCCTCAGAAAACGAATTTTAGTCTTCAGTGGTCTGAGAATGCTTCTCATCCATACTACATGATTCTAATAGAATCAGTCAAAAGACAGGTCAGTCCCATAAAAATTTGAATCCAGAATAGGATGGATCATTATTATTCAACCTACCCCCTTTTTCACAAGTATGCACTACTTCCTCTTTCAAAGCCAATTCCACCAGCCTATCACTACGAGCACTTAACTTTTTCGCAGAATCAATATAAGTAGCTCACTCATCCTGGGTCTGAACTAAACTAACAAGTCGAATAATTTAAAAGTGAATAAAACTTTGATGAAATGCTTCTATCTAATCGCTCTGGTAAGAATAAAATGAAAAGTTCCTTTATGCTCTTAACTATCAACTTATAGCTTGTCGCGCGATTCACTTATGAGAATAACCTCTAGTAATAATTTAAGTTTCTGAAATCAACTGAGTTTAAATTTATGAAATTTCAATTTAATTGAATATGGATCATCGCGACAAGCTTTTATCATCATATGAATTGTGTATAATGAGGTTATGAGTTGATAGTTGAAATTAAAAAAAGATCATTTCATTTTATTCTTTTCAGAGCGTTCAAATAGAAGCGTTTGCGGGTGAACTCCGAACAGTCCAGCTTTTCAATAAGTTACTCTCAACAAGCCCTGTCATTTGACACCAATATTGTAGGAGTGCATTAAAAATGGCTATTTCGCCGTCCTGGATGGTCCACCATATTGGATATAAAATGACGTCACATTATATTTCGAATTACTCTCAACAAGTCTTTTCATTTTATACCCATTTTGTGAACGTGCATTGAAAATAACTATTTCGCCACCTTGAAGGGTCTGCCATATTGGATTCAGAATGACGTCACATTATTTCTTGAGTGATTCGCAAGAAGCCTGTCCATTTGACACCCATATTGTAGAAGTGCATTGAAAATAACTATCCCGCTATCTTGTATGGTCCGCCATATTGAATTCAGAATAACGTCACATTATTTTTCGAGTTACTCCCAACGAGCCCTTCCATTTGATACCCATATTGTAGAAGTACAATGAAAATAACTATTCCGCCATCTTGGATGGTCCGCCATATTGGATTTTGAATAAGTTCACACACCTTATCGTGCATTGTCATCCAAACTAAACGTGTATACAAAATTTCAGGCTCATCGGTCGAAGATATCTACTCCAAAATTGAGTTCAAAGATACCACCCGAACTAACATACATTCATACATCCACTTGATTTAAGAAGAAAATGCGCGTAAGGGACAAAAAGGCGGTTAGTCAATTCTTGGGTTATATTACTATTGGCAACAGCGCGGGATCTCACCTTAATCAGTAAACGTCAGTATATACATGATTGGATCTCAACTTACGTGTATTATTCCGTAGATCTCGCCTAGGTTTCATTTCATCATAAAATTTATTTCATGAAAATGTTACCCCTCTGTGGTGGTAAACATCAAAATGCTGATTTATTCAAAATATATGGCATATATATTCCGAAATTCATATTGGTTAGGGTGGATCTCAGGTTGTCCAAGATTTATCCGGATCTCGACTTGGTTTAAAAACGTATATATATATATATATATATATATATATATATTGGGTATACAAATCTGTAATGATATCGAAAATACAATGATACAAAATTGCTTACTTTGGAATCTGCTTTGCTTAAATCCACCGCCGCCGCCGCCGTTACCGAACCTCGTGTGCGATTTAGGGCCGCCCCCACCGCCTCCGCCACTTCCATAACCCCATCTGCCGCCCCGGCTGCCGCCATAGTTGCCTGCTCTGCTGGCTATTTCGGCAAGTTTCGGATTCACAACCTAGAATGAATTATGTTATCTCTAAGAACCGATTTTCGCTTGTAATCTGGGAAAGACTTTATTGATTGATGAATGATGATTTACATCAGGATGAACAGAAGATGGTGGAGAAACTCCTATCAAATCCCATCAACTGTTTTTCGGTCAAGTTCTTGACCTACGCCCTACTTGACAGAAGGATTCTTTTCGATATCGCGGAATATAAGTCGCATTTTACCCGTTAGATGGCGAAATCCCGACCAAAATTCAAGGTTGGCAGAACTGATGATAATTGAAATTCCCCAAAATCACAGTTTCGTACTTTCAAATTTGATCTCATTTGATTTGGGTTATATTAATGTTGATATTATTATTTCTGTTGCAAGAAAACTAAGAATTGAAGAAAGCTGTTATATTCATTATTTGTCCACGACTGTTGTACTTCCTCAAGCAATTTTTCATACCAGTGAATAATAGCGTTGAATATACCATTATTCACTGATCTGAAATTTCTTATAAGTTATAGCGCCCTAGGAACTCTAGTTCAGTGCATTATGGTTATTCACTGCTATTATTTACTGGTGTGAAAAATTGCTACCGTTTTGCTTGAGGAAGTACATGTATTATGAATATTTTATATACAACAGTCGTAGATAAAGTAAAAAAATGTCCTAATACATTTTTTACGTAGACTCCAGTGGCGTAGTCTGATTCTCAGAATAAGCTGTTATTATTCAGATGAAACCCAGTTGTTGTTTTTTTGTATATTTTTTTAAATTTGAAATATTAAAGCTCTGAGCTTTCTGAAAATATATTACACTCATGAGAAATTTCAAGTAACATCCATGAATTTAGATAATGATAATGATGAATAATGGATATCAAGAAGGCCGTTTCTGAATATCTTGAATCAAATGGGCCATGGTTTTAGCCACCGTTTTTTATTTATTTTTACTGAAATGAGATTTTCTATGAGATATTCTACTATGGTACTTTATTTCCTATTTCATCGACCACTAGCAAACATGGAAACAATTCTTCCCAATATTCAGATCGCGTGGAGTTCTGGAGAAAAATGTCAAGAATCACGACTTTTGAAAAAAAAAATTATTCTTATGGCGAATTAAGGAGAAATCAGGAAAACGCCCCGACATTGAGTCCCAATGTATCATAATATGACCGACTCTCAATCAGAAAAAAAATCCTCGAGTTCTGGCAGCATAACAAATGTAGACCATAGTATAATGGTTCCAATTTACACCATGTGTAAGTTTCGTTCTGCGAACTTTTCACGTGTTCTAGCTCTTCTTGATGTCGATGAAATATCACATCTGATATAGAAAACCACATGAAAATTGGTCAAATTTTTCAAAAAAATACTGGTCGTCGAAAAATAGTCAAATTATGAATGGTCCATTAAGGGTGTTGAGAACTATAGTTCACAAGGAAATATATTAGCAAACAGAAGATTGTTTCCTGAAAACAACCGATTAGTCTTCAATTCATGGTATACTTCACTGATTTGATTATCAAGTTTTGTACTACTTATTCAATGATTTATGTATCCTCATTATCAACACTCAAGTTTCGTGGGGAAATAAAGACAAACAATCAATCAATGAAATGCATGGAACTGTTGGGTTGATTTACTGATGGGTATCGAATTTAATTTCTCAATAGCCATGGCGTATAACCCTATTATTTCCCTCCCATATACAATCACGCCACACATTTAAAGTGGGGACATGTGAACAATTGGGAGAATAAAACCAGAATCGGATGGACCATCTTCAAGTTCAAAGAGAAATAAAAACAATTTTTTATAGATGACTATTATTGTAAGTGATTTATGCATGTACATGTTCATCAATTTTCATTTTTTACATACCTGGTTGGCTTCTGTTAGGACAGACACCAAATCTTTGGCTTGTTTGAAATCTTTGGATGTGAAGAAGGCGTAAGAGGTGCCAGTAGTGTTAGATCTTCCAGTTCTACCTATCCTGTGGATGTAGTCCTCAGAAGAATTCGGATAATCATAGTTTACAACGTATTTGATTCCGTCCACGTCTAAAAAATTTCAGATATCTATGATAATAACCTTATATTTAGGTAAATCTATTGGTTTTTGAAAAGATATGTCAGAAACTTAATCAGACCCACTATTTCTTACAGGAAATGACAGAATGACTAAATGAAGAGAAAAAGCTACTGTTAAAGAAGTGGGTATGAATTAAAGTTTTGGAACACTCTTTTATAATTCTTCAAAGGGTGATTTTCTAAGCAACTATACCATAAATACTGGGTTTAATGGCCAAAAGAGTTAACTCTTCTGTTGAGAATCATCAATCAAAAATTGCCTAGAAGTTATACAAAATATAATTTGAATATCCAGATATGTTATGAAATCATCAAAAACAAATAATAGCTAGTTGATGACAACAAGAACTTGAACCTCAACAGGATAATCGGTTAAAAGTTGGAGTGACTACGGACTGTAACATCAAGTACATTGGGCAAGCACGTCGGAGCATATGCACAAGATTAAAAGAACATATTACCCAGTTCAAATATAATTGTTTAGATCAGTTGAGTATTGCTCAACATAATTCAAGACTTCTCAAACATCTTGCAAACAAAAAGGGAATTGAACAGTCTAAAATGTTTGTATTTGACTGTCAATCATTGTATTCTGGATTTTAAATCCATTCACATGGATAAACAAACAGCTTGTCTCATTTCAACCAACCCCCCTCTTTATCTTAGCTATTAGTTGTGCGATCTTTTCCAAAGGACCGGTAGGAATAACCATCAATACGATCAGTTTTTCAAAGACTGAACATAATTCTAGATAGTGTCGTTCGTTTTTATTGAAATGAAAGGGGAGCAATTTTTTATGAAATCATATTAGGAATTTTTTTTAAGGTAAAGCTGACCTCATAATCTTGATCTTCATGGTTTCAAACCCACATATGTAATTATTTATATGATTTTCCTGTGAAAAGTTTCAAAGAAACGGCCACAATTGAACATTTTTATGAGCTTAATCGTTATTTACTCTACCTACCGGAACTATTGAACCTCTCAAAAGCAGTTCGTTTGAATTTAATATTTTTTCGAGGCAGAAAATGAAAAAAAATTAGCCAATCCTGTTAATTCGGGATGAGGTAATTTTTTGCATATGGAGATATTCAAAAGCATGAGGAACAATAGTATAAGTTAGTTGTCCTAAAGGATGTTTGTCTCTGAAAAACTGATCATTTTGATGGTTATTCATACCAGTCCAAATTTGGTACGAATCACGTCTCATAGCTGAGATATAGAGAGATTCAGGACCACACAAACAAACACATCAAAAATAAACAGCCACGGGAGCATTCTTAGAAAATCACCCCTGCAGAAACAAAGTGGATCCTGAATACTAACCCTGTGAAACGGAGAACAAACTGAAAATTCAAGATCCGCACCGAAAGCAGAACAACACTGCCTGCTTCAGTGCCATTCATGTTCATTTTTAAACACAACCAAAGGGAAGATGCAACATCGTTCGCACAACTCGGCTGTGAAAACACGTGTCCCATCACCTGGGACAAGCCGAGAGAGTGCCGATTTGTCGAGAATCTTCGCTGAGGTGGGAAGGCAGAGACACAGCAAGAAATCGAAATTGCATCCTTTAGGAGAACGCAACCGAAGCGTAACGCAAACACTATCGTGTAATTTTGTACGCTCATCCTGCTTGTGCCTCTGAAACAAAAAAAGGACGAGCATGTGGTTTAGTCAGGTTTCCACGGGTTTCGTGAAAGTGGGATCCGAACACTTCGCCGAATGGAAAAGTTGCCGAATGGTCAAAATGCCGAATTCTTGGCCGAAATGCCGGAAGAGGTCGGTGGCCACAACGTGTCCACAACCGAATATCTGATCAAAATCATTTGATCGAAAAATCGAATAAAAAATTTATTGTTGATTAATCAATTAATTTTTATAATCACTATATATAAAAAAGACAAATCAAACCATATACGACACAATTTGATGCCTAATGATACCCGTCGAAGTTTGAAGTTCGAATTGCATGAGATGGGATTATTTTTTGGGTAGTTCTGAACGAACGTCAACAACGTTTACAACGAACTTTGTTTGTACAGGGTGGCCAACTAAGAATCCAGAGTTCGATACCTCTGTTGTCTTGAGAGATACAAAAAAAATTCAAGAATCAAAATTGAAGTAATAACCGAGCTTCACATTTCAAAATTTCTTTGAAATACACAGGGTGTTCCGTACGGTCACAGCACATCAAAGCTATGTTTTTTTCATCGGAACACCCTATATTTTATTCCATTTTTGAATTCTCCCTGACGATCTGACTTCAACGACGTATCATACTTAGGGTCTAGCAGTGAAAGTTACTGACATATAGGGTGTGCAAAATCGAGATTTTCCAAGTTCAGAATTTTTTTCTGTCGAAACTGTTCATTATTCGTCAAAACGGTTTACATGTTCCTATCTCAACTTTTCAATCACTATCAATTGGTGTTCAATTGACATTCAATTGAAACAAATTATAAATTTAGATTTGTTGACCACCTTGTATCAATTTCAATTGAACACCAATTGAGAGTGAGTGAAAAGTTGAGATAGGGACATGTAAACCGTTTAGACGAATAATGAACAGTTTCGACAAAAAAAAATCCTGAACTTGGAAAATCTCGATTTTGCACACCCTATATGTCAGTAACTTTCACTGCTAGACCCTAAGTATGATACGTCGTTGAAATCATATCTTCAGGGAGAATTCAAAAATGAAATAAAATATAGGGTGTTCCAATGAAAAAAACATAGCTTTGATGTGCTGTGACCGTACGGAACACCCTGTGTATTTCAAAGAAATTTTGAAATGTGAAGCTCGGTTATTACTTCAATTCTGATTCTTGAATTTTTTTTGTATCTCTCAAGACAACAGAGATGGTACTGGTATGTAACAATATATTATGTAAATAATTCTAAATTTTTGATTGGCCGAGTTACTCTATGTATATCCAAGTATATTCGAAATTATACAAGGTAGCTCACCTCAATAATTGCAATTATTGAACGTTCTGATTGGTTCAAAATCATTTGAAGAAAATAATCATGGATATGACTGAAGAGCTGTTTCAGCTTTATGAAGACTCTTGGCGATATGTCCAAAGAACTCATAGGGCTTCATGACCAATTTTTGTTCAGAGTTGTTTGGACAGTGTGTCTTCAAATCTGTTTCGGAGTTTTTTGAGTTATGACCGCTTTCGGCAATATGTCCATGAAGTTTTGTCAGCATTTTGACCTCTTTCGGCCGTATGTCCAAATAATTCTTTGGATATTTTAAGCAACATTGAGATTTTCCAGCGCCCTTTCGACATTATGACCACATTGTCCATTCGGTGAGGTGTCATGAACTCTTATTAAAATGAGTTTCCCAATTGGGAGATCGGGCTCGGACTCATACAACAATGTTATGATAGCAAACCCAGACATACTAATATTTTCAATGAAAATAAATACTCGTCAGTGGAGTATTTATTTTCATTGAAAATACATTGGACCTCTTTGAGAGTGGAAGTATAATTTCACTGAAAAATGTTCACTCATTTTTTTTACCCGTTGGAACGCACGAAAGGAAATCCCTATAATGGTCGGAGAACACCGTGCATACCTAGGGACGATAGGATCGTATATACATTTTTACCAACTAGGCTTAATTCAATTTTCCAATAATGAGAACTTGAAAGTCTGGTTCAAGAGTTTGAAAACATTATTTAGTCCGATACCCGACCCCCCGAGTAAAAAAAACAATTTCCAATAAAAAACTCACCCAATCCTCTAGCAGCCACATCGGTGGCAACCAAAATGGTGGCTTTACCAGATCTGAACTCCCTAAGCACATAATCTCTTTCCTGTTGGCTCTTATCACCATGCATCGCTACTGCAGGCCAACCATAACGTCTAATACCTCTTGTGATATTTTCGACCTTCTTTTTCGTTTCTACAAAGATGATTATTTTCGCGCCTGGCTCGCCATTGTTACCAATCTCTTGCAAGAGATTTCCTAATCTGAAGGGAAAGAGAGTTCAGTTAATGAATTGAGTAAGTTTGTGAGCATCAATTATTGAGAGAGTGATCATCAGTTCTTCTTAGAGGTTATGGGTGCAGTGAAATAATCACAGTTCTCATAAAATTGTCTCATCATGTTAGCAATATTGAACTCCAAAACTCTTTTAGTTATTCTTACTTGAATCATTCATCATTTTTTAATGTAATCTTAAGGTTCTGAGTTCTTCATCAAATTTAAAGCTGTGAACTCTGGATTAAATTGAAGTGATGAAATGGTAGAGTCCGACCACGTTAACTTTGGGACAGCATGTGACGCAACGCATATGCATATTCAATGCATACGCGACCACGTGCTGTCCCAAAGTTATCGTGGTCGGACTCTAAATATAAAACAATTTCATTACTGGGGACATGTTTCAGACCTATATTATAGGTTCATCATAAGCAACATACATTAAATTGTGTGAGTGGAAAACATGTATGCAATGAAAGCCTGCCTTAGCAGTTAAAAATCTGTATCTACTATCATGCAAGTTCATTTCCTATCAGACGTCAGAATATAATTCTTGGTGTGCTGGCAGTTTACAGATATTGTCTTATCCATGAATGAGTATATTATTGGAGTAATTCCTTGCAGCTTGCAACATCACTAGCATCAGTAAATATGTTTTCAAAGTGGCTGAATGATCACTATTCATCACACAAAAATCAGGTTAAGAAAAAAATAGTATTAATAAAGAAAAATATTGTGACAAACCATGCTTGTTGGGACTGTGAATATGATGTTTTACTCATTAGAGACATGTTTTCTCCTCAAATATTCAATGTATGTTGTTGAAATGGACTCAAGTCATAAAAGTCTGGGGAATATTCCTTGTGTAAGGTCAACTTTTTTGCTTATCTTACTCTTTTTTGAAAAACAAACTTATTGTTTACTATTGCTTCATCTGAAGAACCAAGTAAGTTGAAGAAATCTGATGGGTGTCGACTTTTGTATGTAATCGGTGGGTGAAATTTGCTGGAGCGAAAGATATTCCAAAAATGCACTCTACGACGAAGTGGGGTCATCTTCAGTGATATACACTGCTCGCCAACAGCCATGGAACCACCACAATTTCCGGAAAATGATATAAGGAGTCAAAATAGGTTGAAATCAGTTCAGATTCGGAATCAGGACGCCCAATTTACTAACAATTCATAGTTTTGCTAAAAAAAATTCAGTTCAGAAAATTTAAATTTTGTCTCATTTCTCATGGAAGCAACCCCGTATCTCACGTAATTATTGAGGTAGGGTTCTGAAATTTGCAGGAGGAAGGGAAATTCCAGAAAAAAACTGAATTACGTAAGATATGGAAGTGCTTCCGTGAAAATTGAGACAAAATTCAATTTTTCAGAACTGAAAAATTTTCAAGAAAAATATGAATAGTTAGTAAATTGGGCGTCCTGATTCCGAATTTGAAGTGATTTTCGACCTATTTTGACTCCTAATATCATTTTACGGAAATCGGGGTGGTTCCATGGCTGTTGGCGAGCAGTGTATATCACTGAAGATGACCCCACTTGGTCGTAGAGTGCATTTTTGGTATATCTCTCGCTCCAGCAAATTTCAGGATCTATACCCAACGATTACATAAGATACAGGGGTGTTTCCATTAGAAGTGGGACACACTGTATGTAAATAGGAATTTTGTTTCTTAGTTATATAGGAGAAATATAAATGCTTTTGTGACTAGACTTCAGGAACACCCTGTATAGATTCAAAACATATCCCTGAAAATAAAACTGTGTGTTTACTTGCCATTTAATTACTACTACACGTTGAGAAGCCAGAGACTTTTATATTTGTTCAATAGGAGTAGCAAACAAAAGTTTTGAATCTTTCAATCAACAATGGATACCAAGGGAATACAATAATAATTGTATATATTTGGACATTTTCAGTAATTCGTTTCAGTTATTCAAGAAGTCATTGATTACCATTAATAGTACCCCTTTATAAGCAGCTGTGTTTGATTACTGTGATATAGATTCATAATGATCTAGGATATATAGCAACTGTGAGTGATAACTGTGATAGATTCATACTGATTAGGATATTCTCTTGTTATTTATGTTTATTTGTATTTGTTAAATATTTACATAGGTATATATTTTTTCCCATCTTGTAATAATATTTGTGATTATAATGTATGCAATGGATAACCGTAAATAAAGTTCTATTCTATTCTATTCTATAATATCCTCAAAAATTCCGGCTACTCACTTTTGTTCCTTTTCATGCTCTTGGCACACGTCAACAATCTGCATGATATTGTGATTGGCTGAGAGATTCGGAGACCCAACATTGATGTGAATGGGGTTATTCATGAAGTCTGCAGCCAGCTTCTTCACCTCCTTGGGCCAAGTAGCAGACCACATGAGCGTCTGTTTGTCCGGCCTGACTTGGCCCAAAATCTTGCGAATCTGGGGCTCGAATCCCATGTCCAGCATCCTATCAGCCTCGTCCAAAACCAGATAGGTGCAACGTTCCAGGTTTGTGGTGCCTTTAGAAAGAAAATCGATAAGCCTGCCAGGTGTGGCGATAACGATCTCAACACCACGTTCCAAATCACGAGCCTGAGGCCCCTTCGGAGCTCCACCGAAAACGCAAGTGTTCCTGACATAGGTGGTGCTGCCAAAATCATTGGCAACCTGTTGGATTTGTTGGGCGAGCTCTCTAGTGGGGGCTAGGACCAAGGCAATGGGGCCCTCTCCACGGCTGATCTGGGGCTGGTTGTTGATATGGACGATAGCAGGCAAGATGTAAGCCAAGGTTTTCCCCGAACCAGTTTGTGCAATTCCAACCATGTCACTGCCGCTCATGGCAATAGGCCAACCCTGTGCTTGAATAGCAGTAGGTTGTTCATAACCTTGACTCTTAATTCCACTCAAAACGTAGTCAGGAAAGTTAGCTTCGTTGAAGTTCTGAATGGGGTTAGGAACATCACCTTCCACGGTGATTTCTTGCTTGTCACGAAACTGGTTCACCTCAGAAGCAGACCTGTTAGCAATGATAGGGTGAGGGACGTAAAAGTCCTTTTTGAAGGGTTGCAGGGATTTGCGGCCCCATTCTACTTGTCTCAACCCCTGGTTGTTCAAGTTGCCGAATCTGTCCCCACCTCCGAAACCTCCGCCGCCGCCACCCCCGTTCCTATGGCCACCCCCTGAGTTGGAGTTACGGAAACCGCCCCCACCACCAGAACCGCCCCTAAAACCGCCCCCACCACTGGAGCCATAGCTACGGCCACCGCCGCCACCATAACCGTTTTCGCGGCCTTTGAATCCACCGTCGCCGTAGGTCCTGGAAATGGAAGAAGAGATCAGTACAGGGACGTTTCGAGACAAGGAGGAAGAGATGCGCAGCAACTGGACGCCCCCAGATAAAGACGCCATCTGAAAGTGTGCAAATAAAAAGCACCATTATACCGGGTGACACAGGAGACATGTAGCAGCCTGTAGTTTTTTTATTTGAAGAGATAAAATTTTGAAATTTACAGGGGGTATATAATAAATGGTAGCGCACTTTACGAACTCAACGACAATTTTTTTCAACCACCTGTTTGACCGGAAGTGACCCCAAATTTTTTTTTCAAATGTCACCCTGTACATTTCTTCAGTCTATCTTTTTCGCCTTGAAATTCTCTATCCAACCATGTATCACAAAGTGGCATTTATTTCTTAATTCGCTGTTGAATTGCTCTTTATTCAAAAAGAATAAGTTGGCTGTGACATGAATTCGATGATATATCGACACTTGGTAGGCTTTGAAATTTGAAGATCATAGATAGATAGAGATTTTATTCAAAATGTTTTGATATTCTGATCAATGTCTGCAGGTTGTCAATAGCTTGTTTGAGTCAAGATGAAAACCTTCGAAAATAACTCATGATATTGAGGAATCTAAGATAGGAACATATTTTTTCGAATTCAGCTACTCGTACAGAAACTATCTGTCTTTTATTTTCGCCATGTACCTATCACATGATCTTCCCATTTGGAATGATAAAACTAAAATTGTTCCTCTTATAGGATGATCCACAGGGCTATCAGTCTATTGTTTCATAATTATGTCACTTAGTAGGCGGTGTACCTACACAAAATGTTTCATGTGTTTGACAGTTAATCGATTGCATCAATAATTTTTCTTCTTCGTTTGTGTGTTGATTAAAATTGCATATTATCAATAGAGACGGAAAATGTATTCAAGAAACGAAAAAGTCGATATGTTGAATTCATGTCACAGCCAACTTATTCTTTTTGAATAAAAAGCAATTCAACAGCGAATTAAGAAATAAATGCCCCTTTGTGATACATGGTTGGATAGAGAATTTCAAGGCGAGAAATATTGACTGAAGAAATGTACAGGGTGACATTTGAAAAAAAAAAGTTGGGGTCACTTCCGGTCAAAAAGGTGGTTAAAAAAATTGTCGTCAAGTTCGTAAAGTGCGCTACCATTTATTATATACCCACAGTGAATTTCAAAATTTTATCTCTTCAAATAAAAAAACTACAGGCTGTTACGTCTCCTGTGTCACCCGGTATGCTCAGTTTATAAACATCACTAAACTAGGAATTAAATTAACCACTAAGAATTAAGAAAGATTAATATAGGAAAAACCATTAGGGTTACTGATTAGGAAGATCATCAGAGGCGTCTTTTCAGCTTTGATTGATACATTATGCCTACGCTGGCAAGATTATCACTATTATTATTATTATTATTATTATTAAACACCTGGAAGGGACCCTATCTCTTTCTATCTTATGTTGGCTAATTGGAAGCGCTCGCATTATTTGAAATATTTTCTTGTTTTTTTCTTTTATTCAATAGTATGTGATTAAATATAAATATTCATTTAGGAAAAAGGATAATGTTGCAATCAATTATTATTTGAAAATAATTATTGATTTTTTCATTGACTCAAAAGTGAAATTCCATTTTTATTCTTACAGGATTAGGAAGGCAAATGAAATTATATATTCTCATTCAAATGTCACAATAAATTGTACAGGGTGAGCGAAGCTCAATGTCTCAGCACTATCAGAAGAAATACAAATACGATAAGAGGTGAATTAAAAGTAAATAGAAGTACAATGTTAGGACGAATTTTTTCATTAAAGATGAATATCTGCGTCGCCCAGAAAGTACACCTTCAGTTTTTTCTTTCTGGAGAAGGAGAAGCTCCAAAGACAAATCTGAAGACAATATTATGATGCAGCTCTGGAGTTAAAAATTTGAACTTGTAGTTTTCACCTTCAAAATGTTTTTTTAGTACCTCATCAAGATTGTCATTCTCCTTTTTACTTTTCGTTTCAGTGTTTTCACTTTTCTTTGCAATAGAATATAGGTCTTCTCGAATGAAATAGTTTGTAGGTTTAATTATCAATAAACTTTGAAAGTTACATGGGAGCTGGAAGTTGTAAGCAAATCAATGTCCATATGAAAAATATTGTCTTTAGAATCCCAAGTTATAAAAATCTACAGACACATCCACATCCTGAAAATAAATTACTATAGTTTTTCTAAGAATCTGAACATTTTTCAACTTACCCATGAAAAAATTTCTGTTCGCCTTGCTTATTTACCATCCAAAAGCAACCAACATAACCATTGTTTATTAATTCGAAATCACAAATCATTTCAACCATAATCAATGCACACCAACAAATTCACTCCTTTTGAAGAAACAAAACACGCCAAATTTAGTGATATTTCACATAATTAAAAGCAATGAAGTTCTGTCTTCACTTTTTTGCCTGTTTAGATGAAAAGAAAATATTTTAAGTACTCCAATCATTGGATTCCGTTATTAAAAAACACGAGTGTGAAAGATATATGTTACCGTAACACAAGCTATCTTTGTTGCAGCTTGCAGCTGTCCCTGACACACTTTGTGCTTTTCGAGAAACCGGCCGTCTCCCTTCCAGGTATTTATATTGAATTCATTGGTCTGAACTCATTGTACTGATTACTACAGTTTCAGACAGAATTACAGATCCCATCCCATGGCGAGCTATGGCTCTAGACATTTTTGCTTATCCTTGTCTTCGACGATGAGACCCGACCGGTTCCGAAAAATAAAATGTTTGTTTCCGTCGGTGAATCCCCAACACCGTTATTAATCAATCAATCAATCAAAAGTGTACTTTATTGTCGAAGATATAGATCTTATTGACAAAGCATGAAATGTATAATAACAAACATGGTATAGATCACAGAACAAAAATAAAATAAAATGAAAATAAAAAATGAAACAGAATATCAGCATATTTTTGCTGAAATGTGATTTGCGATTCTCAGATTCTTGATATTTCAGAATTCAGATGTTATTTGTCAGTTGTATGATGAATTGATGTTCATCATTCAGGGGGTGTGGAAAGGTTCTGAATTAGGTTCATATCTAGTTGTGAGTTCAATACATTTCAGATGTACACTGTTTCTATTGTACCTGCTTATTTCCAATAAATTTTCATCACATATCTCTTTTCTCCACTCGTCAAAACCATTTTCGCCAAAAATACAGTGAGTAGAGAGAGAAGAAATAAGTTCTTCAAGGTGTCCTATTCAATAGGCGTAGGTCCCTAAGAAAGTATTTTCGGACCCATATTGATAAAAACTTTCTCTTATTTTGATGCAAGGATTACGCCTCCGAAAGGATGCCGCTTACTTTTGAATCACCCTGTATAAATCTGAAAATAACCATATTCATGTTTCTGCGCTGCGTATTTCTTAAATACATTTCTATGGCCGACCAAAACTAGCTAACAATAAAATTAAATCAAATATAAGTTATTTCTATGAACAGACCAAAAGTATTCCACCAACATCTTTTGACACTATCGCCGCACTATGTGAGATCACGAACTATGCTATGCCATGGAGTAGTGAGATTTTTTTAGACCTTATTTTGCTCCATGAGGTTGGACATCTTCCCAGCGTAAGCATAATATTATATCAATCAACGATTTCAGTGAATACCAGGGGAGGTCAAGAAAGCCAGAAAAAAATTGTTTAATGTGAAAAATGCGCAGCAGGCAAAATTTATTTCGGGTTCAAGCCAAATGCCTTTATATTGGAAATTAGATTACTCTCAGAGTCAAAACAACTCCACAAAAGTGCATTCCGCCGCAGACGAAATTTTTTTTGAGATTCAAGGTCAAAGGCCTCAGGAAAATTGAATTTCTTCCAGACTGTCAAGTGTCAAGTTACATGTCATCTGTCATTACTGATATCTGAAATCCTTTATATCTCCACATTATTTTGAAAATAATCACTATTACTTGTCTAACAGACACTGGCTTACTCATTGGATCTTTTGTCAAATATCAAGCATATTTAGATCTATGTATCAAGACAACAGAGTTAAGGTAACATTCTAGTGGATTTTTGAAGAATAGTTCAATTCATCAATTATGATTATCATGATCATTTAGGCTGGGTTTATAGATTCAACTGAACTAGTAATAAAACTAACAACTATGAACTCAAAAGTTGAATACAAGGAAACATCTATGAAGGTTTATACATTTACATCTGTCATTCAAATCAAGAATTAAAAATTACAAAGTTGGCCAACTTTCAGCCTAACAACTAAGAATTATGAAATTCTGGAGACAGAATGAAGATTGGATTTGCTATTGTTCTAGTGGAGTTTGGTGAGTGATATTTAATTGGAATATTTTTATGGATTCATGATTTGTGCAGACCAAAATCACTTTTTAACATCATTTTGATCATTAATTGTTGATTGTTAATGCCTAATTGTTAATTTAATTGAATCTATAAACCTAGCATCATCAGCACTTCTCAAGTTGGCAGTTGGGCATCTTCTTAAATCTTAAATGTAAAATCATAACCCAACCAATGATATTTTCATGTTCCAACTGTCATCAGTGATAAGCCATAAATGTTAGGTGATATTATGTAGGTGATGAGTCTCAAGTCTTATTGAAGTTCTTTAATATAAAGTGACCCTTGTATATAAACCCAGAATTATAATCCTTAATGCTGAGTTTATAGATTCAACTAAACCAAGAATTAAACTAACAACTATGAACTTGAGAAGTTGAATACAAGGAAACATGTAGGAGGGTTTATACAATTACATCTGTCATTTAAATCAAGAATTACCAAATTGGCCAACTTTCAACTTAACAACTAAGAATTAAGAAATTCTGGAGACAGAATGAAGATGGGATTTGTTATATTTTCAGTCAAGTTTGGTGATATTTAATTGGAATATTTTTCATGGATTCATGGATTGTGGAGACCAAAATCACTTTTCAACATCATTTTGATCTTTAATCAAAAGACATCTCACTTAATTCTCAATAAATATCAGATATGTATAAACACCCTCATGATTATTAATAATTGTTGATTGTTAATTCCTAATTTAATTGAATCTATAAACCCAGCAAAGGTGGATAGATGAATTTGCTAGGTTTCAAAGATTTTTAATAAAAAGAAAATAAGTAGTAAAAATATGGATTATTTCATGAGAGGTGTTATAAAGGTATGATGCTATGAAGAATAATTATTTAAATGGAGATGATTAAAGACTTAAAGAGCATTAGCTCATTAGCTTGTTTCCTAGAAATCTGTTAAATGGTGTCCAGAAATGAGAAATCGATCATGAGGTTAGCGCATGGCAAGAAGAAAATGGCAATGGCATGATGCTGAAACATGGCAAATTTCATGGATGAGTCACCATTAAGGTTATGAAATTAACAATGCAAAACTGAAAAACCGTAACAAATAATATGTAACGCAAATAGAAACTTACATGATGTTCGATAGTTTCAATAGATGTTCTTGAAAGTAGTTGATTTGTTGAATCAACTTGGTGGCCGCTTCAATGGACCGAGAAGAGGTTATTTCTGAAAATAAAAAAAGTACGGCTTCTTACTTCTTCATTGAAACTTCTAGCTGATGCAAATGAAAATGCAAACAAAAAAAGTCATATTTCGAGAGAAATGAAAGATCATTTGATACAAAAAATTTGATAAAATGTGGAGAAACAACTCACCTTCTCAAAAGTCCAAATGAAAAGAGAAAATTACCGGACTTCAAAAATTGAAGGAGAAGAGAACCATAGAACACAAAATATCAATTGACACAAAACAGAACTATCATGCCATGAAACAAACTCTGAAGATATATCTATTTCTGTTTGCTCACCTTGTTAAAGAGAGAAACAGAGTTACGAAGAAGTTCGATTGATGCAAGGTGCAACACCATACAGGAACAAATTTTATAATGACAATGCAACGAACAGACGTATATTTTCTGTTATGGTCTCACTGGTCTCAGGACTGTTTGCGCAAATGGCTCTCAATGAATTTGGCAGTTTGGCACTAGAGCAAAGAAAGGCATTAATAAAATGAGAAAGAAAAAATTAATCAGAAGATAGATAATAACCAACTCATTTAATTTTATTTTCAACTGTTAGTTCAAATCTGACAAGACACGTCATAATAATCCGTTTTTCAGAGTTTTTTTCCTAAGGTATTTTCTCCTATATTAAATATGTACATTTATGTAGTATCCTTCATTATATTGGTATATTGTAATAATTCCTCATTGGCATGGGACTCTGAACAATTGGAAGTTTTTGACACCGTGGACGAAGTCAAACAAAATTTTTATGATTTTTTAAACATCTCTCAAGTAAGTAGATCACCACTAGTTACCAATTGATTTTTTCAGACGTCATCATTCAAGAATTGTTTCAGAATGCCACCAACCTCGAAATCAGATCGGCTTATAGAGGACTCACAGTTAAACTACATCCTGACAAAAATAAAGATGTTGACACATCTGAGCAATTTCGTAACTTAGTATCAGTGTATGAAGTACTCAGAAGCAGTACTAAGAGAAAATACTATGATGAGGTTCTTGTCAAGGGATTACCTAACTGGAGATCAGGCCTGTTTTACTACAGATTTGTTAGAAAAATGGGTGTTGCAGAAGTTTTGGCCATTCTGTTTGTTATAATTTCTATTGGTCAATATCTGGTGAATTGGGGTGCATACTTGGAAAAAAAACTGACACTTGTGAGTATTACTATGGCCCTCAATGATTGTATAGTAATCGAATTTGTTTTAGCAAGATCAAATATCTAAGAAGAAAAAGTCAAATAAAAAAGCTAGGGTTGATGAACTAGACATTGTCATACCAAAACCTTCTATCCTAGATACTCTGCCAGTACAAATCCCTTGCCTAATATGGTACTTGATAACATCTATGCCAACAGCATTGGGTTTAATAAAAAAAGCAGTGGAAGAGAAAATTGAAGAGGCAAATAGAGAACCTACTCCAGAACCAGAACCAATTGTTAAAGTTAAAACTGTAAGGAAACGTAACAAATTTGTGGTTCCAGAAGGACCCAACTTTGAAATGCAGAAGACCAGTGCAAACCAAACTGCTAGTGAGTCCACTGCTGCACCTATATCAGGGGGCCTATGGACAGATGATGACCTAGGAGAACTCATCCGTCTAGTCAAGAAACACCCTCAAGGTTCTGCTGCCAGGTGGGAAAAAATTGCTGAGGCTCTCATGAGGTCTGTGCCAGAGGTAAAATAATCAGTCACTTTTCAATACTTGTGTTTTCACATCTGGCTGTTCCAATTGTTAATGTATCTAATGGCCTAATTTTACAGGTGACTTATATGGCAGCCAAAATGAAAGAAAATGGATACAGATTACCTTCAGAGCAAGAAGAGGAAATTGTAGTGAAAGTGAAGCAAAAAACTAAGAAAGATGTTGATAAGGGTGAAGGGGTCTTGAATTGGAGTCAGGATCAGCAGAGAGCTTTAGAAGATGCTTTGTTGAAGTTTCCAAAAGGTTGTTCTGATAGGTGGGATAGGATAGCTGAACAAGTTTCTGGAAAAACTAAGGTATCATCAATTCCTCTGTTGAACATGTCCTTCTTTCTCAAATCTCTCAATATCAAAGTACATCAATAGCTTGCTTCTATTTCTTTTTTTAATAAGTACCACACATTTTTTTTTAGGAGGAATGTATGATGAGATTTAGGTTTCTGGCAGAAGATCTAAAGAAACGAAAAGAAAACCCAGAAAGTGATGAACAATTGAATCAGTAAAATATATAATTTTGAAATTGGCTTTACTGTGACTTTTTATTTGAGGAAAAACAAAAAAATTGTCATAGATATGCTTCAGAAATATTGAATGTTTTGAAAGGTTGTGAATGAAAGGCTAAACAAAGGACCCCGCACTAAACTATAGTGAAAATGGCTCTCGATGAAAATCGCTGAATTTTTGGTATGTTGCAGACTTCGATATACTGAACAGATATTCCATTAAACTAACCTCAAAAAATGGACAGTTTTTCCGATATTGACCTCCAAATGTCATTTTTTTCAAAAAAAAAAGTATCTGTAAATGGTTGAATTTTTGGCATGTTGTAGATACGAATGAACTGATGAAAAAATCCAATTGACCTAACCTCCAAAAATTGACAGTTCTCTCGATATTGACCTCCGAATGTAATTTTTTCAAGAGAAAAAATCTCTGAAAATGGCGGAATTCCTGGTATGTTGTAGATAGGAATGAACTGATGAAACAATTCAATTGACCTAACCTCAAAAAATTGACAGTTTCACGATATTGACCTCCAAATGTACGTGAGATGAATGGAACAATAATCAATAGACAAACTTGCTGTTTTCGAATTAGTATTTGGCATTTCATTCTTCTGAAAATAAATCTTCTTCATATGATACATCCACAGGTGAAAAAAGCCGAAGAGAGGATGTAATGAAATATATATTATTTTGAAGATGGTTATAGTATAGTCTTTCCGAAGTCAATAAGCCATATATCTATTTTATTTCGATCATTCCATCCATAGATTGATGAATCTATGTTCCATCTTTTATAATAGTATTCGATGCACTCATTCTTTACTTGAAATAATACCAAATATATTTTTTTAAATAATCAAAATAATCACCCCTCAGCAAACACTATAGCCGCCGATGACGTGACATTGGCATACCGATAACGATAAAAACTTTGAGATTTTTATTGCTCGACAACCAATCAGAATATTTTCAAATTCTTCATAGAATTAAGGATCTATTTCCACAGTAGGAGTGGAGTGTTGTGTACTGTAGTATACACAATACATAAATCGTATTGTATATAGTATAATTGCAATGGATTGATCGCGGTATATGACGTCATCACGCGATGTCCCGCGATTTTCATGTTATGATATATCGTGAATTTCAATAATTATTTACAAAATGTACAGAGATCTGAAGAGAAAACGGTTTGCTACAAGTGAACAAGTTTGGGTTAGTTCTTCAAAATAATGAATGAAAATGAAATATTTCCCTGAAACAGGCCCATTGGAGTAGCTTCAGCAAAAAACATAAGCGGCGCGAAATTCCTTGCTCGAAGGGCTTCAACTGACTTATTTGAAAATACTCTATGATCTTTGGAAAAAGTAGTACTAATCATATCATCAAAAAGGATCAATCATAATGCTTTGTCTCTCGTATTCTCTTAGAAAGCCTCAGATGGTTTTTTTGAACATTGTTGAGGCCGATGAGCAGCATCCAACACTCTATCCATAAGGGACGAACCATAACACGCTAGCTACGTGTCCACACGAACCTATAGTGTCTGAGTGCCCGAACTACAGGAACAATTATAACCTAGAATGATATTTAAAATCCTCAGCTTCGTGTGGCTTCGTCATTTGCCTCGCCATCGTCGATAGGTTTATAAGCTCATAACTGATATTTTACAGCATTTCTGAAGCGAGAATAAAGTCTAGCTCTTGACCTGTCTCATCAGTATAAGTTCATCTACTTCAAACTCTTCCCCTTGTTCTCGTTGGATTTTGTATTGAATATTATGAAGGGGCCAATCGAACTTGATAAATGCCAACAGTTATGTCACGCCACTGATCCAAAGTGAGAGACGGAAAATCCAGAAGACGATGTTTATCCAATCGGACCCATCGTCCATTTCTAGTAGCAAGATTATCGAAATTGTCACTGCGGAATTTTTCACCTGTGGATGTATATTGTATAAAAAAGTAATCCAGAAGTCAACGACAGCAACAATATACAATTTTTCATTATTGCATCCCTGGAATCATCAATAATTATATTCAACAACAATCTACGATAAACCAAAAATTCAGGACTCTCCAATTACAAGCAGAATGAGTACATTGAAACATTAAAATAATTGTGTGATGGGCGAAAAGACACAAAAAAAGTTATCAAAATAGAATGAAAACCTGACAAACTTCAAAAATCTACTCATCTATATGAGGATGGATGTTCAGGAGAATGTGTTTGAAAATCGAAGCTGCAACATAATTTAATTGACTCATTTTTCTAGTAGGTTTATTCATAGATTTCTGAAGACGCTTCATAATGAAGGACGAAACGTCGATGATGATGAAACATTATTTTTTCCTGACTCTCCTGACCTTGAAATTGTACAGAATATTCTGAAGGTCAACTTTCATACAGTTGTTTGAATACCATTTAGGGGTCAGTAGCAGTAAAACTGTCAATTTTTTGAGGTTAGGTTAATCGGATTTTTTTATCAGTTCATTCCTATCTACAACATACCAGAAATTCAGCCATTTTCAGAGATTTTTCTCTTGAAAAAATTACATTTGGAGGTCAATATCGAGAGAACTGTCAATTTTTGGAGGTTAGGTCAATTGGATTTTTTCATCAGTTTATTCGCGTATAGGTCGCGTGCAAGAACTGTCAGATGACCGACCCTGGAGGCAAAACATATTTGTTTACAAGTGATCGAAATAGTTTTCCACAATTATTTTGGCATATGAATCGTATTTTTCCGCTATTCATCAATTCGCTAATGCCATCACATTTTGTGCTGTTGTAAAATGCACAAAAACTGCAGCAGAAGATGAAGAAATCCGGATGGTACATTATGATTCAAAAGTAAGTACCTACTATAGTCACTCACATAGTTTTCATTTCTGAAATTTGGTTATTTCTCTGATTTCTCATCGGAATTCCTTCTGCAATAGGATCAGCTAATAGATTATACCTGAAATTTCTAGAATAATGCAAGAAGATTGGATTCATGCAATCAATCGGTAGGACTGGTCTGACATGCTGACGATCGTGTGTGTTGTAGACATTTTCAATCTATTAGCAGCATTAGCTTGTATTGCAGAAGTGGCAGAAGGCAGAAGGAATTTTAATAAGGAATGACAACATTTCATAATGCTAACTATGTGAGATTACTATTTACCTGAAAAATCATATTCCCTAGTCTCTTGCTGCATTTTTTGTGCATTGTACAACAGCACAATGCGAAGGCATGCTTGAATTGATAAATAACGCAAGAAACACGATTCGTATGCCAAAATATTGTGAAAAACTATTTCAACCTTTTGATTCCTCTGTAACCAAATAAAAAAGTGAGGTTGTGTTTCAATAATTCACAGAAGAATGAGGTTGTGTTTCAATATTTTGCCTCCAGGGTCGGTCTTCGTGCACGCGACCTATAGGTCGCGTGCAAGAACTGTCAGATGACTGACCCTGGAGGCAAAACATATTTGTTTACAAGTGATCGAAATAGTTTTCCACAATTATTTTGGCATATGAATCGTATTTTTCCGCTATTCATCAATTCGCTAATGCCATCACATTGTGCTGTTGTAAAATGCACAAAAACTGCAGCGGAAGATGAAGAAATCCGGATGGTACATTATGATTCAAAAGTAAGTACCTACTATAGTCACTCACATAGGTTTCATTTTTGAAATTTGGTTATTTCTCTGATTTCTCATCGGAATTCCTTCTGCAATAGGATCAGCTAATAGAAATATACCTGAAATTTCTAGAATAATGCAAGAAGATTGGATTCATGCAATCAATCGGTAGGACTGGTCTGACATGCTGACGATCGTGTGTGTTGTAGACATTTTCAATCTATTAGCAGCATTAGCTTGTATTGCAGAAGTGGCAGAAGGCAGAAGGAATTTTAATAAGGAATGACAACATTTCATAATGCTAACTATGTGAGATTACTATTTACCTGGAAAATCATATTCCCTAGTCTCTTGCTGCATTTTTTGTGCATTGTACAACAGCACAATGCGAAGGCATGCTTGAATTAATGAATAACGCAACAAACACGATTCGTATGCCAATATATTGTGAAAAACTATTTCAACCTTTTGATTCCTCTGTAACCAAATAAAAAAGTGAGGTTGTGTTTCAATAATTAACAGAAGAATGAGGTTGTGTTTCAATATTTTGCCTCCAGGGTCGGTCTTCGTGCACGCGACCTATCTACAACATGCCAAAAATTCAACCATTTTCAGATACTTTTTTTTTTTGAAAAAATGACATTTGGAGGTCAATATCTTAAAAACTGTCCATTTTTTGAGGTTAGTTTAATGGAATATCTGTTCAGTATATCGAAGTCTGCAACATACCAAAAATTCAGCGATTTTCATCGAGAGCCATTTTCACTATAGTTTAGTGCGGGGTCCTTTATTAAAAGTACATGTTTTCATTTTATTAATATGTATACAATACAAGTATATATAAACAATACTATTTCAAATATTATTGCATTTTTATGCAACAGTTTGCTAATGTCTTACAATCAAACATTGATTTATTTCATTATCAAGTAAACAATCTACTTTTTCATCATTGTGTTACAAAATCGATGAAGTACTCTCTATTTCAAAGTTATTTTATGTAATTATTCATCAAGAATTTCTCTCACTGTACCAAATAAAACAAGTTGATGGATTTTTTGTTGGAATGAGCTGCTTTCAAATCACAGAGGCATGGCTCTTTCTTTATTATTTATAATTATTATTACAGTGATATTCAAAAGATCTGCTTACTTATTTTCATCACAGTTCTACGAACATTTATCAATTAAAACCAGTCTAAGCAGGAATGTTGAGAGCATCATAAAATTGCACATCAAAAGATGTCACTCTTATGACCAGTTGACACTGAAAAAGATACCATCTCCCTGAACTAAATGAACTTTCTTTGCAATAGTGCTCTGCTCTCAACATCTTACAAATTTCGTCAAATTAATAAATATCATGAATTCCTAAACTATTCCTATTTAATTACAAAAACGATTTTTCTCCGTATATTATATACATATAAATAAATATTGCCAGAAAATATTTTTTCACTGAAAACTATTTCACAAAAATAAAGCTCGTTTTTCATTATATATCAATTAAAAATAGTAAATAGATAAATGGAATTGTGATGGAGGATAGCACAGGGCATTTCAAAGAAACGATTAAATGCAGACTTATCGCCCTGCCATATAATGGGGAAGACCACTGAGAGAAGAAATCCGTGCAAACCTCTCTCAATCGACGAATCATGATTTACGTTTGATGTACAATCAATATTATGAGTTGAAGTTGAAGGGAATCGAATTTATATCGTTTTGAAATCAGCATATTTCATTCGATATTTCAAACAGCCAAATATGATGGTGGAGTCGTGACGTATTAGTCCCGAATTGTAGTTATCTCTCTCTGATGCCTCGTCATTCTGCAGTGTTGCAGTGTGATTGGTCAGTTCAAGGACAATAGGCGTGTTGGGAATGAGACGTCACACCAATGAATTGACAAAATTTCAAATGGCGTAGGAATTGTGTGTTTTGAAGTGGACATAATTATTCTAATTTATCATTTTCATCGTCTTAGCATGAATGACAAAATTCTAAATTAATTCGCTGGTAGTTTTTCAGTATAGAGTTCACGATAATGTCATTTTAAAAAATCAGTGGTCTCCCCCATTGAGTCAAACTCTGTGTTGATCTGGTTAGAGTTACTTTATAAATTGCATGTACGTTTTGATTGGTCACACCTCTGATATGTCTTGTTTTCTCTATTCTGTTCTACACATTCTATTTCACTTTGTTGTTGTTTGGACACAAAACATCCAACAATCAGACATGAAACTCTATACGTCAGTACCTTGGATATTAACTATTAGAATCCGTCTTTTGGGACTCCTAAGTCTGAAATTATATTTCGATGATGAAATTAAGATAACAAATATCTAAACCTAACATCAGATGGCCACTTCGAAGCTGCAAACTCATTACTGCATGGGAGATACCCTTCAGAAACTTGACCACGAATGACATTCCGGAAACGGTAGCCATTTGGAGGTCCATTCTCGATAGAAAATAGCACGTCAGTCCATCTGACGGCAACAATTTGAACACTTCTGAGCGGATTTTTTCGAAGGATTGACCAATATTCACAAACGAAAAACAAATGCGAGCCAATGAAAACAAAGTAAACAGACCGCTTTGACAGCTTTCAAAAACTTCGATAGGTGGCACTCTAGATCTAGTCAACCACTTGAGTTTGATCCTGAATTTTTCATGGAAATACTGTCAAGGTCGATGTCTTTGGTGAACCTTCCACACTTTTCTTCACACATTTTCCCTGTTCATCTTTGAAAAACCCTATATATACATTCGCTATTAATCTAAATTGACAAATAATTAACTGGACTTTCACAAACTGGACTCGTAATTGAATAGGAATCTTAAATATATCACATAATGGATTCAATAAACTTTCCAACAAATTAAAGAACGATGCATACGCTAATGCTACATCTTATTATCTAATAAAACTGATATATCCAGCAGTAATATGGCTTTGCCACACTTGCCGTTTTCTTAACCTAACAATTTTTGCCAAGAAAATTCGATTGAATATGTAAAAAAATAATCACTGAAATTTAGTACAGGTTAGAGTCACGGAGACAATTTTTTCATATTTGATATTCAGAGTGAAACTTTGATGGTCTCCATAAATTTTCTTTTGGGTTCCTAATATGTAGTCTAGAGAATTTCATTCATTTTATCACACTACAGTTCAGCTGGTGAAGCATAGGTAGTGGGTAACTTGATTCAATACAAAAAATTACAAGAAATAAAAAAAATAGGTGAACTGCACCTTACATGTAGGAGGATAATAATGGAGTACGTTTATTTTATTGATAAACGGCATTATATTGGATGAAGAACTACTTATCTTCTGGATTATTTGATTCTCCAACTGAAATCAAATTCAGATATCCAACTTCCTATGCATATCCATTGCTGATTATTATTTTTATTATAATCTAGTGATATCTGTGAAAATTATATCAGGCATGCTGATGTCTCTACCGACTACTATCAAGCATAGATTATACACACTGTATTATCTAAGTCCTGAATGTCTGAACAAACTGGAAGTACTATTTTTATTGCACCAACTACAGTATGGCCGCTATGTCTTCGACACTTCCTTGACAAAACAATTTTACACATTCTTACAAGCTAATATAAAAATGTTTGATATCATATCGATAAAAAATTACCAAGCATACTCGTTATGATTCAACAACAAACACTACAAACTATATCACATATACAGAGTATTCTTTAAACAAGAGTCTTTAATATGTTAGTATTTCTTTTTGAGCCATGGTAGATTGTATTGTCAACTTTTATGTTCACTGAGATTGACCAGTTCCTTAATAAAAAATAATATCAATGCGACGGCTTGCTCTGTCGGAGCAAATTAGTATCTTCAGTCTGCTGCAGTGCTACTGACCAACAGCAATGGCTGCACTAAAAAGCCGGTCATATAAAAACTAATTCTTTCCTGAATTTTAATATATACACGAGTTTCACGACCTACTATTGAAAAAAAAAAGTGGCATTGCTACACGGTTCTGACCAACAAATACAAACATTACACATGATGTATTGTATGAATAAAAAGTTACCTCATTCAGCTTCAGGCAGGTATATAATAGGCATGGGAAAAAATATCGATAACTATCGATTTCTTTTCAATAAATTGGAAACAATGAATTTATTTTATTCATGTGACCCCTAGACGCTTTCGTAATATCCATACAATAATTCTCGTATTTTTGAAATTAATTTTCATTATTTTCAAAGGTTTCTTCAGGCATGAAATTATATCACATAGGTTGATAGGTAGGTTAGGTAGTTTTTATGCTGATTTAATTAGTTTGGTTGAAGATTTTATAACCTTTGGTTTGGATAAAAAATATACTGACATATAATTTCACGAATATCGATATATATTTTCAAAAATATCGATATATCGATAGCTATCGTTATATCGCGCAACTCTATTATATAGTATATATTCAACTGATACATATTTATTTCTGTTTTTTTCATAGTTGTAGTCTATGTACTTCAATACTCTCAAGTCCAAGGTTCAATCTTATAGTATGAATAATTTTATATATCATCACTATCAATAATATCAATCATTAATTTTTTTTATCAATTTCAAAATTATTACCGATCTACGTAGACTCATGAAAAACAAAAAAAAACGGATATTGCACTGAATGCATATAGATTTTTATCGAACAGTAACATAATATATACAAGGTGGCATTGAAATAAGTGCAAATATTTCAAACACTGAGGAAGCTAGGCGTGTACTATCGAATGGCACTAATAAAAAAATTTAGGAATCAAAATAAAATTTGAGGTTAGACCCCTTTTTTCCACACTGTAGCAAATCTGACGCCACCTCTGTTCAAATTTCCATGCGGTAGCACAATCACACGGAGTGCAATCATTTGAATTGTTTTAAAGTGGCGTCCTTGATTTTTTTCTCGAATTTTGTTCAATTTCAGGGATGAAATTACTTGATAAATAAAAGAATTAGAAAAAATCTGATATCTGAAAATTCCTTAGACTATCATATTAGTGTGCTGAATATGTGCACTAATTTCAAAAACACCTTGTATAGGATAGAAGTATTCGCGAGATTCACGAAATGGGCGACATCTAGATTACATAAGACAAACTTCAAACAGGGGGAAAACAAACTATTGTCTATGGATAAAGTGCATAGACTACATTGCATACATCTTGCTGTAGCTGTAGTTGTCAAATTTATCAATGACATAAAATGTTATTACTCTTATCAGTACACAGTACAGTACACAAGCTAATGGCACTAATGGCATAGAGTGAGGATTGAGTTTCTTTTCCCCCAGTTTTGACGTGGCTTTGACATGGAACGATGAAAACTGAGCGCCACCTGGTGACATTGATTCCCGCGAATTAAGAAAGGATGGCATTTGACATCAGTATGGCAGTTAAGGAGATGCAACGCTCAAAGTCAGACGGTTGGGCGCATACTAAATTCCAGTTTTCATTCTATCATTGTCTGTCTATGATCTGAGATCATTCTGTTCAGATATTCCAGCAGAGACATGTTGTGATTCACATGATTTATGTGTAACTATTGGAAAAACAACTTGTACATGTTCATAAAGTATTTAATTATAATTCTGAGATGTATCCATGTTTGTTGTGAAATTAATGTTGCATGTGTGTTGATCTATAGATTTCAATCAAACATTATAATACTGAGATTCCTTGATATATCATCATAATTATAAACCCATGAAAACTCAAGAAAGCGTATGGGATAGGTTAGATGTCCGGTAGATAGTCTCCTTCCTCAAATCCTCACACTGAAATATCCAATCAACCAGCGCTTTAAAGTGCAATCACCATTGGTCAGCAACAGATTGAAGATACCAGTTTGATCCGCCCACATAATCGACTATCTAGACCGCTAAATGTTATAGCCGAACAACTCGAAAATCTCATCTAAATTGATGGCCCAAAATGTATAGTTTAGTGGAATATATATCCTTCTAAGGTTGATAATATTGAAATAGTTTTCATCCATAAGTTCCAAATGGTAAAAGCCACCAGATCGAAATTTCTTGCATGAGTAACCGTGGGCTCCGTTTGGATTTCGTAAATGGATGAGCGGCATTAACGGTCTAGATAGTAAGTTATGTCGGTGGTTTGATTGATGACAATAAGACAAATTCGAGTATCAAATATTGGAAATGGACAGAAAGAGACGGAGAAGGGCTCACAGATTCATACCGATGAAACTGAGCAATCTTTCGATGGGCGACCCCGTATAGTGACTAGAAGCGACAAAGATTATAGCTTTTTGGACACGGAAGCGGAAAGCATTCAAAACCGGAAAGAACGCGAAGAGCATTGATTTTTCGAAGGAAATTCAACAGATACTGTTTCATATTGAATTCGCCATGTATGTGACGGGGAGGATGAGATAATTCAGTGCATCTCGGTACTAGCCAGCGGTACTCCGGCTAGTGCTACAGTCAGGTTTTTCACGTGAGTTTGCCAGGTTGAGGAAAGCTGGAAGAATTTCACCCCACCGAATTCCACTCCATCAATGTATACTAGAAAAAGTTAGAGAATAATAATAATAAGTTCCGGGTAGTGTCGTTAATCTATGAAATATCCATTGCAATAAGAGAGAGACAAAATCTTTTTTTCATTTTCGATAGCAGATTAATAGTAGTAGTACTATGAGTACTAAAAAATATTCGGGTACGATAACTTGTCAACTGTCAAACTGACACTATATCTAATTATACAACAAGTTCTCGATGTATGTAGTTCTGAATGAACGTCAGAATTTCAACGACGCGCTTTGTTCGTATATAACAATATAAATATCCATATATGTATATTCGAAATTATACAAGGTAGCTTGACTCAATTGCTGATTAGTTTAAAATCATAGGAAGAAAATAATCGCGAAAATATTTGTTTGAACGGTGAATTTATTGGGTTAGTTCATGTTTTCAGTTATAACTCAGTAGCTGAACAGGAATAGTTATATCTTGCTGAAAGAACATGTTTGTAATTAAAAACTAATGAAAATGATGAATATTGCCTATGCAACCTTTTACTTTGGGTCAGATAACTTGACAACTGTTCATTTCAGCTGGAATGAATTGTTGATTTAGTGTTCTTTCAACAAAATTCAGAAAGAAATTCGAATATTTTGAAAAAAAAAAAACTGAAATTTCATTAGTGGCGTGGAAAATACCAGAGAGAAAATGACAACATCCTGTGACGCGTCACTAAATAAAATGATTCAAGTAACTATCATCAAAGATAAGGTTAGAAATACTTGAGACAGAATGTTCAAATAAACAAAAATAAAAAATATTTTTTCAACATTTAAAAAGTGATAGTCACTAGAAACAGAAAGTGAGGAAAACGTCATCAATATGTTCAATCAAACTAATTTTTAAACATCTCTGCGTTGCCCTTGGTAAAAATGAAATATGTCGAGCCCGATTTTTCAATCCCGGAATTTTCGGGAATAAAGATCTTCCGGAATTCCCAGTTTGCATCAAAATTTATTTAAAAAAAATCAAACTTGAACTCATTCAAAATAATTTTTATTCTTCAACTTGGGCACCTTGTATTTCTGAAACTCAATACACGAGGAGTATTGAGGATCTCATGTTTCTACCTCATCCTTCATCAACTACGAGGGCTAGCTCCTGTGAAGCATACTCGATTGAATTTTGACACACCCTGTATAGCTATTTGAAGTCGCCGGTGAAACATTGCAGGCGAATGTGAACACACTCTGTACACAAAAATGATACAATAGGAATATATAGGCACTAACCTTTCATGGGGGTATTGTGAGAAGCACGCGCAGAACATATCAGCCTCAGTACTCCCTCCACATTTTGACTGCGAGGCTCCATCTCCTTTTCTTTCTCCTTTTTTTTGCCCAATCTCATAACTATATAGATCAGGAAAATAATATAAATAATAGTGAAACCTCATCTGATTTGTTCATGCTTGAACCACACTTTTCAATTAAACTGTTCTTCCAACCTACAAAATTAAAACTTCACCTAAGAGAAGTGTTCACTAAGGAACCTACTAACATGTGATAACTTTCCATTACAAAAACTTATAGATCAGATATTATAAGAATCTGCTTACTTTTTTGTTTTTTCTCCTTGTTGGCCAAATGCACGGTGAGGTTCAACCCTGAAGTGGTAGTAGGAGAGGCCTGCAGGCCCCTGAACAGTGCCTTGAGGGACGTCTTTCCGTCCTGCTTGACCTTGTCTTTGTCAGTCTTTAAAGCGCTGTCGCCAGCTTTCGGCACCTATATATTAATTATTTTACTCCGAAGAACTTGTCAACTTGGTAATAAAAATAAGGTAATTTATTCATATTCATCTTGAATCTAATTTGGAATCATACATGGCGTAGTCGGTAGGATCAATATAATCTAGCTAAATATCAGGCCAGACATTTAATATAATAGAAATTGCAATAATTGCGGTACACTTGCATCTTTGATAAATTGTTCAGGTTCTCTTAAACAATATCTGTCCAGATTTGCAGCACTCTAAAATGTACGCGGGTCAAGTTATTGCCGGAAAACTACTGGATTTATTCACTTTTTTCAATTTTATGCAAAAAACACATGCCAATGCTCTGACGAGAAAGGTCACTATTACTCATTCTCAAGTATGCCAAATTCCCGACAGTTCGTATAATGATTAAAATTGAAAATTCCTCCTCATATCGTTCAGACACTATTGCGAATTTGAACAGGAACTGACAACCACATTGTTTTCGTTTTGCGTGTCGCATTAGCAACGACCCGTGTGTCTTCACCCTTACCTGCCAATAGTCCACCTGCAACTCGAGTGGTTCCCAGGGCGATTCGCGAGCCTGCACGTTCGGAGACGAAGGGGGCGTCAACGAAGGGGCAGGCGGACTGGAGCAGATCAAGTCGTCGAGGTCGACGGAGACGGACTGGTATTGATCGGCAGGACCGACTCTCACCTCCTACGAACAAAAAGATGGAATTGGTCGAAGCGACCTTATGACTGCGCCAAGGTCGTTAGAAGAGGGCTCAACAACTAGTGAATACCACCCCTTCCACAGCGTAAGTAGACGAGTATATTGTGGCTCAATCCTAGAGAGGCTACAGTTGTACAACTGTACAATTCAGTTCTTTGCAAGGTTCATGGTTTATAATATAATATAATGGTGAATAATCAGAGGTTTTGGATGGTTTGTTTATGTAGTAGGTAAAATGCAATTTTGTCATTTACTAGAAATACTTTGTATTTCAATATTTTATTGCAATTTCTGAGTAGTTTTATTACATTCCCTGCGATATGCGTGGAGCATTAATTTTCACAAGCGGGAGGAAATGGATACCTTTGCTCCCTTGGTATATAATTAGCTATTATTACCAAGGTGCATATTATATTTTTTGTTCACCAATATCAATGTTTCCCAAACATTGAAGTTTCACAGAACTGAAGAGATTCCCTGTAATGATAAGGAACGGTGGCCCGAAACCTGTCTGCAGGTGGTTAGGCATCAATTCAAGCTTAGGAAAGAAACATTTACATTTAAAATCAGTATCTGTTTATATGAATCATTGCATAGATTTTGGAAGACTGTGGCCAGAGAGATAGTTTTTTTTTCATTATTCTTTGTTTGTCAATTTACAGTTGTTGATATATTTTGTATAATGATATGTTTACCTATAGGTATATAATTATGTACTTCCTTATACCAGAGCCTATTCTGTCTGGGAGTTATATGTTCAATAAATAAATAAATGAATAAATAAATAGTTCCTAATATAAATGTTCATATAAAATGGAATATTTTGTGTAAATTACATTTACAAACAGTATTTGTTTACATGAATCATTGCATAGATTTTGGAAGACTGTGGCCAGAGAGATAGTTGGTTATAGTTCCTGATATCAATGTTCATATTATGAAATATTTTGTGTAAATTACTGACTTTTCTTTCACTGTCTCAAGACTGGCTGCCATTATTTTTGTAGAAGTTCAGAAAAATAATAACTGAAGAACAACTCATAAATATATGCTATAAGGAAATCCAACTTGGGTTAGAATTAATATGGCACCTGGTTGGCGCCGTATATAAAATCAATTAAAAAATGCGTCCGTTGCAATTGAGATGTTCCATTTCGAGATTTTCTGTGATTATTGTAGTTGTCCTCTTGATAGGAACAGATATTCACGCCTGAAAACATTAACTGCCGTTGGATTGCCTTTCAATATTAGGTTGGCAATCTGTTCAATCCAGAAATGGAGGTTAAAGTTCAAATATCTTTACTACTATTTTTGCTATGAATATTCATTGAGAAGATGATTGATTCTTCATAAGTTCTGCCTAGTACTTTTCTGGAATGATTCCTTAAGAAACTTTCTCGGCAGCAGATGTCGGCGTGATCTGGAGTATTAATAGATATCTTGAATCAAAAATATAATGTATGTATTACACGATCAAATAGAGAAACTAAATCTCAACAGACCAACGAAAACTGCATAGCTTTTCGCTAACGAAAGATATTGACGATCAAAGTCGGAAAAAGGATTGTTGACAGGCGTTCTTAGTTGTTTACCGGTACACTAAAACATTATCAAGCCTTTGAGCGAAAATAAATTGATCAAACTATCAACTGGAAATCAAATGAACGAATATGGAGAAATTATCGAGCTCGCCATTACCTAATCAGATATCTTTGGACTACCAACTGAACAGCCAACTGCCGTAGAATTGAAATACGAAAAATTAATACATATATTTTCATACTAACACTGACGAACGGAATAAACAGCTGACTGTTCTCGTCGTGACAAGTGAGCATCGCCTCCCCGACGGGCATGTGAGCCAACGGAGCACTAGGGGGCCCCGCCAGATATCTCAGCACCCGCTGGGACAGCTCTTCGATCTTCAGTTCTTGGTCGCTGGGAAACAGCGATTGGTAACCTGGGTCTAGAGTAGAAAGTTGCCTGGAAAAAACATCGACATTTTCTAGAAATCAATGGTACATTTTTCCCCAATTAGTAGATTCTAACATTGATTTTTCCAAATAGGTCATGACATGACATCTACTTTTTCATCACAGTCAAAATGTCATCCTCTATGAAGACATTCTCAGGACTATAAATAACATTTTTCCCTCAAGAGTAACTTCATTTAGATTTAGACCCTACACAGTGAAGTACAATAAATTAAGTTATAATTTGTGAAAGTCAGTCTGTCGCCAATAATAGTTATTTATTGTACAAGGGAAAAAAGTAGTAGATTTTAGCTCCAGGTTGTGTTGTCTCCCGACGCGTAGCGGAGGGAGACAAAAAACCGTGAGCTAAAATCTAATATTTTTCCCGTGTACAATACACTATTTTTTTCTATGACAGAAGGAAGGACGAATCAATATTGAGAAGATATTACATTATTTCGAAATGTGAAAATTATCGACGTGAAATTTCAAGTTTTTAACAGTTGGGACACCTGCGTTTTATAGGCATCTTTATTATTCTTTTGAAGTAATCAAATATCTGATGTCACTTCTGTCAGTTCAATTCTGTGATTTGATTTTAAAAAATTGCGAATTCAGTAGTTGTTTAGTAATATACGAAACCGCGAAGTCGAATGGAAGATAAAAGGACTTGCAGTTCTTTCTCGAAGACGGTATTATTGACTCATTTTTCGGAACTATAGCACAACAAAAGCCATTAACAGAGTATATATATGTGATATATATCCGGGAAAAAAGTACTCACTTTTTTCCCACGGGAAAAAAGTAATTTATGAAAAGTGACAATTTATAACCTGCCAACAGAGATGAAATGCCAAACTTTTTTCCCGTCACAGAAAAAACACATTTACAGAAGACACGATTTATTATTTGCATAGAATATATCGATGGCGTCCTCACGATTTTCTTCCTATCATTCCGCTGGATTATCCCCACCATTCACTATTTCATTCATTAATTAGTATTTGGCGTTAAGGCATTCAGGATTATTGTCATAAACATTTCCGTAAAATAATAATGAATCCTTGTCTATGTATCGTTGACAAAAACATTGAAATTAAAATTGACATAAAAGGAATTACACTAACATTGGAATACTCCAAAAAACATTCACGAAGACGATAATACGAAAGTTAACTTGTTTTGTCTACCAGTGAATGTTTCTTGCTATACCTACTTCAATGTTCGTATCACCAAGTATCACCAAATAGTTTTATATACATTATAATATTGTCAGGAAAGGATATTTTCCAAATTATTGTCAAATATTACGATTACTATCATTATTATTTCACTGTTCTGATTTATCGAGTTTATTATATTTCTCAGCAATTCAACTGTCCTCGTTCGTAACAAAAAATTGTTCAATGAAATAATCGATGATAATCCACGTACCAAGGGGGACTTGACTTTTGGTCCGAATAGCGGACGGTTGCTGGTGGCAACGGAGACATCCTCGAGTTTTGTTAGATTATTGTAAGTACCATTTTAATTATTTATTCAGTCGTCAACCTAATGCCTCTTCAAGGAATGTCAAATTTATTTGTTTTTGTTGTTCAATCTGTAGCCCTTTTATTGAATATAAATCCTCAGCAAATCTCAACTAGCAAAGAAAATAAGTCACATTTGTGACAATATCAATGCTAGTGAATTAGGAAGAACTCAAGTTATACAGTGGAGGCTTTCAAATAGTATACCAAACAACGAAACGTCGACTCTGGAAGTAGTTTTTCTTCAATGTCACAACCAACTTAGAAAAAATTGTGGTGCAAATTGGATGCTCACCTGGATATGTTGCAGCTCCCCAAAGGGACGATATAGACGCGAGTGTACGAGAGCCATTCGGACGTTTTGCTGGAGAGGAGTTCCACATAGGGACGGACGAACCATCCTATCAGGGTGTCTCCGCCTATCAGGAGGAGTTTGATGGACGTACCGGGTTTGGCACAACTGTTGCAGCTGAAAAATAAATAATATAATGAATCTTCCAGACATAATGAATGAAGCAACATATCTGGAGTCAACAAATCATCAGGTTTGTATGGACCCCTAGCTGTTTCTAGAAAATCTGAATTGGAAATTATTGTTTCTACGTTGATGCAAAAAACAAATCTTTCTTGAACTATTTTTAGTAGAAAAACTGGTTCTTTATTGCACTAGTGTAATAACATTTTTATTGCACTCATCTGTCATTTCACTACAGTGTATTTTGAGGAGATGACAAACATGAACGTCATTTTTTGTGCATTTGACATGGTCGATCATAATATATTGATTAACAAGCTATATAACTGTGGTGTCAGAGGGATACCTGGTTGTTGGCTATCATCCTATTTTTCCGGACGATCGCAACAAGTTATACTCAAGTCTGGAGGTGCCAAGTATATTTCTGAATTCCGTGATGTGACCAGGGGTGTTCCTCAAGGGGGTGTGCTAGGCCCTTCTCTCTTTATCATCTTCATTACTGATATTCTTACGAAGGTCAATATAGGGTCTTTGTCCTATTTGCCGATGATATGTCCACCTTATTGACCTCTGATTGTATGACCAACCTTAGGTCCAATGTGGGTGAATGTGCTAGATAGGCTTTTGAATACAGCACTCAAAATAACTTAGTTCTCAATTTGTCGGAAACAGTGATGATGGTTTTTAGTACTAGAGACAATGATCAGTCCCTCTATGTTCATGAAAATGAACATACAATCAAACAGCTATCAACTACCAAATTCCTTGGAATCAATATTGATGAGAAGTTGTCATGGTCTTCACATGTCGATTTTATTCTGAAGATGCTTTGCTACCACAACTTTGTCATTGGGAAACTCAGAAGCTGTGTCGATAAACATATCCTAATATCATACTATTATGCATATGTTTATTCTCTTTCAAGTTATGCAGTTGTGGTCTGAGCTAACTGCAGTAGAGTTAAAGAAATTTTACTGGCACAAAAAAGAATTGTCAGAAGTATGCTTGGTAAACCTCCTCAGCAGTCTTGTCGGCCGTTGTTCCAGGGCTATGGCTTCAATTTATGTATTACAGTGTGCAGTTTATGTCAAAAAACATATTGGAAATTTTCAGATAGTTGGCAATATGCAATAATACTCTTTGAGAGACTCTGACAAACTGATTATTCCCCAGCATAGGTTGACCTTGACTAATAACAGCGGTTACATCATGCCACTAAGGATTTATAATCACTTACCCATGAATGTACGACAAATTGACAGTATTTACAAATTCAAATGAAAGCTCAGGAGAATTCTTTCTAAGTATAATTTTATATACATTTTATATTTAGATCTGTAGTTAGGATAAGGTACTATCATTAGTAGTTGTGTGTTGTAGTCTTGTGTCATGTATGTTTAATTTAAGGATTTTTTTTATGACAAACCCAATGTCCTGTAAATAAAACCTCTCCAATAATGAAACAGGTACTCACTACTTGTGGATTTTGTTGAAAAGTGTGGTCAGTACAGCCTTGGTTTCTACGGCGGACAAGGGTTGGAACACCTTGTGCTGCGGACCGAACCTCACACTCAGAGGAACCGTAACGCTGTCGGGACCGGACAGAAACACGACGCTCTCTGGTAGGACGTTCTCTTCGGGAGACAATACTTTGCACACCAACTCCAAGAACACTTTTCGAGGCTAGAAAAAAAATCGAGTGATGTGGATAAACGATAATTGTGGCCAGCGTAGTCTCTCTCAAATGAATTATTATAGAATTATTACTCAACTACCTAGTATTGGGTTTCTGATGTCTAGAATGGGATGTCAGATTATTACGCCATCCTACTGTCATTATAACTCTTATTACTCGATTCATCACAATAATGTCTGTCATTAAATGTTGAAAATCGAGTAAGCAATGTATGAATGACTCCATAGTTGTAGATAAATGTATTTATTGTATAATAACACCAATAAACGATTGATTGATTGATCGATTGATTGAAATGCCTATCTAATAATAATAATAATAATAATAATAATAATAATAATAATAAATCGGCTTTATTAACGGAGTCGATACAAATTCTTAGTGTGCAACACTAATTTTGGCAGTCTAGCTGATAGCTACTCATACTCAACCAAATTAGGTCACAGGATATACTTAATATACATATAAACATGTTACAATACAATGAGAAATCATGAAACAAAACAAAAAAAAAATCAATCTGAATTGCAGAAATACTTCTTAAGCTGGGCTGTTCCTCCAGGGGCATAAGTGAATATGTGTTCATTGGTTAGTAAAAAGAAACTGTTTGTATTTGTATTTGAATTTATTCATATTTAGAAGTTTAAACTCTTCAGGTAAAGATGAATCGAATTGAATACAAATGATCTCTGAAACCTGGAAGTGCGATGATGAGGCGTAGTTAATTTGTTTATTTTTCTGATGTTCCTTGAGTGTACTCTGATACGTGGAATTAACTTGCTTTTTAAAGGGGATGATTGTGGCTAGGTGATGATTTCTTTGATTAGTCATATTCAACCATTTGGTTTCCTTGAATTTTCGAGAAATAGATTCATATTTCCTGATTCCATAGATCAAACGACAGCATGAGTTTTGGACATTTTGTATACGATTTTTATCGAATGAAAGTAGACATGGGCCGTATATAAAATCACAATTGAAGTGACTTAATACCAGTGAATCACATAAAATTTTCTTCAATTTTACACTCATGATATGACGGTTACAGTATAAAAATTTCAGTGATAAATAAGCTTTCTTCATCAAATTCTTGACATGTTCTGAGAATCTGAGCTCTGCATCGATCTGAATGCCTAAATTTCTCGTTGACTCTACAATTTTCAAAATATGACCTCCAATATTAACATGCAAGTTTTCACTGATCGTATTTCTTTTGGCATGTGTGCCAAAAGACATCAGAGTAGTTTTCTCAGAATTGAGTTGTAGATCATGTTTTTTCGACAAATTCTTGATTGTCAAGATCCCGATTGATGAGAATTTGCACATTCCTATATTTATTTGCAAAACTCAACAGAAGTAAGTATATCAGCAGTATTTCATTTTATTTTTTTATTTTGGAGAATTAGGCGATTCAACAGATAGACGCAGCTATCCACTAATAGAATCGCACAGGTTACAAATTTTGATCAGTATTAACTTAAACCAAGACAATGCTATAAAGGCCGTTCTAAAATCAAAATGTAAATAGCCCTAAAGGAAATGATATAAATATTTTCAGATCTAGGATAAGAAGTACTTATTTCGATATACTAGACAAAATATAGAGAGTAATTGGAAAATAACAGAAAAAAAAAAGTTGGATCTCTAAATTATTCTAATAAAATAATCGGCATATTTTATGAACTATTATCAGGAAGTATCATAAACAACCTAGTCAGTGCAATTCGTACATATATTGCATATTCAAAAATGGATGAGAAAAAAAGAAACGAAATCATTACTATCGGTTATACAACGCGGTCTTCAACTTTCTCTTGAAAATGTTTATCCTGGTCGAAAAAATATCAAATTCTTCGTCATCTAAACCATTACAAAACTTCATGCACCTATATAGTGGAGAATTAGACATGAAATTGGTAGTTATCCTACCAGGTACGAATAGTAGCCGATGTCGCATAAGATATCGGGTACAATTCAAGAGGAAAAAACTTGTACAGTATGGAGAATCAATAATGTCATTGACAATTTTATAGACAAAGCAGATATCAAAGAATTGCCTTCTCAAATTTAAAATTTCAAGCTTGTAAAATATAACATTACATTCATAAGAGAAAAAATGTCTTCTTTTGTTGAATCGAAAATTTAAAACATTTATTAATTTTTGCTGTACTTTTTCGATTCTATTTATCTTATCCTTATAGAATGGATTCCATACTATTGAGGCGTACTCTAGGTGGCTTCGTACGATAGAGTTATAGAGTGTTATAATTGTTTCAGAGCGATTAAAGGATTTGGTGACTCTTAAAATGAAACCCAAGTTTCGTAATGCTTTTTGAACGATAGTCTCTATATGAGAGTCAAATTTTAATTTGTTGTCAAGAATAACCCCCAAGTCTTTGACTGAGTTAACGTTGTTTATTGATTGTCCATTCAGTGTGAGGTCAAAACGAGGTGGCAATTTGCTTCTGGTGAATAGGATTTTGTGGCACTTATCAAGATTCAGTTTCAACTTGTTTAGTTCACAATATTTGAAGAAACTTTCAAGGTCAGTTTGGAGCATATTATAGTCTTCTATGTTGGTGATGGCTTTGTAGATTTTAAGGTCATCTGCGTATAGCTGTATATCCGTGTTTTCGAAGCATTCATAAATGTCATTTATAAATATATTGAACAAGAGAGGACCTAGATGTGACCCTTGCGGAACACCAGAGGTGACTGACAATGATGAAGATCTAGAATTATTCACAACGACATATTGCTTACGATTTTCGATATAGGACGAGAGTAATTTCAATAAATTTCCATGCACACCGAAATTACGAAGTTTAACAATAAGTGTAGGATGATGTACCTTGTCGAAGGCTTTCGAAAAGTCGGTGTACACAACGCAGGTTGAAATTCCTTTTTCCATGTTCGAGTAGATTTCTTGTACGTATGGTATTAAGTTAGTGAGCGTTGATCTTTTTTTATGAAAACCATGTTGCCACGTATTTATAACATGTTTCAATTGGAAGAATAAGTTTTTAGACAGGATTGATTCAAAGATTTTTCCAAAATGAGAAAGTATAGATATTGGCCTATAGTTGGCAATATCATTCTTTCTTCCCGACTTGTGAACAGGTACGATTTTTCCTATTTTCCATTCAGATGGAAAAGTTCCTTCCACCAAGCATTTGTTGAAAATAATTCTTAATGGTTCTACCAAGGATTCACCACATCTTTTAATAAATATCGGGGGTATACCATCAGGCCCCGGACCCTTATTGATATCCAAATCATGAATGGCTTCAGAAATTTCCGTAGCATTTATATAGTACACCTCAAAGTTGTTAAAATTATTTACATCACTCTGAACTGAAGAAGACGTCAGGTTAGGTTCAAAGACACTATTGAAGTATTCAGAAAATAGTTCACAAATACTCTCATTATCATAAGCAACTCTGTCATTTAGAGACATACGCGCAGGAATTGACCTATTATTTTTTTTATTAGCCAAATATGACCAAAAATATTTGGAATTTGATTTCATATTATTTTCTGTTTTTTGAACGTAACTGAGGTAATCTTCTTTGATCTTTTTTTTCACAATTTTACGCAAATTGGAAAAGTTTTCATAATCAACATTATTTTTATAATTTTTCCACTTCTTATGCAACTTTTCTTTTTGTCTAATATTTTTGATAGTTTCTTTAGCAAACCATACTGGAAAATCATTCTTTTTAACAGTTGTCTTAGGTATGGTATTTTCTATGAGTCCATTGACTATAGAATACAATTTATCAACACTCTGCTCTGCATTTAGACCGTTGAAGATTTCAACCCACGAGTAATCTTCTAGTTGAGCTTTACTTACATTATAGTCAGCATCAAAAAACTTAAGTTTTGTATATGACTTACTGGGAAGCAGTTTAATACCAGTGATTTGTAAATTGATATCTAAAGCAGTGTGATGTATGTCTTCTTTCACAAAAGGCTGATCACAGGCTTGGGTATCAACTTTGATAGAGTTAGAGAAAGATAAAACTAGATCCAATATTTTTCCTCTTGAATTATGAACATTACAGTGCTGTTTTAGGTTTAACAAAGAGAAATTATCAACAAAACATTCACTGAGGGCATCCGCTGCGTTGATTGGTCTGAATGATTCTAGTGCCATATCAAATTCCCAGTTAATATTTGATAGATTGAAATCTCCGATAATTATATATATAGTATAGATGATGAAGATGAGCGGTCCAAGAATAGATCCTTGGGGAACCCCTGAGAAGATATCCAAGGATGAAGAATACTCATCATTTATAGAAACTCGTTGTGACCTGCCTAACAAATAAGACCATATAAGAAATGCGGCATCATCATCAAAACCATAATAGCGCAGTTTAGCACAAATTAGTTCATGATTTATGGTATCGAAGGCTTTCGAAAAATCTAATAGCACAAGCAAGCTAGCCAGACCCTTGTCTAATGATTCGATGATGTCCGTTGTAACCATTGTCAGTGCCGTACCAGTGCTATACCCCTTTCTGAAACCACACTGTGAATCAGGTATCAACATTTTCATTGTAAAGTATTCAAATATTTGATTATAAATGATTCTTTCAAAAATTTTAGACACAGTTGGTAATATACTGATAATTCTCAAATCAGAAAAGCTCGAAGGATCACGTTTCTTGGGAAAAGGATTACCAACAGCAATCTTCCATTGACTCGGAAAATATGACTTTTCGAAACAGCAGTTAATTATATGTGTAATATAAACGTCAATAAATGGACTGCAATATTTCATCATATAAGACGATATTTGGTCAACACCTAAAGCCAGAGTTTTTATACCTTGTAAAATATTATGAACATCTTCTGCGATCGTTAAATGAAATGAAAATTGGTTATCAAGATTAAATGAATTTGTACTAAAAAAAATCAATCTTTTCATCACAATTATTGGTAACATTTTGTACAAATTTAGCAAAGATATTATTGATTTCGTTGGGATTTGATATATGATCAGGTATCATGAGATTATTATTAGCACGAATATTAAGATTGCTCATTGCATTCCATGTTTTACGAGAATTATTTTCAGCACAAACTGACCTTAAATAAGCTTTTTTCTCAGCTCTCACCATCGACAATGTTTAATTACGAATATCTTTATAACTCGACCAATCTGCCTCCGTTTTTGTATTTTTGAATTTTTGTAAGGCTCTATCTCTTTCTCTCATTATTAATTAATGATTTTAACAGATGTGATTTTAGGTTATTGGGTAATGACAGATGGCTGAAATTTGGCAATGTATTTTCATAAATGAAATGTGAGCTAATAAAATAGTGTTAGAAAAAAATTCGAAAACTTACGGTGACCGCCTCGACGGGCGGGTCGACCCCAGCGCTGGGCGAGCATTTCTTCTTGGCCGCCGCGGCCGCCGACCGGAACAGCTTCGACTTGCGCTCGCTCAGCTCCTGCACGATGGCCGACAGCTCGCCGTCCCCGGCCGGCCTGCCGCGCCCGCAACCGCCGCCTCCCCCGCCCCCAGCCTGCTCGCGCGGCGGCGACCCCGTCGGCGGGTCGCTGTGCGCCTCGGGGTCGGTGAAGCAGACGTCCGCGTTGCCGTCGGAGCCTGCAACATCGACGGCGGTCGTGAAGAACGGAAGAAGACGAAGAAATAGTCATTTATTAATCTTTGGAAGAAGTCCATGGTAATTCAAAGTGGAGTGGTGTAGTTCATAGATGAAAACCCAAAGTCATCTCCACAACATTTATTTATAATAAGCTTATTATCAAAGATTGATATTTTCAAGTTTAATTACCACTTATCGGTGATTTAAGGGTACCGTGGGCCCTTATTAAATATGTTCCCGACCCCTAAACCTTCAACTTTAAAAAAAAAATTTAAAAAACATTTTTATTATATAAACAATCATGGAGCAATGGCCTTTGCTTGCTCCGTTATTGCTTATTTTATACACATTGCAACATTTTTCACTTCCATAACTTTACATTTTCTTGGCTGATGATGGGCTTATATATGCCCGAAACATGTTCCCTTATATGATCTATGATCATTAAATAAAAGTTGTGGAGATGACTTTGGGTTTTCATCTATGTAGTTATTTATTATACAAGAGAAAAAAGTAGTAGATTTTCCCGTGTATAATACACTATTTTTTCTGTGACAGAAGAAAGGAGGAATCAATATTGAGAAGATATTACACTATTTTGAAATCTGAAAATTATCGACGTGAAATTTCAAGTTTTTAACAGTAGGGATACCTGCGTTGTAGGCATCTTTATCCATTCTTTTGAAGTAATCAAATATCTGATGTAACTTCTGTCAGTCTAATTCTGTGATTTGATTTAAAAAAATTGCGAATTTAGTGGTTGTTTAGTAACCGTAAACGTGAAGTCGAATGGAAGATGAAAGGACTTGCAGTTCTTTCTCGGAGACGGTATTATTGACTATTCTAAACTATAGCACAACAAAAGCCATCAACAGTGTATATATATGTGATATATATCCGGGAAAAAAGTAATTTATGAAAAGTGACATTTTATAACCTGCCAACAGAGATGAAATGCCAAACTTTTTTACCGTCACAGAAAAAATATATATTTTTTAAGTTCTGGTTCCCACGAGAAGGAATATCCTGTAATGTTCAGATAACATCGTGAGAACAAAGGGAAATAAGGTAGAAATTGGTGTTCTTCCTAAATTTCTGGAGGTTATATGCCTCGGGGAACACCTCCCTTGGCAATGTGTTCCAGAGCCTCGCTGTTCGTTGGATGAAGGAATTTTCGGAAAGAGATGTTCTGCAGGTCTCCAAAGTGCCCACGAAAGGGGTGCGAAGCCTCAACTCGACGGGGTAATCTCGCGGGGACTGCCAAGGGAGGAACAATTGTTGATATTTCAGAAGAGCATCGTCCATGAAAATATTTATAAAATTGAGCCAGAACACCAACTTTTCTACGGTGTTCCAGAGATCTGAGTGAGCTTGTGAGTGAGGCATCACCACCACGAGACGAATTGCACCTTTTTTGGACAGAATCCAACAGTTTCAGGGTATGTTTGGGTGCTGCGCCTTATAGATCATAAGCAGCTGACTGGAAGTGAAATAGCTCCTGGCCCGAAAGAGAAAACCAAGTTTTTGTGATGCACTTTTAGTAATTGATCTCACCAGATTTTCCCAAGAAAGGTTATTGCTGATAGTAATACCAAGCGTCGAAATGGACGTCTTCAAAGGTATGGTTACTCCTGACATGCTTATGTTTGGCACAGTGAGATTGGCTTTTCTAGAGAAAAGGCATGCTTGTGTTTTGTTTGCATTGAAATCCACCAAGTTATTGGATCCCCATTCAAGAATTGTTGCCAGGTCCATATTTATGTTGTCAACATTTCTTCCTCGTTCGTTTCTGATTTGCCTGGCTGGTATTGGAGCCCTGGAAGAGGAGGCGGTATGGAGGGTACTATCATCCGCGAAGCTGTGTACTGGACATGAAGTTGCTTCCAAAAAATCGTTGATATGGAGTAGAAATAGTGTTGGTGCTAGAATTGATCCTTGCGGAACACCAGCATTAATGGTGAGAGAGTCAGATGAAACTCCGTCGACCACTACATGGAGAGACCTGTTCGAGAGAAAACTAGCTAGCAGAGAACATAGTTGGGGAGGCAAGCGATAAGATGGAAGCTTAGCGAGAAGTCCGTGGTGCCAGACTCGATCGAATGCTTTGGAGATATCAAGTGCCACGGCTAAGGTTTCACCATATTTTTCAATATATGTGAGACGTAAGCGAGCAGGTCACCAGTTGATCTCTGATGACGGAAGCCATATTGCCTATCGTTGATCATACCTGAATGTTCCAGGTATTTTATGAGCTCGATGTTGATAGCTTTCTCTATGATCTTTGAAACAATAGATAGCAGTGCGATCGGTCTGTAGTTGCTAGGTAGGGTCTTTTTGCATGGGTTGCGTACAAGAACTGTCAGATGACCGACCCTGGAGGCACAGCATTGAAACACGACCTCACTTTTCTTATTTGTTTACAAGTGATTTGAGCTAGTTCTTCACAATTTTTCTTTTTTTTTGGCATACGAATCGTATTTTTCGGTTATTCATTAATAATTCGCTCATGCCATCATATTGTGCTGTTGTACAATGTACAAAAACTGCAGCGGAAGACGAAGGAATCCGGTTGGTACATTATGATTTATCGTTTGTGAAATTTTTACATTTGCCATGGATTTTCATCAAGTAACGTCCGAGTGAATTCAAAAAAATTATGATTTGAAAGTAAGTCCCCACTATAGTCACTCACATATAGTTTACATTTTTGAAATTTGGTAATTTCTCATCGGAATTTCTTCTGCAATATGAGCTAATAGAAATACTCATGAAATTTCTAAAATAATGCAAGATTGGATTCATGCAATCAAACGATAGGACTGGTCTGACATGCTGACGAAATATAATCGTGCGTGTTGTGACATTTTCAATCTATTAGTAGTATTAGCTTGTATTGCAGAAGTGGCAGAAGGAATTTTAATAAGGAATGACATTTCATAATGAAAACTATGTGAGATTACTATTTACCTGAAAAGTCATATTCCTTCGTCTCTCGCTGCGTTTTTTGCGCATTGTACAACAGCACAATGCGGAAGCATGCTTGAATTAATGAATAGCGCAAAAAACGCGATTCGTATGCCAAAATATTGTGAAAAACTATTTCAATATTTTGATTCCTCTGTAAACAAATAAAAAAGTGAGGTTGTGTTTCAATAATTCACAGAAGAGTGAGGTTGTGTTTCAATATTTTACCTCGAGGGTCGGTCATCATGCACACGACCTATTATGCCAAATGGCTAACGACCGAAGTCTTCCTGCCAGTATACCGGGTGACACAGAAGACATGTGACAGCCTGTAGTTTTTTTATTTGAAGAGATGGAAATTTGAAATTCACAAGGGTTATATTATCGATGATGGCGCTTCCCTTGAACTCAATGACAATTTTCTTCAACCACCTGTTTGATTGGAAGTAGACCCAACTTTTTTTTCAAACGGCACCCTGTATATTCTGTATCTATTTCTATATCTTATTTGCCTTGAAATTCTCTATTCAACTTTGCATCACAATTTGATATTCGTTTATTAATTGACAGTTAAACTACATTTTATTGAAATACATGAAGTTGGCTGTGACCTGAATACAAATACATTTTGATGCTTGATAGGCTTAGAAATTCAAAGATCATTACTTAGACGATATCATCAGAATATTTTCCATACCATAATCGGTCCCAGGTTGCGAATAATTTCATTGAGTTTAGAAAAAAATAACTCACGATATTGAGAAAACTAAGATAGAAACGGTTTTCGCATTTGTTTTTTCCAATGAACAGACAATATTATACCTCTCCTCTACTAGCTTTTTCATTTAGATCAACAATGGATATGCTAGACATAGACAAGTTCTCAAATGAACTTTGTTGAATTATCCCCTTGATTCACCCTCAGCATGATTTACGAGAAAATGATGTGATCTTATGTATTATTCTACATGGTAAAAGAATCATCATTATTATTATTATGTTTATTATTATTATTATTATTGTCACCTGAGCACGTCCTCTCCTCGTGCCTGTCGGCCTCCACGAAAGGCACCGCCCCGCTATCCAGCAAACTCCTGCTGGAGCTGAAGAACGGCCGCAGGCTCGGCTTCGGCGTACTGGTGATTGACATGGTGTCCTGCTCGCCCCCCGAATCCTCGTCGCAGCTCAGTGACTCGAGCTCCTGGAACAGCGCCTGGATGTCGCTCGGGTTGTCCAAACAGTCTCTCACTCGGCCACCTAGAAAAACAAAGGAAATATCGAAAAATTTACAGGGAATGGCAAACACGGTTGGTGTGTTGGTTTTAGAATGAGGAATTTGTGCGGAACATATGTAAGACAAACAAGAAGATCAGATGTATCAAGAATCGTGGAACATGAGACGTTCAACGCCGCTGAAATCCAACAAACTCCTGCTAGAGTGTTGTCCATACAGTTATTCACTTGATCTCCTAGACTAGAAGAATATTGAGATAATGTCAAACACGGCCGATTCTCTAAGTTTTGTAGAATATAATACAATAAAAATTAAAAAGCCATCATTATACGAATATCAAGCCTCAAACCTGATAGAAAAACGAAAAAATGACAATGAATGGCAAACACGGCTGGTTTTTTATTTGGGATACGGGGGAATTTGTGCGAAACATTTGTAGGGCAAACAAGGATATTGGATTAATCAAGTATCATGGAACATAAGATGTTCAACGCCGCCGCTATCCAACAAACTCTTGCTCATGCCATCAGAGTCCGGCACCCAGAACCTCTTCAACAGCGACACGAAACGCTGCTTGAGGTTGTGTCTCGCGTCCGGCATCTTCCACATCGCCTCACTGTCCCAACAAATCGACGCGATTCGATTCATCCATTGAACATGTCAATGGCATGCCCTCGATCCTCTCCTCATGATTCCACAGATTCATCCCAACCTATATATCTTCTTCGTGATTCATGAATGACAAAACATACCTACCTTACTGAGCATGTTTTCTAAAATCATTGAGAAAAATTATAAAGAAACGAATTGTGAATTTCATCAACATAGAATATAGCTTCGATATAAATCAGTTTGGTTTTCAAGAAAATAGTGGCACTCAAGCGGCAGTATTACAAGCGATAGAAGCAATTCAAAATGGAATAGTAGCTGTTTACATTGATCTAAAAAAGGCTTTTGATACAGTGGACCACACAATACTTCTGGATAGCTTGGAATTCATGGGACTCAAGAGGCATTGTGAGAAATATTTAAGCTTCATATCTTGAAAATAGGAAAATCAGTAACAAATCTGCTAATGGGCTTGTATTACAAAAAAAAAAATTCATAATTCGATAGAACTCACCCAAACTAGCTCACCACCGCAAACCGTTTCTTGCTGTGAGCTCCCTACGTTTTATAAAAAATTATTGAAATCCCCGATTTTTCGGACCTCTGAAAACGAGGCGATGATGTGAAGTCAAAACTCCAATACTGAAACAAGACTATTCCAGAGAGAGATGAATCATACATGATTTCTGACAGAGTGAATTAGCGCGAGACCACAGTTGGAAGGATTAATATATCAGTTGCCTCAGTCTCCGTCGGGCGTTTGGTATTTTCTTTTAACTATGGCGAGATGAGGTTTCTACGTCATAAGAGGGTCCGTTTTCAGAAGGAACTATTATTCATGTCCAAAAATAAAACATTCCAGTTAATTTTTCGATCGAATTATGTCGTCAATCATTATTTATGTATAAAAGAATCATTATAAATACATGGTTTGAGAAGTTCTACTAAGGTGTACAAGCCCATTATATCTTTCACAAACAGGTTATATAACTTCACTGGAATAAAAGTCATTTCGGAAAAAAAAATCCTCATCAGTAACCTGAAGTCCAGTTATTCTTTCAGCCACTTGATCTCCTAGACTGATTTTCTAAGTTTTGTAGAATATAATACAATAAAAATTAAAAAGCCATCATTATACGAATATCAAGCCTCAAACCTAATAGAAAAACGAAAGAATGACAATGAATGGCAAACATGGCTGGTTTATTATTTGGGATACGGGGGGAATTTGTGCGACACATTTGTAGGGCAAACAAGGATATTGGATTAATCAAGTATCATGGAACATAAGATGTTCAACGCCAATGTAAAACTCATTTCGGAAAACAAATCCTCATCAGTAACCTGAAGTCCAGTTATTCTTTCAGCCGTTCTTCATGATATTCACAAACAGGTTATATAACTTCACTGGAATAAAAGTCATTTCGGAAAACAAATCCTCATCAGTAACCTGAAGTCCAGTTATTCTTTCAGCCACTTGATCTCCTAGACTAGAAGAATATTGAGATAATGTCAAACACGGCTGATTTTCTAAGTTTTGTAGAATATAATACAATAAAAATTAAAAAGCCATCATTATACGAATACCAAGCCTCAAACCTAATAGAAAAACGAAAGAATGACAATGAATGGCAAACATGGCTGGTTTATTATTTGGGATACGGGGGGGAATTTGTGCGAAACATTTGTAGGGCAAACAAGGATATTGGATTAATCAAGTATCATGGAACATAAGATGTTCAACGCCAATGTAAAACTCATTTCGGGAAACAAATCCTCATCAGTAACCTGAAGTCCAGTTATTCTTTCAGCCGTTCTTCATGATATACACAATGTTCATCTCCCTATAATATAACTAAAACTCCAACGAACTGACATCTCAGAAAAATACCTTCAGAGTCCGGCACCCGGAACCTCCTCAACAGCGACACGAACCGCTGCTTGAGATTGTGCCTGGCGTGCGGCATTTTCCGCATTGGCTCGCTGTCCGACAAGTCGACCGCCTCCTCCTCCCCCGAGCTGATCTCGTCGTCGTCGTCGCTGTAGTCGTGCTCCGCCGCGCCCAGTTTGTGCTCGTGGTCGACGGGCGTGGAGGTCAGCTGGAGGAGGGAGAGGCGGGCTAGGGGGCCGACGGCCTGTTTGCCGTCCTTGCCGTTGGGGTCGGGCATCAGGTCCAGCTCGATGTCCATCTGCTTCTGCAGCACCTGGAAGACATATTTCATTTCGATAGATCGAATGGACGAGGCCGAAGTGACAGGATGAATAAAAATCACAGAGAAGCCACTTAACAGGCAGGAAAGGTGTACCATTGTACTTTATATGTCTGGGCAGGATAAGTTTGTTGCTATGCAATGTTCCAAGTAATTTGATTGAAATTGGTAATCAAAATTGACACTGACATTGGGTGAACACAAAATGATGGAGTTCTCAATAAAAAAATTACACAAAATTGGTTTTATAACGTTTGGAGAAAAATATACAGGGTGGGTCACGGTAGATGGCACCTTAGACGTTTACGGAGAACGGGACATAAGATCATTCTGAAAATTTGTTACTCAAGTAATTGCTCTTGATCTATCGATCTAAAATATTTTCAGCTCTGCGGCGTTGCCGCTTCTATCGAAAAGTAGCAACAACTTTGTTATTTTAAATGGAACACCCCGTATTTTATTGCATCTTCAGATTCTCTCTGAAGAGCTGATTTCATCGATATATCACACTTGGGGTCTAGCGGAAATGATTACAGAGATATAGGGTGTGAAAAATCGACATCTTTCAACTTAAGGAATTTTTTTTGGCGAAACTATTCATTATTGGTCAAAACGGCTTACATGTCCCTATCTCAACTTTTGATTAACTATCTACTGATATTTAATTGGGACATATACCGGGTGATCAAGAATCTGAATTCTGCACCACCCTGTATTATATTCCTAAAGTTGAAAAATGTCGATTTTTCACACCCTATATCTCTGTAATCATTTCCGCTAGACCCCAAGTGTGATACATCGATGAAATCAGATTTTCAGAGAGAATCTGAAAATGCGATAAAATACAGGGTGTTCCATTTAAAATAACAAAGTTGTTGCTACTTTTCGATAGAAGCGGCAACGCCGCAGAGCTGAAAATATTTTAGATCGATAGATCAAGAGCAATTACTTGAGTAACCAAATTTTCAGAATGATCTTATGTCCCGTTCTCCGTAAACGTCTAAGGTGCCATCGACCGTGACCCACCCTGTATGTGTCACACGGCAGCAAATGTAGATTGACTCAGCCGCGGCTGTCAATCCACTACTTTGCTGCCTAGTATAACAAATACTATTGTTTGACAGTCACGATTCCTGTTACATCGGCCTTAGTGGTCGTTTTCGACTCTGAAGAGAATCAACACTTGCGAAATACAATGTCGGATGGTCATTTGAATAATATTAGTAAGATATACAGTCTGTCCAAGATAAGGTTGCACAGCATGGGGATCTCGGAAACGGTCGGCGATGGTCGGTTAAATGGGTGATAAATTGCGCATTCAGAGGCTCATACCAACAGCCGTCGAAAATTTTCAAAATTATTTTCAGTTTTTCTTCAGTTATATCGAAAAAAGTGAATTTTTTTAATATGTATATATTTCATTTTTTTTCTCCGTTATTTTTAGAGATACAAAAAAATTGAACATCATTTTTCAAAGCAACATTTGATGACGTTTAACGTGGTGATACCGATTTCTTTATGCGACGTTTCGTATTCATAGAACCATTAACTTTCGTTTTCTAAATATGGTCGTCATAATTTTTTCACAGATTCTGAAAGCTTTTTTTATTCTGAATTCAACCATGTATTTTACAAGGTTATTTGAATGTGTTTCGACCTATTTCTATCCATCTTTAATTTTTTTTCGAAATTCCAAAGGAAAAATGCCATCAGTTCTACTTATTTCTGATCATTTAGTGTCAAACATTGATGTGAACGGCGATCTATGCTGAGTCGAGTGCTGAAGTCCATTTATACCTTTCCGTATGTCTTGGAGAACCTTTATTATTTTTTCCTAACTGAAATCAGCTGATATTGTTGCCATATCATTTGTCCATTTATTAATTATTTATTACCTACCACTCTTGTACAAGTGAAATTGTTCCATACGAAATAAAAGTATGTTTCATTGGTTGCAATTCATCAGTTTTTACCCCATTTTGAACTTTTTTGATAAAAAAATATTCAACTGAACGTATATATATAGATACCAATATTTCGAGAATAAATAATGTTCTAATCAATTTATCGTACCCTTTTACCCACTCGAGGAGTCGCTATGCACTCTCATACAAAAATCAAAGACAGAGAAAGATATATGGATGTACTCTTCCCAGGACTTGTGGAGAAAAGGAAGATGCGAAGATCCTTCATCTAAGCGAAAAACATATTCTTGTCCTTGTCTGGCAAAACATATGATTTGCTTCAAAATCGTTAGTGGTTATGTTTGATTGTCACTGTATATCTAGTGTCCATACTCTAATACACAAAAAACGTCAAAACAACAATTAAGGAACTCTTAATTCTGGCCAGTCACTCAACGTACAAAAATGGTATCATTATTATTCTGTAAATAGGTCATTTAACGAAATTATGGTTCAAAACTGTTCAGAATTGAAACAAATAAACAATTACAGGTGGAGAAAAGTTTCTATGGAAAATCATTTCACGATCGTATATTTGAGTTTTATCAGAGTTGCAACAGAATGAGATGAGAAGTATGTGGATATGCGATAGTTGGCAAATGTTTGTGCAGCAGTGAGTATATTAATTTGGCAGTAGTTTTTCATAAGTAGGCGATAAATTGGCACAGAAATTATAGGTTCGAAAGACAAGATAAATATATTTTAAAAATATATCATGTAAGAATAGCGAGGGTTTTGAAAAAAAAACTTGAAATTAATCATCTTAGGTATCTCGGTAGGTAGCTACTACTTGTTTCCATTGATCCAGAACTAGCTTTTCAGAATTTGAAGATAGCAGAAAATGCCAACTGAAGTATTTTTTTATTAACATACCTGTTTAATGCAAAAAATGTGACAATGAAGATATTCAATTCACAACAACTTTTCAAACATTGCTAGCAATTATTTGTAAATAATTATTATGACTCATGTTTTTTTTATCAACTGATGTTGCCTCATATTATTGTTTTGTGCAATGACAATTTAATTACCAATGAATAATTATGATAACAATAATATTGATGATTCATTTACCATATACCTACAATTAATCTGAAATTTATCATTCAGGAAATCATGTTCTCAGTAGAAACTAGAAATGCATATTTTTATATCATTATGAAAATAAGCAGTAAGTACAGTGAACAAGAGTAAACAGTAAACATCATATTATTATACAATGCAGTAATTGAAGTCATAACAGTTTCTGTTGACTCAAGTTGATATGACCAACAACATCATCCACATCAATCAATAATTTAATATCCAAAACAAAACAAGAGTTTTGAATTGACTTGCCATTACTTGATGGAAATACATGGCAAATGTAAAAACTTCATAAACGATAAGATTTCCACAAAATTCTCAAACACACGGCATGTTTCGCTAACACAGTAGCTTCGTCAGGTGATATAATGGTAGAATGAGCTGAACACACACACACCACGCCCCCCGAAAGGTTGAATGCCCAGGATCACAGCCGTCTATTGAAGACGGCTGTGCCAGGATCAAGTGCCGCCATATAACTAGCTTACGTTATATGATAGCTCCTCATCCCCATGTCCATCCACCCCCACTCACTAACGAGTGGACTTCAACCTTATGCATTTGGCAAATCTGCATATGTTTTATAAAACCCCTTACTTGGTTTCAGTCTTCCGACTTTTAAACCTTTTTGTCTAATGTGTGTTTCCTAGCCTGACTTTGCGTGGTGGTTCCCTACCCTAATGGGAAGCAAAATTGAGTTTATGTCTTATCATTATTGGTTTACTTTTTTTATAGGGTATCAAAAGGAAAGACTCTTTTGTTTAATTATCTGATGATTATTATGCAACTTTTATTGATATTGATTTAATTTCGTTCTTTTATCTTATATTTGGTGAATTGGGCGCCTGTACTTTATTCTTCCGAAGCGCGGGTCTTGATTTAATTGTCTGTTGGTCAGGTCGTGCAGTAGCGGGTTCTCGAGGGTTTCCGTTCTTCCGAATGTAGTCTCCGCGTGTTGTCTTATGTAGTTGTCTATGTAGTCTGGGTTTATGTTCAGGTCCCTATAGATAAATCTATTTGGGATATACCATGGGGCGTTTACTGCCATTCTTATTGAGACATTTAGAAATGCCTGTATTCGCTTTTTGTATGTTTCTGCGCATTGGCCCCATGCACTTGATGCATACAAAATTATCGGAAGTAGAATGGTTCTTATTAGGCGCAGCTTCAACTCTAGAGCCATGTTGCTTCTGCGACCTATTAGAGGCTGTAGGTTTTGCCTTGAGGCTTTACCCAGGTTTAGTCGTGTTGTAATGTGTTGTCTGAAAGTGAGTTTGTTATCTAGGGTTACCCCTAGATAGGGATGGGAAAAATTATCGATATTATCAATAATATCGATAATATCGATAATATCGATGATATCGATATTATCGAGATAATTGAAATAATCGAAATTATCGATATAACCGATAATATCAAAATTATCAAAATGAATGAGCATCATAAAAATAGGTATTTTTGTTTTTTATATGGAACACCCTGTATAAAACAGATACCTGTTGGTAAGAATTGAGGTAAGAATGAAAATATAATAAGACACGCCACCCTGTACATTAGCCTTGTTCAAACAACATAGGACTCCAGCACAGCAACTTGCCTGAAGCTATCTGACATCTGGCAACGTGGCAACCCTTATTAGTTGTGGTGGCAAACTTTTTGGTTAGTTATGTGTTGAACGAGTAACAAGTATCAAGTAAGGTGAGTTATCTAATTATATAGAATATTTTTATTTTATCATTCGATCGCTCATTTCTTGAGAAATAACATAATGACAAAATAGCTTTGTTTATTATACCTACCTAGAAACCAGAAATGAGTTTCATAATACCCTTGTCACGACTATGGGTAGGAAAAATTATCGATATATCGATAATTATCGATAATAATTTGGAGAAAAAATATAAAAATATTATCGATAATATCGATAATATCGATAACATCGAAAATTATCGATAACATCGAAAATTATCGATAATATCGATAAATCGATAATATCGATAAATCGATAATATCGATACATTATGAATATCGATAATCGATATTTCAAAATCATTATCGCCCATCCCTACCCCTACATATTTTGCCTCGTCTGCCCATGGTATCTGTATGTCGTTTAGTATTACGTGTCCTGTAGGTTTGGTAGGTCGTCTAGTGATATAATGAGCTAAACTAGGATTGGCTTGCTTATACAGGGTGCGGCACCGAAAACGAAACAGAGGCTCTGTAGGTCGCCAAAACCGGATTATAAAAAAAATCTGAAACACGTCAACTATATTTTCGAGGGGGACATCGTTCTAAAATATTTTCAGCCCTGCGGCGTTGCCGCTTCTAGAGAAAAGAAGCAACAACTTTGTTATTTCAAATGGAACACCATGTATTTTATTGTATTTTTAGATTCTCCTCGAAGAGCTGATTTCATCAATGTATCACACTTGGGGTCCAGCTGTAATGGTTTCAGGGATATAAAGTGTTCAAAATCGAGATTTTTCAACTTTAGCATTTTTTTGTGTCGAAACTATTCATTATTGGTCAAAACGGCATTCATGTCCCTATCTCAACTTGTGATTTACTATCTACTGACATTTATTTGAAACAAATACAGGGTGGTTCAAGATTCAGAATTCTGATCACCCTGTATCTGTTCCAATTAAATGTTAGTAGATAGTAAATCACAAGTTGAGATAGGGACATGAAAGCCGTTTGGACCAATAATGAATAGTTTCGACACAAAAAAATGCTAAAGTTGAAAAATCTCGATTTTGAACACTTTATATCCCTGAAACCATTACAGCTGGACCCCAAGTGTGATACATTGATGAAATCAGCTCTTCGAGGAGAATCTAAAAATACAATAAAATACATGGTGTTCCATTTGAAATAACAAAGTTGTTGCTTCTTTTCTCTAGAAGCGGCAACGCCGCAGGGCTGAAAATATTTTAGAACGATGTCCCCCTCGAAAATATAGTTGACGTGTTTCAGATTTTTTTTATAATCCGGTTTTGGCGACCTACAGAGCCTCTGTTTCGTTTTCGGTGCCGCACCCTGTATATCCTACTTTCCCAACCTGAAGGATTAGTTACCTGTGGACAGGTTCGATAAATCTCCATTTTCAGAAATTAGGCACAATATCTACATCAAAATACGGTGTAGCTCAAAAAGGTAACTAATCCTTCAGGTTGGGAAAGTAGGATATATAAGCAAGCCAATGTTAGTTTAGTTCCTCGTACCAGTATATCACCTGACGAAGCTACTGTCCTGTGTTTGAGAATTTTGTGGAAATCTTATCGTTAGTGGAGTTTTTACAAAACGAGAGTATTCATATATTTCTATACCTTATTGAGAAAGTATTCGCCAATACTTGATCTCTATTTTTTCATCTCATTCCCTCACCTGATCCATCCGTATGACACCTTCGGCCAAAGTCTTGAACCCCAACATGGTGCGATTCTTGTACCTCTTTCTTCTTTGCAGCAGTATGTGCAGCTTATTGCCCTCCCTCTTCAAGAAATGGGGGTACTGCAGACAGAAAGTGACGTCCAATGGAGTGTCAAGCAGCCCCCCTTGGGGTAGTATGAGGTCGTTTGAGCGGAGAGTTCTCTTGCTGGACTGCATTTTCACGGCTATGGATATGGCAGCCAGGTCTGAACCCAAGGGGCGCAAGATAGCCAGACGCGTCAGAGTTAGAGAACAGAGCCTGCCATAAAGAAGTCACAAAATTTGTTGAAAAACAGGGAAAAGTCGGAAAGTGTGTGTGAATACATCAAAATTGTTGGGATTTATCTTGCGTAGAGTTCCTAAATGTACTTAACACTGTTTTTTTGACGTTTTTTGTATATTAGAGTACGAACACTATATAGACAAGCAGTGACTATCAAACATAAGCACAAGCGATTTTGAAGCAAATCATATGTTTTGCCAGACAAGGACAAGAATATGTTTTTCGCTTAAAAGGATCCTCGCATCTCGCAAGATATTTGCGTATTTTGTTTCAAATCTGATATAATTTTTTGCTTATAGTTCTGAATTTTGCTAACTCTGACTTTTGTAACAAAATCTTTTTGCTTTAACTTATTTTCCAACCTTGGATTTTTGAATATTCCTGATCTAAGAATTCAATTCTCAAATCTTTTTTTTTTCAAAATATGTTCGAAATAATTTCATTATCTGCAAGTTTTTCGGTTGTTGTTGGTTCTAAAGTGGCATAAGGTTCTTTTCGATACTCGCTCAGTTAATAAATTGTGGGTTCGGTTCTTTCTCCCAATACGATCCAATTCTTCAACATCAAATCTTCCGTTCTGAAGTGTACATGATAAAAATGCGTTGAAACATTGTCAATATCCTAACAAGAAATTTGAATACATCGCAGATTTTGTGGCCTGTCCGCCTGAACCTATATTACATGCCGGCCGCATCATATTCTGTTTCCATTTTTGTAGAATTACGTTACCCGATGGAAATTCGAATAGAGTGACTTGGTTTCCCGTGTTCTCAGTTGGAAACTGCACGAGCTTGTATTTTTCTCCTAATTCTCTCAATTAATCAAACCTTTGAAATTTATGTCATGTACGTCCGTGTACTCTCAGTTCCCGTTTTTTTCGTCAACGTCAAAACAGCAGTGTCAAGTACTTTTAGGAACTCTAATCTTGCGTAACTGCAAATAAACTGTCAGTGAGTTCAATAACTGTATATATGGCATTAATAGTTCGCCGGTTGCGATTTTACTAGATATAAACTATTGCAGCACAAGACACGCCCACCATAATACGTCATATCTCATACTGTGCTCCAACGCAAGAACTGAAGCTTTCTCGTTGTCAATCTCTTGTACGCAGTAAATTCATATACCCAAATGGTCTACTGGTTAGCGCTGTCGACTCTCAGTCTGAAGATTCATGGTTCGAATCGCTGTGAACTCGAACTTTTTTTTGCAACTTTTTTTTTTCACCAATGTTTTTTTACTTCATTCTGGTTTTCCTTTTTCATAAAATATTTGAAGTCAAATAGGTTAGTGCGTTTAGGATAAACAGTCTCATTTTATTCAATTTTGTTGAAGAACTCAACTTTTGAAATATATTATTAATCAATGTGTTTCTACACTCCATTCGGTTTTCCTTCCTCAAAAATATTGCAATCAGGGATAGGTTAGTTCGTTGAGGATAAATAGTCTCTGAGTTTTGCCTAAGTAAAGTACTTTGAAGATGAGATATAACGTGGTATGTGCTACTTTTTCAATCGATTTATTTATATGAATCAGCTACGTTGTGCTGTCAAAGATTAGATTTTGCAGGATTGTGCTGGGCTCGATTATATTTTGCAATGCCGTAGTAGGGGGCGTGTCTTGTGCTGCAATAGTTTATATTTAGTAAAATCGCATCCCGGTTAGAGTATGGGACAATTGTTTGGTCACCGTTTTATGAGAGTCACTGCACTACATTATAGAAAGAGTTCAACATGAATTTATAGTATGGGAGGCAAAGAGGCTAAATAGGGATTTACTCGAGCGTCGTGAGGACGTATCAGATTGTGAAGATTAGATGCGAAAATGAAAAAAAAATATTAAATGATATATAACCTTTCACTGGTGAGGAGAGCGTGTACAGGGGTAAAAAAAAAACAGTCACATAGAAATACTCCAGCGCATCAGATATTAATACCGTATGCGCCCCACGTGTTTCTGATAACCCAAAAATATTAATCTGCCGATTTGCATGGTGGGGGTGGCCGTACGAAGGGATAGAAAATAGGTAAAAAAAATTATTCGAGTGCTTCAAGTGGGTCCTATTCAAAAGACTGACGATTTGGACGCAACCAAGTCATGACCAATTTTTGAAAATGCAAAAAAAAAATAGTGACCTTGAAATACTCGAGCGCGTCAGATTAGGATTATTTTCTGTATACTAAATGTACATAATGTTGTGACGTCATGTCATAGGTTCATTTCATTATCCTTGCTTGGAATTCGAATAGCATGAAATATACCTGAATTTTCTACAAGGTATTTACTGATGAAATAAAAATCGATCTGGCCACCCTAGTCCACGCGCAGAATGAGTTATTTTCAATTTGCCACATTCAAAACGGAAAATTGCATATACAAGGTAATACACGTTTGAAATAAGGCAACCGCGACAATTTTTTCTAATGGGTCACCCTATATTCTATTCGATTTTTGGAATCACCGTTATTGATTTTTGATTTAATTCGATGTTGCAATCCAACTACGAGCGTTGCAGAAAAATATTAAGGTTATGTTCTAATGAGCTTGTTTTCTACAATAATTTGATTTAATAATTTCCTATGGTCAAAATGTACAATACTTTCCTTATTTTCTTTACTTCCTTAAACTAATGATAATCATTTTTGATTCATATGATTCGATATTTGATATGTGATGTTAAGTTGCAGATCCGAGAAGCACAGTGTTTAATACTTAACACAAAATCCGAGAAAACCATCCAGTCAAGCCGAACCTAAGAAACGATCCACAAAGAAAAATGACCAGAGTATACTTCTTCAAATTCAGATCACCATGCTCGTACGGAAGGCGATATATTGAATTTTTTCCATATTCTCAAGCAAACAGATAGACAGATATTCACCTTTATGTCTTTATGGAAACACGACAGGTACCCTTACGAGGGGAGGGTACCAACTTTGCGTTCATAAACCCTCGCTGCAAAGGAGGTAGACGCTAGATGGGTTAGGTATATACAGTGTTTTTCATCGCAGAGAAAATTGTTGCTTATCTGCCTGCCTCGTATTTCAAATTTCAAATAGATACTCAGTTTTAGATCCAAGCAGCACAGTGTTTGGCATTCCAGGTCTTGATTAAAACCCACGTAATGTGGAGATGTGGATGAAGTCTACTGAGGAAACTTCTATTTGGAAACAAAACTTATATGTTGCAATGTTGCAATCCAACTACAAACGTTGTAAAAAATATCCAGGAAAGTTTCTAATTCAACATCCATGAACCGCATTCAATAATAATTATTTTTGATTCATATGATTCGATATTTGATATGTGATGTTAAGTTGCAGATCCGAGAATCACAGCGTTTGATACTTGACACGAAATCCGAGAAAACCATCCAGTCAAGCCGAACCTAAGAAATGGTCCACAAAGAAAAATGACCAGAGTATACTTCTCTAAATTCAGATCACCATGTTTGTACGGAAGGCGATATATTGATTTCTTTTCCAGATTCTCAAGCAAACAGATAGACAGATATTCACCTTTATGTCTCTATGGAAACACGACAGGTACCCTTACGAGGGGAGAGTACCAACTTTGCGTTCATAAACCCTCTCTGCAAAGGAGGTAGACGCTAGATGGGTTAGGTATATACAGTGTTTTTCATCGCAGAGAAAATTGTTGCTTCTCTGTCTGCCTCGTATTCATTGAGATAGTTGATTATATAATAAATTACAAAAATATATCGCATTCCAGTGAACCAATGAAAACAAAGTATACAGACCACTTTGACAGCTTTCAAAAACTCCGATTTTTTTGTTTCTCTCCACTGACAATAGGTCGAGCAATAGGTACAACCTGGAGGTAAAATCTACTACTTTTTTTTCCCTTGTAGGTATAATAAATAATTATTTTTATTATTATTATTCATTTTGATACCATGGGAGGTATAAGAGGTATTGAAAGTAGTGAGGAAGTATGGAAAATAAGGAAAGTATTGTACATTTTGACCATAGGAAATTATTAAATCAAATTATTGTAGAAAACAAGCTCATTTGAACATAAAATAGAAATTATAAGTATTAGATTGGCAATGACCATTCACACAGAAGGCAACAATTAAATTGTTGATGATTCATCTTTTAATTACATATTTTGTTGTGAAAGCCTATGCTGTGGATATTACATTAAAATTGTTGGGTGCTTTAACTTGTTACTTACTGATTATAGAGCTGATTATTGTCAGATAAGGTGACAATAATTATAACCTACTACTGTGTACTCAAGCTTTATACATGCAATTGTAAAATAATTACTATTTGAGTATAAATTCAAGAATTTGGAATGGTTAAATTGGAAGCAAAAAATCAATGATTCCAACAAATACATTAGCTACATACTTTGATAAATCTTGAAGTAGGTAAGTACCCTACTTTCAACCAATAATTTTAATGATAGGTATTAAAGAACTGGTAAAAGTGATGTATCTTCTCAATTCTAATGAATATTCTCAGCAAATCATTTAAGTTTTGTATCAACTCAATGAATAATCTCATTTCCTTTTCTATATGAGTTATTTAAATAGCAACAGGAAGTTTCAAATTGATACATTCTGGGGCTCTTTATTGGTATCAGTGCATGAGCTATTTCCTTTTATTAGCTCACCAACTTTCAACAATAAACAAGTATCCACATATGATATGAAGTCAAATAACCCTTACCTTGGTATACAATTCGACGGTGTCCTATCAACCCAAGTGGCATAAAGTTTCATTTTATTCGGGACAGATGCCCCCGCCCCTGTAAGGGATTTGGACAATTTCTCACTCATTTTCAATGCACCTCCAACAACGCAAAAGAGAAAATACGCATAACTAATTCAAGAACGACGACCGAACAGTATCCGCTTTTTCCATCAACAAACATATCTTTTATTTATTTTAGTTTGAGACCGCATAATGAAATGCAAACTATTGCAAACACAAACAAGATCAAGTCAAGAATATCAAGATTGTGACGTGACGCATACGGAATACGGATTTGATTACTGATTAGTGTCAGAATCAGAAATGTCACAACAAGAACAACTGCAACAGAAACTGACAGAAAGTAGAGTACATTCTTTCTTTCTCCCTCCAGTGGATCTGTGCTGAACATGCAAAAGGTTATAAAGCTTAAGGCCTAGATGTGTAAAGGGTTTGACGGATGAAATTAGCTAACATAGCCTTCTGCTATCTGTCCCTAGGTGGATGAGCGCTGAAGGCGCTAAGGCCTTAGGACTGGATGTTTAGAATGTGACAGGAAGTAGCTCACATAGCCCTCTGCAATGGGTTCAGTCAGGCATCAGGCCGGTAGGTTTAGGGACGTTGAGGTCTGAACTCTGAGGAGTTGGGAGTTGAGGACACTGACAACTGACACTAGCACAAAGATGTGAGATGTGACACTAGGAGAGGAAAGTAAAAAAAACAAATAAAATGAAATTTGGATGAATATTGAATTGGTGAGTTAACTATCATTCTGAAATTTGATCAGTATACTTCTTTCATTCAATCCCAATGGTCCGCTTATACCTCCTTCTGGCAATTTATATTGCAGATGTTGAAGTTTTTGATCTGGTGAGAATTCAAGCAACTGTTTATTACTATCTGAAATTCTATCTAAACTCCAAACACCAACGTTTTTTGATTTTCCATGTCTGGCAAGAACATAATAGCCATTTTTTGTTTGGACTACACCTGATATAACAGCCCAATGGGCTTTTTGTCCTTGGTATAAACCTGGTGCATTATTTCTATCTGTGTCATATCTAATAACAGTTAAGAAGACAAATTACTTCAATTCAAAAGTATTTGAAGATTTTAATTGAAAAGGATACGGTACCAACATTAACCCTCCTCCCATCAAATGATTAATTAACTTCTGATCATTCAAAATACCCCTATGCACACTAACAATTGCTTTCCTGTCCAGATTTTCTTTTGCCAACTCTGCCATATTTTGTGCACTGAACATTTCTCCATTGAAACTAAAACCATGGTTTCTGGCTGATTCTAGTAGTTTGTCAATGGTTTCTTTTACAGGGTTATCAAGGCACATAGCTAGAGCAACTAATCCACATTGTGGACCATCTTGAATGTAAGCTCTGAGTGGAGTATAACAATAAGTAATTGGCAGGGATACCTCGTAGAGTTGGAACATGTTACATACTTTGTAAACTTCTGGGTATTGTTCTGCCCATGAGAAATCCATGTCAATAAGCTAATCAATACATTTTTGCAGAAAGCCACAAAGCAAAACATTAACATAACATAACCTCAATACAGTAACTTTCTCTAAATAGTAAATTGGTTTATTTGAACTACTATTGTTTTGACCTACTCCAATGAGCAAATTAAGATGTACAGGAAAGGAAGGATTACAAAGGATGAATTATTTATACCAAGTAAGGTTGACTATAAAAATGTTCAGAATTCTGGATAAAATTACTCAACATCAAAAATATTAAACACAAAAGCAGCAGGATATGCAAACTTTTTTCTCATGCCTGCAAATTTTGCTGATACTAGGCATACTGGCCTTTGGCTTATCCGATTTTTCTTCATTTATATTTATTTTAGATAAGTAATATGCTTGCCACCAATAGTGTAGCTGAAAACACTGCTTCCTCATTGAATTCTAATCTCCTGGTAAATATTTCTAGAAAAACTGTTCAAAGGATGTAAGTTAATGGAATAGGTAATTCAAATATAATAATAATAGTATACATATTTTCAACATCCTTCTAGGGAAATAGGTTTGAAGAGAACAATCTGCAAGAGTTGCAGGTGTCTCTTACTAGCTGGCATTAATTGTAAAATAAGAATTACAAAGAAAAAATTGATTCAAACATGTTTGAAATGTCACAAATCCAAAATATTGAGTATTGAGAACAAAACCTACTTGCCTTGGACTCAGCAAGAAGAAAGTATAGTGGAAGTCATGGATTTTGGAAGAAGTGGTGAAACACAAGGAGATAATGATATTCACACAAAAAGAAACAAAAATCAAGTAGAATCTATACATTCCAATAAGGAAAATGATAAGCACACACCAATGGAAATAAGACAAGAAGAGGTTATCATGAAGAGGAATAAACAGGAAGAGCAGGAAACCTAGGAGCTGAGTTCAATTCAATGATGAAAAACTTAATAAAATCAAATATGTATTTCAGTAAAATAAATGAAAATGTAATGAAATTCACAAAGGAAAAAAAAATAATTATAAAGTTTTATCCTCATAGAAAGAAATGTGAATTGAATGGAGATCGGAATTTCAGTAAAATGATAGGTACCTACTCATCAAAAGATTATTATGATGATGAACTTTCAAGTTTAGTCAAAAATGAAATATATGGAATACTTATTTGATTACTAATGTAGGTACCTACTTGATAATAAAATTCACAATATAAATTGAATTACAATTATGTTTCCCTTTCAATAAATAAATAAAAAAAAACAATGAACATATCTAAAGGAGATAAATTTCCATTTAAATAAAAACCTGTTCACTAGCTAAACTATCAGTAAAAGGGCTTACAAGTTCTTTAGTGGCAAAATAAAATATTAATCCAAAAGTTATTGAAATTGGCAAAGCTGGTAAAGCTTTCTTGAAAATTGCCAGTAACAGAAGAGTTAGGCACAACCCCTGAAAAAAAAATCAATATTGTATAAAATTATGTTTTGATTATGAATGCCTATACTCACTATCAAAATTGCCACAAAACATGCTAAAGTGGTATTCCAGTCCCCATAGGAAGATGCTTTTCCTACAAGCACACTATAGAAAATGAAATCTCCCAAACCCAATTTTACACCACCTAAAAAAAAAAAGAAAATATAAAGCCTCAATATCTCAAACAGGTACAATTGTGTCTTACGTTCTTCCTCCTCTTGAATCACTTGTGTGCGAGGCACACCACTAGGAGTATCATGCACTTCCAACTGCCTTTGAGCAACATGACTAGCATGGTTATCTACCCAATCTTGTGTGAAACCATGGTCTTCACTGGTAGACCTTGATGTTCTGACATTTGGCACCTCTTCACCTGTTGCCATACTTGTATAAGCATACATATAAGTGGCTGAAAAAAATTATATGTTATTTCTTCAAGGGTAAATCTATTTAATGTTTATTAAATAAATAATAAATGAAGAAATAATAGCTATCTATTTCAAATATTGAAAATTAAGATCACAGGAACAGATTAACAAAGACATGATAATTGTTTCTTGTTTTTGATTTCATAGAACCCGTTTTTTAATGAATATGAATATTCATCACCTTCAAAATGATGATTATGGTAATATAAAATAAAGGGTGAAGTGAATCTCACATGAATATATTAGTGCAGGGAATATCTGTTCATTTCTCTCTTGTGCAGTCTCCACTAAAATTCTCAGGGGCCCCTTTGGCATCAGTACAGCTATCAAATCTGAAAAGTTTTTGAAAATCAACATTATTGAAACATTTTTGCCAAAATGAGACAGACCCCAAATTGATATTACAGCTAAAACAGCCCATGTTGTCCATTCAGGTAGGTACTTTATAAATACCAAAGCCATGAGAGCTGCTACAAAAATCAGATATGCCTGCTGTAGGACAAGGGGACCTTGCCAATGGATTACAATCATGCCCATTACTCCAAAATTCCACATTATCATGAGGAGAGTAGGGTAATCCATGGGAATGTTATAAGCTCTTAAAATTTCCCTGAAATAAAAATCATTGGTGTTGCTTCTTATAACAAACATATGACTCACTCACTCTAGGTATAAATATGAAAAAATTGAGAGCAACATCAAAGAGGATACAATCAACCAGCCATGAATAGTTTTATAACACCTGTACTTGTACAAAACTATCAACAGTACAGTCATGCCCACTATTACAGCCATCAGGATCATAGCATTTGCTGCAGCATTCCACACTTTGGTACTAGTATCTGGACTCTCTTCATGAAAAGGCGTATAAATTCTAAAAAAGTTCAACATCAAGGGGAGGTATCATAACATTTTGATACACTTACAAGTACATGCCTTTTATTGAATAAAAATTCACTGCACTAATAGTGGCTACTACAACCACCATACATAGGGAAACTGGTGCAAATAGTTTGATGACATGCTTGGCCCCATATTTGAGTTCCTCCTCATCATCTTGGGGCATTGGCTGGTGTTGCACACAGCGTCTTTGAGTGGGATGGTCCTCGCTAGCACCCTCTTCTTCAAGCCTTTCTTCGTTATCATCTGCATTTCTCCTAGTTCTCTTCCTTGGGATTTCCTGTCCATGTCTCAGGTCAGTAGAGGCTGTACTTCCTGAACTATTTGCAGCAACATGACCATCCATAAGTCTTGTTTTCTCGGAAACTGTATCGTAGTCGCTTTCACTGTCAGACATGCAGAATTTTTAGACGTGGGTGCCTGGGTGGGATGATCCGGATGAAATGCAAGAACAAGAATGTGAGATAATTAATATTTGTCTTGTCTTTGTCAACAACAGAAAAACACCTAAACAAGTAAAAACAGATACTGTTGACACAGAAGAAGACTAGATGAAGTATTACACATATAGGTCGTTGCTTCTGTTGCATCTATTCAAATAAAATTGAAAATCCTCAAAACGGAAGCTTAAAGCTAGCAATAGCAATCAGCATTAAGTATATGTGAACCAAATAATAGAAGTAGAAGATCTAGATCCTATCATGTATGATCCATGTCATCTGTCGTTAGTGTCATTGTCAATTTCAATTACTCAAGCTGCCAACTGCCATTTCCTTATTTTGATATTTTGACAGTTGACTTGAGTTGACGAATTTCCTAGGTGTTTTCATTTCTCATTTTTTTGATTTTTTATTAAGAATTTCTTACGAGTTTGAAAAGCAGAGATGGTGGACAAATTAGGTAAATTCTCATTAAATTCAATTTAAGTTTTTCATCAAATATATACTTTCGGTACTTTTATTCCTTCAAACCACTTTCGAAGTTACCACTTAACTTTTCCTTATAAGGCCTCACTATTAATAAAACAGCAGTTATAAGCATTTTATGCTCTGATTAATTTTTATCGGTTCAGTTTTCAATTGCACTACAAAATGCAGTTAGATTTATGAGGAGGATTATGAATATATCCGATTTACAAGACGCCTTAGTTCAATGAATCATCACTTCCTCTGAAGCAGACACCTATTTTCCTTAGAGTTGTTAATTTTCTGAATTCACACTATGTCTATTATTATAGTTAACAGTGAAGCAAATACCAGGCGAATAGCAATGGTGGAGAGCTGTTTTGGAAGTTCTGGACAGGTAAATCAGAATATTCAGTAGATTCAAATAGGTAATATTCCATCATTTCACTACAGCCTTTGGGAGTTCCTGGTAGAGTCCTTGTTGGTGAAGGAGTATTGACGAAAATGTGCAGAAAAAAACCAAAAACAAGACAGTTTTTTTTATTCAATGATATTCTGGTTTATGGAAATATCATCATCAATAAGAAGAAATACAATAAACAACATATCATTCCCTTAGAAGAAGTCAAATTAGAAAGTTTAGAAGATGATAATCGTAAGTAAATACCTATTTCATTAGATTTCTGTTGAAATCATTAGATTCACTTTCACTAATCATAAAATTTACAGTACCTGATAACTGTACAGTACTGAGATAGATACAGTTGATTCAGAAGTTACTTGCTCTTCAAATTTAGGAAAGAAAAGGATTATTCATCAATCAAATGTTCCTTTATAAGTGAATCTTGTATATTTATGGGTTTTTATCTCATTGTCTCATCCTAAGATTTATCTATGAGTCATATATTACAAAAACAAACAATCCACTCTGTAATGTCACAGGCAATGTTCCTGATATTGGAATAATTGTTCTTTGTAAACTAGTGGACAATGAATTGTTTCCATTTCAGAGTACAAAAATGGCTGGTTAATAAAAACTGCTTCAAAGTCTTTCGCTGTCTATGCAGCAACTGCAGTTGAAAAAGGGGAATGGATGGCTCATATAAATAAATGTATTGATGATTTACTCAGGAAAAGTAAGTCAAGCTCAATATTTGGTATGACATTACAAATAGTTATTCATAGGTGGCAAAAAAGCAGTAGCAGAACATGCAGCAGTTTGGGTCCCAGATGGTGAAGCACCTGTGTGTATGCATTGCAAGAAATCCCAATTTACACTGTTGAACAGAAGGGTAATTTAGTTTTTCTGTATTATTGTGGTTCCAACTACAAACCATGTAAATGTTTTAGCATCACTGCCGTAAATGTGGGGCAGTAGTATGTGGCCCTTGCTCAAGTAAAAGATTTTTGTTACCAAACCAGAGTTCCAAGCCTCTGAGAGTTTGTATACACTGTTATGAAACTCTGACACAGGCCATCAACAAGAATCACAACTCTCATGATGTGGCACATAGAGGTTAGTATTTGTGTCCCATATATTCCATTTGAATTCTCGAATTGTGTGAGCATATTATAGAGAAAAAGTTATTTCAGTAGATGACTACTGAGCTGTCTGCTAATGTAGTTTTTTTATCTAAATAATCATAAAAATTGGGCTTTCTCAAATTTTGACTACAACCTCGTTCCATATGTCATTTAGATGCACCTTCCTTAGGTTGAATTGAGTATTCAATGATATTTAATTTTTAGGTGTGAATGCAGACTCTTCAGGAGAAGAAGATTCTGATGATGAAGAAGAAATCAATAAGGGACAACCTGAATCCCATGATCTGGTAAGTGTATTCAGACCTCAATTCAAAGGTTCACAATATTCAATGCTTAGGAATGATAATACCAAGGTCTAAAGCACCATAATCTACATTCACTTTAGTAAGGTTCAATCTTTCATGTAAATTTCTCATGATTAAAGTTGACTTCTCTACGTCTCTACATAAAAATAAATTAGTTAGAGAAGCTGATCCAGTGAACAATTTTATTATCAAACATAAGAAGTAGCTTCACCAGAATGTATATGTTGAAGTAGATAAAAAACTGCATGATTTTGAGAAAAAAGTATTTGAATATCACACTTTTTGATCAGTTTAGGAGCCACTGTCTGGGATATACTTGTTGATGCTTCAAGTCTTTTTGTATGAAGGTCGTAAGTTTGGTTTGATTTTGATTTCCGGAGCTATACAATTTGATTTAATGCTGAAAATAAATGCATATTGCATATGGTAAGCTTAATGATTTTCACTTGATTTTCGATTTTCCAATTTTGAGAGTTTGAGAGTGGCAGTAGATTTATGCATTTGAATTCACATTATTAACAATGAACATTTTTTGGTTATTAGTAACTTTTGGAATTGGTCACAGACCATCAGAAATATCAAATTTTTATGGATGTTTGAAGTTTGGGATAATATATGAGCATTTTGATATTTGGCTGTGAAGCAGCTTATGTTTCTTAATGATATACAAATCATATTATTTATATGGTTGGTTTTATTTTTTCAGCCAAAATTCTATGGAGATAATGAAAAACAATGAGAATTCCAAATAATCTATTTCAGACCCTGCACTTCCATCATTTTATGATATATTGTTATCAGGAGATGAATATTTTTAGTATTTCTGTTGAAATAACTTTTATTTTAAATATAAACACACTGGATAATTACCCATTAATTCATATTCTGTATAAATACTTTTACAAAACAATATGTAGATGTTAAGAATAGATTTTTTAATGGAGAGGAATACATGTTTCCTATTTGGGTGCTAGAATAATTAGTAATGAAATATATCAAGTTGTTCTTTTCTGAAATTATTCAAATTATTATACAGGGTGTCTCATAAGTCATGGATCAAAAGAAGTGGGGTGCTGGAAGGGATAATTTCCAATAAAAATAACCATATATGTGGTTAACCAATTGTTGATGGTTCAAAAGGTATTAAATTTTTTTCATTTCTATAAAAAAATATTACAATATGTCACATTTGTGAATATTTTTCACAAATTTCATTCTCACCTTTCCCCAGAAATAATTATATGACCTGTATTACTTCCTATCAATTACCTAAGAGAAATGTTGTTTTCCCTAAGTTTCCTCATGTAATGAAATATTTCAGGTGCTTTTGAAATGCCACTAGCAGATTTAAAAACCACCCCACAAAGATAATCAATCATAAAAACAAGGTGTCCATTCAATACAGATTCCGAATTGGTATAAAATATGGGGTAATTCAATATTCCTCAAAGATGTCGCGTTTTTCATAAAAATTTAATAACTTTTCAACCATCATCAATTTGATAACCACATATTATACCGTTAGTTTGATTGCAAATGACCCCCAATACCACCGCACTTCTTTTGATACATGCCTTGTGGGACACCCTCTATATGATAGTATGTAATACATTTTAATTTATTATTTATTGAAGTTACAGATCGAGGAATAACTTTAAAATTGTCCAAGGACCTTTATTAAATTATAGACTGAGATTTTCAAATATGGAGATTATTTCTGATACAAGTGTTATTTAAACATTTTAATTTATTGATGAACTTCTTAATATTTACATATAAATATTACACGAATTATTTATTTGAATAAACAAATTAGCAATTATAAGATGCATAAGGATAGGACTCTGGAATCCTTTTTGACAAAAAACTAGAATAGAGGTTTATAGAGAACCAAAAGAGCTCTCATCCTGAAATGTTGTTATATCAAGTGGAACACCCTGCAATTTATTGTTACAAATGAAAATGTGATAATATACCGGGTGTTTCCACTTAAAAAAACAAAGGTAATGATACTTCCGGTTCAACCGGAATTCACAGCGTATTGAGGATATTTTAGAAAACTATATCACATCGAACTTTACCGGGATCACCATTTCGGATTTAATCACATTTCAATCCAATATGGCGGACTTCCGGTTTTTCCGGAAATGCCAGCAACTTTGTTTTTTCTGATGGAACACTGTTAATTTTTACATAATCTAGTTCAATAGGTCAAAACTAGGGCAATCTCAATGTCAAATGTCATTTTTTCGAAAATGTTGAAATTCAAATTCACCTCGTGGATAAATGAGATGTGGTCAAAGCTATTCACAATAAGTCCCATATACTAGAGGAACATAATTTTTCAGAAAATTTCGTTTTCTTTCAGTGTGTCACTTATCGATGAATCATTTCAGTCACATTTTGATAAAAAATTTAATTTTTTCAAATGTAACCCCTATGGGCCACCTACATATCCCTCTAAAACATACATTCAGGAAAGAAATGACATATTATTTTTGTATTTCGGTGCAGTAACTAATCGTAATACCACAGTTTAAGGAAGTGGTAATACATTAAAAAATCAACAACTAGTTTCATGAATCTTCTTGCAGTTCGAATAATTTTCCAAGTGAGCTGTGCCATGGAAAACAACATTTCTGAATCTCATCATAAGATTGCACTTGTTTTGACCTGTTGAATTTAAATATGTAAAAATAATGTCATCAAATCCGGAATGGTTGTTTACATAACTGTACCAAATTCCATAAAAATCCGTTCACGAATGCAGAAGTTACAGGGTGACCCAGTAGCGTATAGCCATTCCCCAGTATAGCACAGAGCACATAATACGCTCATCATACCTACAAGCTACAAAGCTCCACGTTGGCATTATTCACAAACCCCTTCTTGTATCGAAAATATATGCGTATATATACAGGGTGGCATTGAAAAAGGTGCAAGTATTTCAAACACAGAGGAAGCTCGATGTGTACTATCGAATGACACTAATGAAAAAAATCTAGGGATCAAAATAAAATTTGAGGTTAGACCCCTTTTCCCACCCCAAGTTCTACACTATAGCAAATCTGACGTCACCTCTGTTCAAATTTCCATGCGGTAGGCACAATCACGCGGATTTCAATCATTCAAAGTGTTTTGGGATGAAATTTCTCGTTAATTAAAAGAATTAGAAAAAATCTGATATCATGGGAATATTCCTTAGACTGTGTCATATTAATGGGCTGAATATGTGCACTTATTTCAAAAACACCTTGTATATATTTTTGTACTCATGTAACGAATATGCAATTTACTGTGAGTATATGCAGTATGGACCCTGAATAATTAATTGAACACGAATTCGAAATCTGAAGTTTTGAGAAAAACATTACAATATAGTAATGCATGAAAAATACTTCACTTACAATATTTTATAAACTAAACATTCCACAACTTCAAATTCTGCTAGATAAAACGTATCATTTTCAACAACTGCGTTGAAATCAATGAGCAAGCAATTCATTTTCTATATTGAGTTTCATCAATCTACATAAACTCACGAAAAGTTTGTAGTTCAACTCGTAGACGGGGATTTCGGTTCGCAACTGACAATTCTTTATGATCCTATAGTATGGAAAAGATAGCATCTGGTGCAGTTTGAAGTGATTTTTAATGGTTTGCTGAATCATTCCAATACAGCTGATGATTGAAAGGACATTATTTCACACTTTTCCACACACAGCAACATGCCTCCTATCAGTTCTATTCCAATGAAAACTACTGTTGTGTATCACCTATTGACTGCTCTGAAATGCACTGGAATTTGTTATGTTGTCCCGAAATGAATCATAAACAAAGTCCAGTGCGTTTCACAGCACCATATTGCTTGATTTTGTCAGTTTTCTCTATTTCCAAAACAAACAATTGATTCGCGATCTATTTTTTTTGTAGATGTATCTCATTCTATGTTAAGAAGTGACTGTAGAAAGTTTTTTCTGCTTAGAAAAATATTCAAAAATAAAAATGTTATGGCATAAGTATTTTCGATGTGGGTTAATGTAAATTTTCGCCTATATCTCGAGATCGGTTAGAGATCGAAATGCGGCTACGTCAAAAATCGAGCTCCAGACCCTTTGGTCAGTTTCTCTCTAGATGTTCTAGAAAAAGGAAAAACTGCCAAAATCAAGCAATTTGGGATACCCTGTACAGGGGAATGGCTATACGCCAACCAGTATAGCTGCTACCATAATTTCAAGTTGATCTCACTTTTAGTTCTCTATAAAATCCCACTGAATCAGTTAACTGTATCACCCTGATTTTGTGAAAAACTGAAAAAAAGACATGAATGTCAACAACTCTTTATTCATTCCTTAAGCCAGTATAGTCAGATCTGGACATATTTTTCCAGAGCCCTCATAATATTATTTGTAATTTGAAAGTGAATTGTTGTAACAGGAAGGAAAAATATTTATGCTACTGTGATATGTTGGCCTACTGTTTAATGCAATGAATATTTTTCTAATTTTATGATGATGTTACATGATTTCATTTTGACCTCATTGAGTCTATGTGCTCATCACAGTTTTTATTTTAAGGACATTGTTATCAACGTTTATTGAACACTATTAAATAAAGAAAAAGTTTTTTTTATTCACAATGAAAAACTTTCAATTCCAATCTACCTGTACCCAAAATATCATCAGCCCACCTGAATTGAAATATATAATTCCATAAGATTAGTGAAGATTATATAGGGTGTTCCGGAAAAACGTTCGTATACTACTGGAGGTATTTCTACAGATGAAAATATGAAAAAATGGTCTTTGAAGGTAGCTCCCTGAATGAAGTTCGCTTCAATTATCTTGGTTACCATTGCCCTACACTGCTTTACCACTAACCAAACCGATTTTGTATACGCCTCGACACGTGTTTCGCTAACTATGTTAGCATCTTCAGGAGAACATTGAAACTAAATATTCTATTCTAGTGTGCTACTTATACAGGGTGTTGCGAAATTCGACCGACAACGCTTGACAGGTGATACCTCTCGTGATTTCAGAATCACTGAGACAGGGACATACGTTCTCCAAGTGTTCAGTTCTCGAGATACAGGGCGTTGAAGTTCAGAAATTAAAATAGCTTTTTCGCAATATCTTGAGAACAATTGAATTATAATGTATTCTAATTCGGTATATGGTTTCATCTTTCAATGGTTAGATTGGGTTGTGATAACTTTTCCTCCCATATTTTCTACGCCACTGATGAAATTTCCAATTTCTCGAATTGATTGTTCAATTATCTTGAAAAAATGCATCACCTTCGACTGAGCTTAAATGAACAGTTATCGAGATATATGACCCAAAACAGAAGTTTGCATAGTAATTTTTCATCTTCCTCAGAAGTAGAAAAGTACAAAAATTTGTGTTGTCTCTTTATGCGTGTAAAAACTATTTCTGTTCAGCTACAGAATGATATCTGAATAGTATCTAATCTACTCAACACCAGAAACATATTTTTGCAATTCTCTACTACTGAAAATGATGAAATATTACTATGCAATCTTCTATTTTGGGTCGAATATCTCGAAAACTTTTCATTCCAGCTCAGTTGAAGGTGATGAATTTTTTGAACAAAATTGAACAAAGAATTCGTAAAATTGGAAATAATTGAAATTTAATCAGTGGCGTAGAAAATATGGGAGGAAAAGTTGCCAGAATCCCCTGTAGGGCACCACTGGAAAAAATGTCCGGAATGGCTTCCTGGTCAAAAAATGACCCATTCAAAGATGAAACCATATACCGAAGTTGAATGCATTATATTTAATTTTTCTTGAGAGACTATACGAACGTTATTCTGATACTGATCTTATTGCATAATGAGAAAACAATCAATTTGCCTCACTATTATCATAATTAATCGAGTTTTTGTTTCTTATACAGGGTGAGTCATAAAACTATTGGGACATAGGCTAAGTGCGGATTGTTTGAACCAAATTATGGCGATAGTACCGAATAGCCATCAATAAAATATATTGCTGTGGATAAAGGTACAGGGCGTTGAAGTTGAACACTCTTGTTCGTTTTTTGCTCATAATATATTATTTTATGTATCATTCTACAGTTAGTTACAGGGGGCGCCACTCGACAGATAACTTTTTTCGACGAAACTTTTTAGTGATTCTGGGCTAGAAAATATGACATATATATCATTTCTACGTAATACTGGTACTCTTAATTGTTTAAAAACGATATTGAACAGTTCAAAGTCTCGGAAGGGTATTTCAAATATCATTTCATTTATGAAGAGTGTGCTTTGGACTGTCAGATAATTGTTGCTAGTGAAATACATTCCTGATTGTCAATTGTCAGTGAATGAATTTTTCGATTGAAACGCCCTGTATCTCTTTCCACAGCAATATTTTATTGAGAGATTTTTGGTCCAAATAATCCGCCCTCAGCCTATGTCTCAATAGTTATGACTCACCCTGTATAATTATAGTAAGTGTTCAATTGTCATGGGGATACGGAAATTTCATTCAGGAAATGAATTGACACACCTACCTGATGAACAAAATAAAAAGGTTACCTACGTGAGAATACCAAATATCCAACCTTGAACTCTTATATGAATAAACTGCTATCATCATCATCTTGCCTCAGGCTTCGTGATTCAAGAACAGTCTTGAAATTGCTCTCGCTCAATCACCTTGCAGCTTCAATCTCCTCGAATACAAATAATAGGTAAATGAAAATGATTATACTCATCACTTGATTTGTCAAAAAAAAACATGTTATTCAAGATGTTTATGCAACAGGATACAGTGATATTTATGGTATTTGCTAGTTCTTCACAATCATTATAATATCATGATTAAATTTCGTTGATGATGTCTGTACTAAGCTATCAAACAGGTTCTCTGAAATAATCTCAACAACACTCCGGGGACTGTAGTACCACAACTGATTCCAACGAAAATGCAGTGATAAATCGAAGAGGTGTGAAGATGGCATCTACAACGGAACTAGTTACCGATTCAGTACCTGACTTGACGAAAAAAGCTCAGACGTTCGGAGAACTCGACTTCAACGGAAAAATATCGTACATCCGCGAGGTGATAACCGTAGAGCCCCTACTAGGGGCTTATGTCATGGCCTCCACTCTGTGCTCACCGATGCTGATCAACTTGGAGTTCGAGAAGTCTTGCCGAGTGAACTTGCAGATGAACGATACTGTTTGCGAGGCTATTTTGAGCAGCCAACACGAAGTTCTCAATTTAACAGAGCAAAACAACGAGGTGCAATACTTGATAAGCGATGTGCACTCCTGGTTGCAACCTGTGCAAAGCATCATGCCGCTGATCCTAGTTTTGTTCATAGGATCCTACAGCGATAGGCACAAGTGGCGCAAGCCCTTTTTGCTGTTGCCCCTATTCGGGGAATTTTTAGCAGTGGTAGGATGCATTTTTTGCGTTATTTTTATGCGGTCTTGGCCCCTGGAAGTCCAGGGAGTGTTTCAGCTAATCCTCCCTTCGCTTTTTGGCGGACAAACTATGATTGTCATGGCGACATTTTCGTACATAGCCGATGTCAGTACCATAGAAATGAGAACGCTGAGGATAGGGGTCGTACAAATAGTACTCAACATCATTGTTCCTGTTACGCAGCTGTTCAGTGCGAATATGTTCGAGCTAACAGGGTACTATGGGGTGCTTTTTACTGCGGGAGGTTTGTACGTGTTCGGGTTCCTTTATGGGCTTTTTTGGATCAAGGAACCAAAACAGCCTGTGAACACAGAGAGCAGAGGTGTTTTATGCGATGTTTTTGATCCGAGACATGCTGTGGATACGTTCAATCTGATACTGAGGAAGGGCCCTGGGAAAAATAGGGTTTATATTGGTGTGATGCTTTTCACGATTTTTATATACAGTGCAGTGATAGTGGGTGAATCGGACAGGTTCTTTTTTTACTCGCAAAGCAGGTTCGGTTGGACGATAGTGGAGTTCAGCTATTTCCTTTCCATGAATACTTTGGTCCACCTCATTGGTAAGTACGTTTTGTAAGTAGCTCTTTATAGATAGAATAATGGTTATTAGAATGAAACAAATCATGCAATGAAATGGGTCAAGAGCTCTATTGAGAAAAATCACTCCTGAATCGGGATTTGACACTTCAAAATTGGAAATAAAAATATATTCATGGAAATTCGAAATACATCGCAATCGCAGTAACATATATCCTTTTTGAGACTCATGAACTTTGTGAATTGTGAATGCGCATCTGCGAATTTAAATGGGGTCAATATTCCGAATTGACTTTTTTTTTCACAAATAGGACAGCAAAAAGTTAGTCAGGAAATATAAACAATTATAACTCCTAATTTCCCTGAACTAATTTGAAATTTCTTATTCTCAAACCGATAATATGATAGGTCTCGATTTCGAGAAGAATTAATTAAGGTACTAAAAAGAAAGGTCAATCGAATTTCATTATTCCTCTAATACTTGATGTTTATAGTTTGTGATATCTATATACAGTAGGTAACGTATGGATAATCCGAACAGAAAGTTCGGTTTACCAAAATTTCCGGATTAATGAACGATATCAATCGAGATATCAATATCCGTGAATCCGTGAATGAACAACACACTGCAACTGACGTAAAATCACAGCCTTTTTCAAGGATTAATGTGATATGCACTCGTTTAGAGGCCATTTTTTATTCATTTATTTATTTATTAATAAGAGTGATCACAAAAACAAGATGATATACACAGTGGGTACAAACTACTAAAATCGACAATATTGAATCATGACACAATTCAGTTCAGGCTTCACATCCGTTTAGAATAAATCAAGGGGTGTATATAATTCGCGGACTGGAATAAAATGCTGTGGACTGGAATAAAATCTTGCGTACTGGGTATTTTTGCAAGTTAAATCGTCTTCATTTTATCAAACATTAATTCATCTAATGAAAATACACGATGAACAGTTTTCACAATTTTTTCCTAGCCCCCCTGGGGAGCACTTTACTCGTATGTTTTTTCATGAAATCTTGCGGGCTGGGAAGTTCTGCGAATGGAATCATCTCAATTCTCTCAAAATTCAATTCATCTCGTGAAACTATACATGATGGAAGTTTTTGAAATTTTGCTCTAGCCCCTTGAGGAGCACTTTACTCGAGTGTTTTTTTCATTAAATCTTGCGGACTGGAGAAAATTGAGATGATTTATTTGACTGGCAGAAATACCCAGTCGGCAAGATTTTATGAATAAAACACGATTAAAGTGCTCTCCAGGGAGGCTAGAAAAACGTTTCAAATGTTTTCATCGTGTATTTTTATGGGAAAAATTGATTTTTGGAGAAGTTGAGATGATTTGACTTGCAAAAATACCCAGTAGGCAAGATTTTATAAAACACACACGAGTAAATTGCTGCCCAGGGGGGGCAGTGAAAAAAATTATAACTTTTTTATCGTGTAGTTCGATGAACTGAATCCAGATATGCAATGAAAACAACGATTTATTTGCTAGAAATAGCCAATCCGCAGCATTTTATTTCACTTTGCACAATCCCTAAATCAAGCTGGTCACTGAATTTACTGCATGTATTAGCGTTACCACCGATACAACAAGGCCTGCATGCTCCGTGGGTGACGTCACTTAGTGAGGCCTAACCAGCGGCTCGAAACGACAAGCGCTTATAGCGCTATAAGGCGACCACGTATTTCGATTTTAGTTTTAGATCATCATTGAGCCGATTTTGCTGTTTTTTGAAAGGCTTCCGGTTAAAAAAGGATGCCAGTCATCAACTGAGCCCTTCTTCGCACCCCATTCGATTTTATTATGGGAAAACGAAGTTTTAAATCAAAAACCAGGATAAAACACAAATATCCACCTACAGCAACCCATTCGAATTAAATATATTGGCAAAAATTGTGGTGAAGGTAAACTTCACACCTACTTATACAGGGCCCGCAGAACATAAACTTATCGTGAAATTGATCGAAAGAAAATTGTGGAAAATGTATTTTATTTTGATTGACATGCCGTTTGTTACAATTACCTATATTTATCTTGGAGAATTCCTATTACCTGAAAAAATAACCAGTGAGTGTTTTCAATTTTCTGTTGTTGGATTTTTCACCCAAAAGTGGATCGTTACCCTTGAAACCGTAATTTTTAAGGGTAAAACTGCATTTATCATGCGATGTTTTTTTTTTGAAAATTTTTTTCGGTACTCACGTATTTTTGTCTGATAAACCGAATTTTATAATGAAAATGTGAACAAACCACTATTTATTGAGATATTTCACGAAAAAGTTCGAAATTTCGCCTTCTTTCTCCCCTTGTGTTGTGGGCATTTGAAGCTACTTGCTCTTATTTTGTCATTGGACACTTTATATACTCATGATATACTTCGATGGCACATTTTTATATAGAAAAGTCAACAGGAAATATGATTTTTATGGCGAGTTTTTCATATTTATATACGAATACAAAACTAACTGCACAATCAAAGCTTTTCTATTTTTCCTCTACTCATACTTTTTATGAGAGAGTAATTGTCTTCTATTATTAATTTTATCATTATAAATTAAGCTCTGTTCACTACTGAACTTAGATGGAGTAAAATCCTCGCGGTGAATTTCATATACCCACATTTTCGATAGCTCCTCGTCCAACGGGAAACTAAAAGCATGAACTTTTGAACCACCCACATAATTCCCCCGACAAAAGGGAACACAACACTTGAAAGGCATTGTTATTTCGCCGATCACAACACAAAATATTTCACAACAACAAAAGAATTCGGGACCGTTTCAAAAGACCGTTTCAAAAACATACGTGAATCACCGATGAATTAACACGAACTGACGCGTTAGTCGACAAGCGATAAAATAAAACACTGGCCTCTCTTGGTGACGTCACGAGCTGTTTACGCCAGTCTGCTGCCCTTTTTGTATCGGTGGTAACGGTATTAGTCGACATTCTAGATATTGGTAAATTCAGTAATACATTAGGCCGGGGGCTTGGCAGATAGAAGAAATCTGTACAGTTTCAGCGTACATACATTAGATGTATGTACGCTGACAGTTTCTAATCAGAAAACCATCGGTCGAAAGATACTCCGCACTCCGCAGATCATTCAGAGTCGTCTTTCATTGCAACACCGTACTACAAATTCGACGGCAGTCAAGGGCGTCGATAAGGGGAAAGTAATGGGGGAATTACAAACATTTTTGTAGTGTGAATTCTGAAAATTAAATAATTCCATTATTACCCACAAAATATAACGAATTTCATTCAATATATATAATTCTCTAGGTACAAATTATCTTATAACAAAAATATTTATAATAAACAGTTATAAATTGTTAGGAAGTAGGATATTTTCATATTTTCGAATATTTTCGAATAGAAGTTTTATTCCGAACATTCTTAATTTTAGGTACTGCACTAGCGGTTCCCCTTTTCACAAAAATCCTCAATTTGACTGACATGGCCATTCTGCTGCTCACCTTCTTGGACAAAATGCTCAGCAACGTCGTCTTCGGTTTTGCCAACAGCAACACGCTCCTCTACGCAGGTAAAACACTCCTCATTTTTTCCTCTCCTCTTCTTCCTCCAATTAATATTTTCTTCATTGCAGCTGCTGTTGTCAGTATTATAACGGGAGTGACGCCCATTGGAATTCGATCCCTCGCTACAAAGGTGGTATCAGAAGACGATCTGGGCAAGGCTCAGTCTTTGTTCGGCATTTGCGAAGCTATTGCCCCAGCGATATCGACACCTGTTTACAACAAGGGAATCTACAATAACACTTTGACTACGTTTCCATCAGCATTTTTCTTTTTCGGTATCATCCTTTACGCAATTTGCAGTGCATTTATAACGTAAGTAATAATAAGTCACTATCTACCTCTGGTAATAACACGCGATAAACAGGGTGTCCCAGAATATGTGGGCAATCTCCCGGATTCAGATAGAGTAGGGGAGGTCCGCCAACAGTGGCTATAGCAAGAACTGGCCACTCTCTAGTATTATCAGACTATGATTAATACTTGTCGTTCGCGCCATCTCGTATACTTCTTTTATGTTCTGCTTCCCACGAAAAGGGATATCCTGTCATGTTCAGAGAACATCGTAAGAACCAAGGGAAATAAGGTAGGAATTGGTGTTTTTCTTAAATTTCTGGAGGTTATTTACCTCCCTTGGCAATGTGTTCCAGAGACTCGCTGTTCGTTGGATGAACGAGTCTTTGGAAAGAGATGTTCTGCAGGTCTCCAAAGTGACCACGAAGGGGTGCGATGCCTCAACTCGACGGGTTAATCTCGCGGGGACTGCCAAGGGAGGAACAATTGTTGATATTTCAGAAGATCATCGTCCATGAAAATATCTATAAAATAGAGCCAGATCGCCAACTTTTCTACGGTGTTCCAGAGAAGTGAGTGAGTTTGTGAGCGATGCATCACCCACGAGACGAATTGCCCTTTTTTGGATAGAATCCAACAGTTCCAGGGTACGTTTGGGTGCTGCACTCCAACTATGGGAACAGTATTTCAGGACAGGTCGGATCTGTGCCTTATAGATCATAAGCAGTTGACTGGAAGTGAAATAGCTCCTAGCCCGAAACAGAAAACCAAGTTTTTGGGATGCATTTTCAGCAATTGATCTCACGTGATTTTCCCAAGAAAGGCTATTGCTGATAGTCATACCAAGCATCGAAATAAATGTCTTCAAAGGTATGGTTACTTCTGAAAAGCTTATGTAGGGCACAGTGAGATCGGCTTTTCTAGAGAAAAAGCATGCTTGTGTTTTGTTTGCATTGAAATCTAACAATTTATTGGATCCCCATTGGAATACGAGTAATAACGACATATTTGATTTTTTTTTTGTTGATTTTTGATCGGTACAAGTTACGTACCTATATCGGTACATTTCCCATTGAATAACATCTTCATAGGTAAGATTACTGATGTTAATTCCTATATTTATCAATAAACTATTTGAACTATATTATGAGGTAAAAGATGTGAATAATCAAACTATTGCTTTAGAGGTTAGATCGAAATGGTTCCAATTGAATTTATTGGTATAGTGGTCTACACCCGATTGGGAACAGTGGCCCTATATTCAATTTTTTATTGCATAAAGTGATCATGCCTCGACCAATACCAAAAAATCCTGGTTCAATTGGAAATGTTCCTTCAGAAACTATGAATATGCACTTTTATATTGTAGTATAAGAGAACAAACTTTCTATGAAAAAAGCTCCAAGACGATACAACACTTCTAAAACTACTCTCAGAAGATATGTAATGAAATTTCAAGAATTTGATGATATAGGATTAATTCAGAATTGATTCTAAATTATGCAGTACACCGTATATTCTCAACTGTAGAAGCACAAAAGCGCTGTAATATGTGCAAAATTGCATCATGGACTAACACCTATAAGAATATCCGAAAATTTGCCTTTTCATCAGCAGTGGCAAACAACAATAAGGGTATTCAGCAGTCTTGAGATATTCGCATCAATAAATATATGTTTTCAGTGTGTATTGACGGTATGGCCATTGTACCATTCGTTTCTGGCCACTGTACCACACTAATTTTCCGAAACCCGTCCAACTGGACATTTTTTTCTTCATAAACATTGATGAAACCGCTTTTCCAAATCTATTTTTACTTATATTGATACAATGGGCTTATATCCCAAAAAAAAAATTCATTTCATAATTCGAAGAACTCACCCGAACTAGCTCGTCACCACCGCAAACCGTTTCTTGCTGTGAGCTCCCTATGTTTTATAAAAAATTATTGAAATCCCCGATTTTTCGGACCTCTGAAAACGATGCGATGATGTGACGTCAAAACCCTAATACTGAAACAAGACTAGTCATGACAGAGATGAATGATACATGATTTCTGACAGAGTGAATGAGCGCGAGATCACAGTTGAAAGAATTAATATATCAGTTGCCTCAGTCTCCGTCGGGCGTTTGGTATTTTCTTTTAACTATGGCGAGATGAGGTTTCTACGTCATAAGAGGGTCCGTTTTCAGAAGGAACTATTATTTATGTCCAAAAATAAAACATTCCAGTTAATTTTTTTATCGAATAATGTCGTCAATCATTATTTATGTATAAAAGGATCATTATAAACATGGTTTGAGTTGAAAGTTCTACTAAGGTGTACACGCCCATTCCAACAATGGAAAGATTTATGATTTCGAAGATTTCCTAATGTATAAAAAAGGGTGGCCACTGTTGGCGGACCTCCCCTACCTATACTATAGGTAGGTACTTACATTAAAATTACACAATTTTTTTTCCTATGAATCCCCTTCGTCTAAAGATATATGCATCTTTTATTTCATGCCGTGATCCAAATACTTTTTGTTTTTAGGTGGATGTACTTCAAAGAAAAACCAAATCGTACGTCAAAAGTCGAACTTGCGAATGGCTCTGGAGTTACTATCGAAAAGACCCCAATGGAGACTTATGTTGAAACAACACACATATAATTATTGACTTTTCATTAGAAATACAAAATATAAATAAGAGAGAATATAATAATATGTTGTAAATACCATGTTACACATTATAAAATACCACCCCATATATATATATATTATTTTTGTAGTACCAAAAATCAAAGAATTATAGTGAGATTTTATAACGTTTCACCCGGTACCGATATACTAATTAATTTATGAACATGCGTCTTTTGACAGTTGAAATAGAATTAGAATACAGGGTGTTTCAAAATTCAGTATCAAGATTTTAGGGGCGTATTTTTCAGGTCAAAATAAGACGTTTTTGTCCATAAACATGTGTCCGCAAACGCTTCGTTACCGATCTACAGAGCGTTAAAGTTAAACAAATACACGATGAGACATCCACCAACTTTCAAATAATGTCAAATGCTTCAAAACAAACCTAAACGTCAAAATGAAAATAGCAGTCAAAGCCCACTAATTCGCTTTTTCATTGTTCCGTTGAAAATTTTAATTAAATGTAGCGAATCACAAAAATTGATTTTACTTTTTTCTCGATAACGATCGCAGATGCGTGAAAATTACAAGAGACAAAAAAATTTATAAACAAAACGAAGAATTCATTTCGTATCTCAGAATTCACCAGCGGCGCACCACAAAAAAGTTTATGGGGTAAAAAAGGGCTTGACCCCTGAAAAAAATATCTCCCTGTAGATTCTCACAATCACTCGGCATGCTGGATGATGTAAGCCCTAGAACGTAACCTACATTCCAAATTTGATCTTAATATCTCAAAAATTGAAAGAGCTATGAAGAAAAAAATAAAAAAATCTTGAAACTTTAACGCTCTGTAGATCGGTAACGAAGCGTTTGCGGACACTTGTTTATGGACAAAAACGTCTTATTTTGACCTGAAAAATACGCCCCTAAAATCTTGATACTGAATTTTGAAACACCCTATATAATGAGTTATGAATTGCAGTTTTTCGTGCTTTGTTGATACTGTGAAATAAGATAAGATTTGCTTTGTTTTTGTTATTTTCTTGGAATAATAATACACTTAAACAAAAATGTGATTCTTAAACGCACCTTCAAATTTGGGCAATATTCTGAGAAAAACATTTGGTGAATCCAATTCGATTTGTGATTTGAGCTAAGCTATACCTACTGTCTGATCAGACACCTATACTATCATACTAGTCATACCACATACTTTCATACCTATATTCCTTATTCCTTGAATTCAAGGCTGATACCTTCTACTTTCAATTTATACTGCTTACTGATAATATTATATACTGGTAATTAATCATTAAGTTATCTGAGAATGAAGGTGATTTTCGAATAAATAATATAGTTATGGCATTGTTATGAAGTTATTATAACATATAGGTATTCATTATCGACGATGGAAAACCCAAGAATTCGATGAACAAAGGAAATTTTGAGTTCCAAGATAAATTCAGGTAGCAGCAGCATTATTCAGGGAAAAGTGGATAAAAATAAGGCAAATCTTCCGCTAGTGTTTTATTTCAACTTGAACCTTCACAGAGTGCGAGGGTTGTGACAACATGGTTTTTTCTTAGTGGAGTTGTGATAATATTTCAGGTTTCTTGATATTCGAGTACTTCCCAATTAATTCGATGATTTATAATACCCATTGATTTCCACAAAATTTACCACGATTGAAAGAGGAACACCCTGTATATTGAAGGGAAACCAGTAGTCAATACATCTCCGAACCCAAAAATATCTCGAAATATAAGCCATCTAGATCAATGAGAGCTAAACCATATATGTAAGTATCTTTTTTGATTATTTGTTCATTTCCATTATCTTTAATTGACACTATTAATAAGCTAAATAAAGTTCATAGTTCGTATATACATTTCTTCTGATTGATTCAGTTCAAAATAGTGATCAATAACATTTAGGTATCGATACAGAATTGAAGTTTAACGAAAAATTACCTACGCACGGTAGACATCAAATATGTGAATCTTGCAATTTTCAATCACATGAAAAAAGTCGAACGCTCAAGAATATCAATTATTATTTACCCACCATTAATGGGTGGACTTCAAATCACGAACATAATATTGTTTGGGTCTCAGATTAATGCGATATTCTGTTATTAGGTAAGTGGCAGTTGTTATAAGAATCATGACTCATAATAAATTTGAAATTCCAAACGATGAACATATGTTTCCTTTTGAAAGAATTATTGTATGTGAAGCAAATTAAAGAATCCCAATGGGCGTTATAGGATCTAGTACCGCTTGTGGTGCATACAAGATTTTATTTTTCACGAAAAAATCGTCTTATTATAATGTAAAATCGATTTTAAAAAGCGGTTCATTTTGCTTCTAACATTTTCTTCTCATGGTAGGCATGGCATTTGTTGATATTTTGACGTTTGTTGAATATTGCTGTCATCATTCAATTTAGTGAATGTCATTGCTACTTTATTTATTTATTTATTGAAAATGTAACTTCCAGTCAGAATCAAGTTCTGGTGTAAGGAAGTATAGTTAACAATATAACCCAAAACTATACAATTATACTAAACTCATAAATAATATAATATTTGAATACATTGAGTATTCAATTTTGACAAATCATTTCATATATTCGTGAGCAACAATCAATTTGAATATGAATCTAAAGTTGAGAAAAAATCAGCTATTTCATTCAGAAATGATGAATTTTCCAAGTTTGTATTTGAATTTTTTTGTATTTCTGCAATTTTTTATATTATGGTGAGCATATTCTAAATGCATTTACATATGCATGTTCGAATTGTAGTTTCAATATAAATACAACCACAGAGTGACCCATTTGTATATTCTATTGATTCGATGAATTCATTTGGAGCAGGTGTCTGCCCTAATATCAAATACCGCGTCAGTGCCAGGTGTAGGAAAAAGAAGTGGAAAATGTTAGGTTAGTGAGCATATCAACAATAATAATAGCGATTATTTATTTCCCGCCATATTCCACTATGTTTGGCTCGGTAATCAAATTAAGGTAAACAATATCGTGTGAGACAAAAAAGTATTGCTGGCCGAGATTATTCAAAAACAAGTTATCCAATCAATCAGATTCCGAGAATGAATGAAATACCGATCAAGCAAGTATGTGAATCTTGATTGCTTTCCTGATCAAAACAAAAATCTCCAGCATGGGTATAAAATGCCGAAATCGGGAAGAAATAAGGTATGCGTCTCAATCCAAATAACCAACCATAACAATGTTGTTCATTCTTATTGAGTTCCTAAAGTTCAACTTCAGCTCCTAGGAATTAAAAGTGTTGCCTCACATTAGCAACATATCTATGTTTGTGTCAGTAATAGAAACGTCAATTCAAGAGCTAATTTTGGTATTAAAATGGACGACTTTAGTGTCGGTTGCAGAAAAATATAAATTGTAGCGATATATGGATAGATATGCAGCCATAATGTTCAGAGATTCATTCTTGATGCTCTGAAATTAATTGATATATATGGGTAGGTATGTGAAGTATTTTTAAATAAATATGTGTCCATCACAGTCGTTTGTAATTATTTAAATCCTTTTAGATATGGAATATGATATATCGAAATAAAAATAAGTGGAAATACAAATTCGACAACTGATGTGTTTTATGGAATTACGTGTTTTGTATATTATTATCTTCAACAAATTCGCTACCGAATTAAACAACTCCATATCGTGAAAAGTGAATGTTGGTTTTCCTCATTATCATGAGTTTTCTCTGGGCCTCTTTGGCAAACTTCTTTAGAATGTTTTCCAAAAGTGAAGCCATGAGTGACGGTCCTTGATCTCTTTAAACTGCTCCAAAACAAATCCGTTCATGTGATAAGCATTCAAAGTAGGTAATATTTTATTATTACCATGTTTTTATTAACTCGCTTTCTTGAGTCTGTCGGCACATGCATAAAGAGTAGGTATATCGGGTGACACAGAATCATAGAGTTTTTCCCGTTTTTCTCCTTTGTTTTTCTAGCTATATTTCTGTAATTTGGAATATCGATTATACATATACAGGAAGGCACTTTTTCACATTTTAGGATTGTTTTTCTTCTTCCGGTTCTTTTTGGAAATGACATCAACTTCTGGTTTTCAAATGGGACACCCTGTATATTTTTTTCATAATTGGTTAGGGATCGTTTGAAATAACCCAATCAAATCCTCTATCGTTGAATTCGCCATAATAATCACTAACCGATAATGAAAAAAAAAGGATGTCCTATTTGAAAAGTTCCTAAAATGTGAGAAAAGTACCCTCTAGTGAGCATATTCGATGTTCAAAATTTCAGGAATATAGCTAGGAAAACACAGAAGAAAAGGGGGTATACCATGATTATGTGTCAACCAGTAGACAGTCTACATCAATAAATAGTTATTTATTATAAATAAAAAAAAAGTAGTAGATTTTAGCTCCAGGTTGTGTTGTAGCGTAGGGAGACAAAAAACTGTGAGCTAAAATCTAATATTTTTCCCGTGTATAATACACTATTTTTTCTGTGACAGAAGAAAGGACGAATCAATATTGAGAAGATATTACATTATTTTGAAATCTGAAAATTATCGATGTTTTAAGTTTTCAACAGTAGGGACGCCTGCGTTGTAGGCATCTTTATCATTCTTTTGAAGTAATCAAATATCTGATGTCACTTCTGTCAGTCTAATTCTGTGATTTGATTTCAAAAAATTGCGAATTTAGTGGTTGTTTAGTAATATACGTAACCGCGAAGTCGAATGGAAGATAAAAGGACTTGCAGTTCTTTCTCGGAGACGGTATTATTGACTCATTTTTCGGAACTATAGCACAACATAACTATCAACAGTATATTTGCCACGGGAAAAAAGTAATTTATGAAAAGTGACATTTTATAACCTTCCAACAGAGATGAAATGCCAAACTTTTTCCCCGTCACAGAAAAACGAAATTAATTATACATTATCTGCGACTTATGTTCTTCGATTCCACTCTTACAAGTATTTCAATAATTTAGAAAAAGTGAAAAATCTGTATATGGTCTTATCCTTCATAAGAATTAGAAAAAATATTTTATACTTTTTAGCCTCCTATAAAAACACATTTATTTCTGTTTTATTATTTCCATTGAAGATAACAGATTTGCATTTTCCTTTAAATTGGTGTAAAAACAATGTTGTTTTCAAAAAATTCAACAGTTCACTTATCATCTCATAAAACTATAGAAAGTGAATTTCAATTTCAGAACTGTAGGAAACGAGAATGCAAGGGTCCGAAAACCCGACGAAAAACAATGAACTAAACGCCCGAACAGCATCTCTAAAAGAAAAAATAATAAATGGGTCGAAACTAGTGACAGTAGAGCCCCTGATAGCCTTCTACCAGATGGCCCTAACCCTAACGAAACCAGCTCTGGACAACCTAGAATTCGAAAAGTCCTGCAGAGGGAACCTCAACTTCACCGACACAATATGCGATGCCATCCTCAAAGGCCATCACAACAACTACACCAAGGAAAACAACGAAATTCAAGTGCTAATCAGCAACATGCACTCCTGGCAGCAACCTCTACAAAGCTTCGCCCCGCTCCTGCTGATCCTATTCCTAGGCTCGTACAGCGACAGACAGAAATGCAGGAAACCGTTTTTCATCATTCCCATCGTCGGAGAACTCTTAGGGACAGTTGGCTGCATGCTTTGCGCGTTGAACATGAAGGCTTGGCCCCTGGAGCTGCAAGGCTTCTTCCAAAAAGTCGTTCCTTCTCTTTTCGGCGGTCAAGCCATGATGGTGATGGCAACAACTGCTTACATTGCAGATATCAGCTCCACTAAAACCAGGACCTTTCGTTTAGGTATCGTGCAGATCGTCATAAGTGCCACAGTGCCCCTGGTCAACTCCTTTTGCGGGATTCTCTTCCTGGAAATAGGTTATGTGGGTGTTTTGAGTGTGTCGACTGCCATGCTGGTGTCGGCCTTAGTGTACGGGACGTTTTGGATCGAGGAGAAGGTTTCGATAAAGGCAGTGAGAGTATGTGAGCTAAGTAATGTTTTTGACCACCGTCATGCCTTCGATACTTTCAGGATTATGTTCAAGGGGGCCGCAGGAGTTTGTCAGACGAGACTGGCAGTGCTCGTTTTGGTGATTTTCACACATCGGTGCGCTTTTGAGGGTAAATTTTCGTTATATTTTTATTATTATTATTATTACATGGGAAGGGCAGCAAATTTCACATGAAAAAAAACAATTGGGAAGCAAAAACTGAATGAAAAGTACAAAATTCATCACTAGTAAAATAACAAGTGGGTACGTAGTTTTTAAAAGGTATCAGATTAGTATGGATGTAGTTTTCATAAGGTATTAGTTTATTTAGAGATCAGATAATTTATACGACGCTATAAAAGCAGAGATTATATTTTATCATTGCTCATGTAAGATGGTAGTAGAGGCCATGGCACCATATCATGAGTATATTTTTATATTGAAACTATCATTGGGCACCAAGGATGTGTATACGATGCTATGAAAGTTCGGAGAACTGGAGATTTTTTCCACAAACTACGTACTTAGCCCACTCGACTGTCTTGGTTTTTCCACACAGTCGAGTGAGCTAGGTACGTAGTTTATGAGAAAAAAATCAAGACACTCGAGTGTGCTTTTTTTACTTTCTCTTGTTTTTTGTTTTGTTTTCTATTGGCAAGTGATTATTAAGGAACTTGTAAATTTTTTAGTTTTTTCATCGTATCTCCCGAACTATTGAATTCAGAGAAAAATGTTGTAGGGATTTTTTGTAGATTCTATCAAAAGGAATAATTTTGGTTCCATATCATTTTCAGATATTTCCAGTTGTTTTCGAGATATTTGGAATTATCTGAGAATACAATTTTCAACACTTTTGTTCCATCTTCCAATCAACAAAATGAAAAAATATTTCATGGTTCAGTGGAAGTCGATGAGCTTCATCTATCGATAATCTTTGTTTTTCAATATATCTTCATAGTACCCTATGGGTCGTTAAACTTTTTTTTTTCATATTTTTCACTTTATTTCCTGTACTATTGGGTTAACAGAAAAAATTATGGAAAATAATTTGTAGGAAATGTTCCAGTGGATAACTTTGCACTTCTGATAATTTTCGATTTTTCCATTTGTTTTCGATATATATTGAATTGAAAGGATTTAAAATTTTGATGTTTTGATTTTCATTTGTTTTTCCATTTTCCGATGGATGCACGAAAAATTCGTTGTATGATGATTTGTTGCGTCATCAAAGAGGCATACGGTGCATTCTTCAAATTTGGATTTAGTCTATTGGTTCAGGAGATATGTCGTTTTGAAGTGAACCGTGTTTTTCGGAAAATCTCCTTGAAAAATCCACTTGGAATTTCCCGACCCTGCTCAATTTCAATAGGCTTCGTCTCTTCCTGATAGAGGTTTTTTTCACAAAAAATGAAATCGATCGGACCACTTTTGCGATTTGCAGAGTGGTTACAAGGAACTTCCGGTGAAAAATCGAAAAAACCCGGAAAAACCACCTTAGAGTTTTCCGATTTCCTTCATATTTCAATGACATAATATTGTTTTGAGTACAATAAGATGACAAAATTTCAAGTCGATATGTCAAAGGGTTCCGGAGATATATCGATTTATGATTAACACAGAGTACAGACAGACAGACAGACAGACAGACCACACACAAAAACCAAAGTTGCTCAAAATTCGATAGGGATCATTTTCTCCAAAGCAACTATACCTCTATCTCGCTTAGTTTCCGAGATAGCATTTTTGGCACGGCCGTAGTATACTCCACTATGTATAGCGTCGTATAACAAGATTGACGTATGAAGCAAGATTTCGGACATATTTACAGGAGAGCTCGACACATATGAGCCGAGTTACACGCACTTGAATAACACGCACTAAACCCGGAGCACATTTTGAGTCGAATAGCTATTGTTGTAATCGTCGAGTCGGTTCTTGAAGGCATTTATAGATGGAGCCGTAACTATAGCGCCGGTTAGAGAGTTCCACTCGTAGAAAAGTCTATTAGTGAAAAAATGCTGTCTAGGAGAGGTCCTGAATTTTTCCTTAGGAAAAATACTGATTGAAAATGTTTCTTTCCCAAATGCCGAATCTTTGAGAAAGAAACACTTGCAATCAGTAGTTGATAATGCTCAATTATTTGAACATTTTGTGGAAATGACTCTGGGTTTCTCACTCTGTTAACCAATTATTATACCACTTTGAAAATGTTGGCATTTTTTTTTTTGGTGAATTATTTCAATAGTGTAGTCATAAAATGTATCATCAAAATTGAGTCATTGTTAATATAAATAATCAAGACATCATCTTGAAGATGAATTTTATTTGTAGAAGTATTGATTCACAACGTCTGTACAACAATCACAGTAAAATACTTTGTTTCTGATAATTCAAGTTATTCCTGTATGAAAACATAAAAATTCAGGTTTCATGATTATATTAAACATAGATCAGATACACAGTCCTGATTTCTGATTTTTAATATTTCATTTTAGGGGAATCCAATGTTTTGTATCTCTATGTCCAAAACGTATTTCAGTGGACGCCAGTTGACTTCAGCTTTTTTTTAACAGTTAATGGGATAGTTCTACTGATAGGTAACTGCCTAAAAACTTGAAAACATCATGAATTAACTATAAATGTTATTATTTCAGGAAACATTTTGGGTCTACCACTTTTCACCCGTATTTTCAGAATGAGTGACCCTATGATACTGTTAGTTTGTGTGGTGACGAAAATATTGACAAATGTGATATTTGGATTAGCAAAGAATCCAATACTATTCTATGTAGGTAAGGAATATTATTTGTATTCTTGAACTTCTTAGTATAGTAAGTGATCTGTTTTATCAAATGATAATGCTAATCTTTATTAATCCCAATGAATATAACAGGGAAATAAACTCTCAAGGTATTTCCTACTCCAATTTATCCCCGGCAGAGCGAAGATGTTTCATCAATAATATGAGTTATAAATTTTGTGATTTGTAGCCTCTGCTGGAGATAGTGCTGTACTTATCAGTTGATTTTTAATTAACAGTACCTAAGGTGACATATGAAGCCAAGTACCATAGCCTATACACAACACAAATTGGCTTAAGGACACAAACACTTCAACAAAATACATGTATCAATCTACAATTTTTCATTAAATTAATTATTGTCATTTGAGATTAATTTTAAACATAATCTCAATACTTATATCAAAACTGGTGGAGTCCTTATTTGTTCAATTCATCCTATTTTCTGAGAATACAGGCTTTGATTTCCTAAATTTATACTAGCATTATTCAATTCTCTGATTTTATTGGGAATACAATTTTAATACCCCTTGTTTTTGAAGTTGTTTCTACAATAAAGTCATATGTACTTCTTTCATACCAATGAAGTTTTGCAAACAAGCTTTCATGGTAGAAAACTCAGTTGATTTCATATTAAGATCTTCATATGAATTATAATTAAATATGCATTTTTTTTAGGTAGTATAATGAGCATAATAACTAGGATGTATAGGGTAGCAAAAAGGTCCCTATCCACAAAAATGGTGTCAACAGATGACATTGGAAAATGCCAATCCCTTTTTGGCATCTTTGAAATCATAGCTCCAGCAGTCTCAGTACCTGCATTTAATCTCCTCTACATACATACATTGGAAGATTTTCCTGCAATGATATTTCTCTTCAGTATTTTGCTTTATGCTATATGTTGTGTTCTCATACTGTAAGTATGAACTGAAGATATGAGGCCTGTTCCTTAGTAATGCTAAACTTGCTAAAGTTGATTTTTTTTTTCATAGTTCTCTGTTCATGGCATGATGTAAACGGAGAGTCATAGAAAAAAATCAAGTTAAGCAACATAGAGCAAGCACAAAGGAACAGGCCTAGTATGTTCAAATAAGTATTAAATTTTAAAATTCAATGTGATCTATGTTTCAGGTGGATATATTTTAAAAATAAAGGAACCTGTGAAAAAAATTTAGAAGTTCCTGAAATCAATGAAACCATCATTGTTGAAACTACTCACATGTGATATATATTTTAAATATAATAGGTATAAATTAATTCAAAGATTATTAATTAATCTTACCTTGAACTGACTTAGAACTTGTAATTTGTAACAACTGGATTGATTTTGTCCAACAATTTTCTGTACACAGCCACATCTTTAGTGAGTTGTAAAGAAATAAACTTCTCATTATAAATTGGTGGTAATTGTATGTTGTTTTCTTTTGACCATTGTATGATGTCAAGGCATCTACTAGTGTTACCTTGTAGCACTAAAAACAATTAAGAATTAAACATTGTCATTTCATATGATTTGAGCTTACTTTGGTAATCAAGTAGTGCTAAAAGTACCCCCTCACACTGGGGCTTCATCTCAAACTCAAGTAACATTTCAAGTAATCTGTAAACTGCCTCAACTCTATTGTTTCTTAATGATATTGCAACTACAAAAGGTATTCTACTGATAACAGCTTCACACAGTCCATTATTTCTATTCAACAAATCTAAAGCAAGATTTTGATCTGTGAACCATTCACTCAAGAAACAAGATTGCCATATACATGTCAAGGGGAAAAAGTCCTTGTAACTTATGGCCAAGTCCTCTGTAAACTTCACTATGGTTATCAATGCTGCTTCACTATGATTTGAAACTACATGTGCAATCAGAAATTTCAACATTAGTCTTATCCTCCGTCTCAGGTATGTGTTTTCTGTATAAACAATCTTGAATAGTCTCAATGACTCATCAATGTTTCCTCTTATCCATACTGCCTCAGCTAAATAATGTTGAAAATGTGAATTTGGTTCTAGGAAACTGGGTTGCAGTTTCCTACAAAGTTCTATGATTTCATTTATGGTATTTTTGTCCCCACATTGAGCACAAATTGCTAATGTTGGTAGTAAATTGGTCAAAGAAGGACATTTCTCTTGGTTTATGCATTGTTTAATCAAACTGTAGAGTTTTTCATTGTCATTGACTTCAATGGCATTTTGAAACAATGTATTCAGCTTATCCTCATCCAATGCCTGTATGTCATCTTCACAGTTGGGTTGATTGAGCTTCTTTCCTACTAAAATATTCCTTTGTGTTTTCTTGGCACACCATTTGTTCACTGTCTTTTGAATGAGGTGAGATGTGAAGTCATCTAACTTCAAGGATTCAATTTCTAAACTGACGGATTTACCATGAACACCATCAGTGCTGTAAGGACTTGTTCCAAGTGTTTTCAAGAATCTCAAGGATCGTAGATATATCACACGATTCAGAATTCTACAATGATACAGGGACATCTGGATACATTTCAGAAAGAATATCTATTTGCGATCCAATGTTTATTTATAATTTTAGTAGAAGCAGGTTATCTCATATCTGTTCAAGAGTTTTTCAGTTCCAGCTGCTTAGTGCTTACTGCTTAGTAGCTTTAGTTTCATGGTTAGTGCCCAACTTAACTAACAAACTAACTCTAACTGCTTATGCTTAGTGGCCTCAGTGCTTAGGTGCTTAGCTTACTGCTTCTGTTCTGCCCTTGGCTTGTAGCTAACTTTTTTTCTTACTTCTGCTTCTTATTTCTTCTCTTAGTTCTCTTCTCCATTTTTTTTCTCAGCTTATTTTTTTTATCATTAGAATGCATAGTTGGGTACCTTTAGCCCTAAGGTGCCGCTTGAAAAGGTTAGGAAGTTGGAACAATTTGAAAGTTCTCTTGTGTCACTTTTTTCTTTTTCACGCCATACAACACTTTTTTTGGCTGTATGTCATAGGACAAGAGGCCAGGAAGTTAAGAAGAAAAAGAAGAAGACTTTTTGACAACAGTCACATAACCCTATTTGGATTGGCAATATTGGCATATTTTAAATCTTGAGTTTTTCGTGGTTTTTCATATTTTTTGTATATATTTATGTTGTTTGCTGCTGTTTTCTAGATGTTGTTATGAGTTGTGAGCAACCTAGAAGGTGGGCATTATTTTAAAAGCTCTTGTTTTGAAGAAATATGTAATGCTTGTGGTAATGCTGAAAGATAAATACTGTGGAATAACTCGAATATGTGTTATATTATTCCTTGGAATTATTCTCGACTCTCTTTCCAAAGTCGGAGGAGATGTCGAAAACCATATTATGGTGAACTGTGATACTTTACGAATGGGGCAGTACCTATGCCCTGATCCTGCTTATGTTGATGACTTAATAGACCCCAAAACGCAGCAACTCCATGGATGTACAAGAGAAAATAAAGCTAAGGGTACTGATTCTTTGACAATTCCTTTGAGTACTAAGAATATGTATTTCATTTTGTGTTTTAGTGAGATGCATAGCAGTGGAAGGCTTGATATGCAACAATACATCAAACTCAACATTTTTCAGAGAAATGCCATGCCAATGGACGTGAGTAGAAATAAGATGATCTCAATGTTTGAAATGATGATTTTAAAAAATATTTTTAGGAATGGCTATTCATTTGAAACAGCACTTCTACTTTCTATTTTTCTTGGAATGTTTGGTATTGATCGATTTTATTTGGGATATCCTGCAATAGGTTTAGCAAAGTTTTGTACATTAGGGTTCATGTTTATAGGGCAATTGATTGATATAATCCTGATAGCAACACAAACTGTAACTCCAGCTGATGGATCAGCTTATGTAATTCCATATTATGGACCACGTATTGAGGTCATTAGAAGTGATAATAACACTTATAGATTAAGGCAAGATGATTGGTGAAATAGGTATTTATTTAAAAAATAAAATATTTGCTATGAAAATATATTGTTATATGTGGAAAAAGTTGATAGGTAGTGCTGATGTGCTCATAATAAGTATTCACATTCCAATCCATATAGGTAACAGGTGCAAATCCAAATACTCTTTTTAGTTTCTACTAAGGAAGTGTATAGCCTGCCGACCAGTTAGCAAACTTTACCTTTTTTCTAGAATGCCGACCATTCAATGGAATACATTCTTTTTGTATAATATCAGTGGGCAACCCAAAAAAAAAATTCTATGCTTACTGGTAAGCAGCCTATACTTTTTTATTGGGATGCTGACCAGTCGGCAGACTATACTTTTTCTCTAAACTGCCGACCATTCAGTATTTAGTGGAATACATCCTTCCTGTATAACAAAATGATCCAAGACTGTTAGTAGCTCCGTGTTTTTTCAGATTTTTGGTTTACTAATGGGTTAGTCTGTTTGGTTGAGTATACCTCTACATCACTTCCTTTTAATATTTTGTTTTCTAATCTAGTTTTTCCTTCCTCCATTGTTATTTCACAAGATATTTTTTGATCAGGTTTTTGTTCCACCAATAGATTAGTGTGTTTGTGTATGTATATCTCATTTTGTTTTTTTTTTGTTCAAATCATGTTTTTTCTTCCTCAAAATTGATAATTTCAGTCTACTGATGGGCGGCATCCAACAAATAGTACCTTTCTGTTAAATATATATTCAATTAGGCACGTTCCACATTTTCAATTTTGTGGGTTAATAAGACACATGAATGCCAAACAATCTAAAACTGAGCATCAATTTGAAATTCGAATCGTGAGATTTACATAGAGTATTAATCTATAAAGCCTGAATATTGTTCTCAACATTCATAACTGAAAAACATTGTATATACCTAACCCACCATGCGCCGACCTCCTTTGCAGAGGGTTTATAAACGCCGAGTTGATACTCTCCCCTAAGGGACCTGTCGTGTTTCCATAGAGACATAAAGGTGAATATCTGTCTATCTGTTTGCTTGAGAATCTGGGAAATAATTCTATATATCGCCTTCCGTACGAACATAAGGATCAGAATTCTTAAAAGTATACTCTGGTCAGTTCTCTTTGCGGATTTTCTGTTCGGTCCGTCTTGACTGGATTGTTTTCTCCAATTCATTGACAAGTATCAAACACTTTGCTTTTCGGATCTGCAACTAAACATCATCACATATCAGAAAGTCCATGAGAATTAAAACTGAAGTTGAATCTGAAACATACCTGTATAAACATCTTCCACATTCTCAATTTTGTGGGTTATAATAAGGAACATGAATGCCAAACAATATGCTGCTCGGATCTAAAACCAAGCATCAATTTGAAATTCGAATCGTGACACGTACATAGAATATAAATCTACGAAGACTGGATATTGTGTTCAACATTCGTAACTGAAACGCGATATATTTTTATGATTATTCATCAATTCATCAACTCTCTCAATGCAGACGAAATAGGCAGATGAACAACGATTTTCTCTGCAATGAAAAACACTGTATATACCTAACCCACCATGCGCCGACCTCCTTTGCAGAGAGGGTTTATAAACGCCGAGTTGATACTCTCCCCTCGTGAGGGTACCTGTCGTGTTTCCATAGAGACATAAAGGTGAATATCTGTCTATCTGTTTGCTTGAGAATTTGGAAAGGAATTCAATATATCGCCTTCCGTACGGATATAAGGATCAAAATTCTGAAAAGTATACTCTGGTCAGTTCTATTTGCGGATTTTCTATTCGGTCCGTCTTGACTGGATGGTTTTCTCCTATTTATTGCCATGTTTCAAACACTTTGCTTTTCGGGTCTGCAACTAAATATCACATATCAAAAAGTCCATGAGAATTAGAACTCATGTTGAATCTGAAACAAACCTGAATAATATTTTCAACAACCGTAACTGAAATGCTTCATATTCGCTCTCCTTCCGAATAGTGGTTTTCCCAGTAGACATCTGCTACATTTTGAATTTCGTGAGTTATAATAAGGACCATAAATGCCAAACAGTGTGCTGCTCGGATCTAAAACTAAGCATCAATTTGAAAGTGGAATCGTGAGACCTTCATAGAATATAAATCTATAAAGTCTGAATATTGTTTTCAACATGCGTAACTGAAATGCGATATATTTTTATGATTATTCATCAATTCATCAACTTTCTCAATGCAGACGAGGTAGGCAGATAAACAACGATTTTCTCTGCAATGAAAAACACTGTATATACCTAACCCACCATGCGTCGACCTCCTTTGCAGAGAGGGTTTATAAACGCCGAGTTGATACTCTCCCCTCGTGAGGGTACCTGTCGTGTTTCCATAGAGACATAAAGGTGAATATATGTCTATCTGTTTGCTTGAGAATCTGGAAAGGAATTCAATATATCGCCTTCCGTACGAATATAAGGATCAGAATTTTGAAAAGTATACTCTGGTCAGTTTTCTCTGCGGATTTTTTTTTTTCGGTCCATCTTGACTGGATGGTTTTCTCCGACTTAGTGGCAAAAGTATCAAACACTTTGCTTTCTGTCTGTTTGCTTGTTAATCTGAAAAAGAAATCCGATTTAGACTAAATTCTTGCTGCATTACCGAAGTTTCCGCAATATTTTCATAATATAACAATTATACAATTTCGCATTTTTCCACTGCTGAATAACCCATTTTAATTCAATGACCGACAAAAATGCCTGTTTTGTTTCCATGGCATTTCTGTTGTGTCCACAGCTATCTAAATGTTGATAATAATCATTTGAATAATATCATTCTGTATATTATGAAATTAATCTCTGAGTTGTCAGTGATTGTGTGTGTCATGAATGTGATATAATATATCTAGAATGTTATGTTGTTAAGTAGTTCATATGTTATACAATATAAATAAAAAAAAAAAAAGATCATTCCATCTTTTGTAAAACCTTGCTATCTGTTTCTGCCTGCACATTTCCTTGGCTATTTTAGAATCGAATATCAGAGCTCTGGATTTCTCCATCAACGATCGATTTAAACGTTCTGCTTTACCATTCTGCTGTGGCGAATACGAAATGGTATAGTCCAAAATAATGCCTTTATTTCTGCACCAGTTCTGTAATTGTTTGCTTACATATTCACCTCCATTATCACATCTGATTTTTGAAACTTTCAGATTCTTGGAGTTTTCTACTTCGTTCACATATTCTTGAACAAAATATCCGACCTCACTTTTGTTTGTTAGCAGATACACCATGCAGAAATGAGTGAAATCATCCAGGAATGTTAGGAAATATTTCTTTCCATCCCATGTACTCGGTTCAATTTGACCGCACACGTCAGTATGGATAATTTCTAATGGTCTTGAAGCTCGTTGTCTCTCGTGGTTGAAAGGAAATCTTGTTTGCTTTGCTTGCAAACAAATTTCACAAATAGAGTCAAGTACCTCAATGTCTTCCGATGCAATATTGATTTCTTCCACCATATTTATTAATCTCTTCATACTTCCTTTACCGAGATGACCAAGTTTTCTGTGCCATAGTATTACTTCATCGGTCTTTTTCTTAGTTGATACTTCGTCACATGATGTTCTTTCAACTATCATTGCTTCTCCTGGATCTGCATTTAGATTTACTGTATACAACCCGTTTTCTTGTTTCATTCCTTCCAATATCTTGACATTTTCTTTCTTTATGATGACTTTTTCTTTGGTAAAAGTCACTTCACCATCATTGTCAGTGATGGCATTGACTGACAATAGATTTTTTGTCAAATCTGGCACATACAGGACTTCTTTCAGGATACAAGATTTATTTTCGATCTTTCCTACACCATGTGTCTCCATTGACTGGCTTTTCTTGGCAACTGCAATTTCGGATTTGATTTCTTCAAAATTTTCGATCACCGATTTATTGTGCGTCATGTGAGATGAGGCACCGGAATCAACAACAAAAGTAAGTGCTGATTCGTCTTCGTCTTCATGGTAGGTGAGAAATGATATCTTGCCCTTTTCATGCTGTGGCTTCTCACTATATTGTGATTTATTTCGGAAGTAACAAGCCTTTTCAGGATGATTATCTTTTTTGCAAATTCCACATCTGAACACTTTTTCTCTTCTTGATTTACAGAAACGAGTTATATGTCCAGTTTTATGGCACTTGGAGCATTTCTTCTCGAAAGATTTGAATGCAATAGCACCTTCCTTTTCATTTGAACTTCTATTTCTGGTTTCTTCGGCTATCAATCTTGAAGTGAAATTTGTCAACGTTCTGTCACCAACTGGAGTTGAATCCCAAGCACTTGTGAAATATTTGTATGGCTCTGGTAAAGCTGCTAATAATTTCGACATTATCATTGTGTCATCAATTGGTTGGTTCAAAGTTTTCAATCGGAATGCAAGATTCTCCAATCTACTGATATTCAATGATACATCAGCTGATTTTTCGAAAGAGAAATTGAAGAATTCTTGAAGTAGATTACACTTCTGTTGTTCCGTATCACGTTCATGAATTGAACATAACTTGTCGAACATCTCTTTCGAAGATTTACAATTGAGAATATGCATTAGTGGTTTTTTAGCTACTGTTGTTATTATTATTTTCTGGGCTTTGGCATCCTTCTGACTAAAGTCTTGTCTTCCTTGTTCTTCAGTATTTACCAGAGTAGTTTGGCCACTTATTATGTCGAATAAACCATATGCTTTGAATAATACAGTTATCTGGAACTTCCATAATTGGAAACTTTCACAGTCGGTCAGTTTTTCAATGTTGTTGATTTCTTCGTGACTATTCATTAAAAAAAAAAAAAAAAAAAAAAAAAAAAAAAAAAAAGATCATTCCATCTTTTGTAAAACCTTGCTATCTGTTTCTGCCTGCACATTAAAACCTCAACACTAAATGTTATTGGCAACTTCCAATCCCAAATGAGTGAAAAATGGTTTTAGGAAAAATTTGCAAACTATACAGGATGTCCGGAAAGGTAATGTTGTAAATGATAGAACTGGTAGAGTGAGCCAAAATAATGTTGGTACTTCATATAAAAAAAAGTATATCGCGCTTCGTTTCGGAGATATTGACCTTGAAAGTAACATAAAAAAAAAGAATTTCATGTATATAACTTTCAAACTACCATTTTTTGAAATACTAAAAATGTAACAAGCACTTGAAAATATCTAATTAACAATGGAATGAAAACTATCGATAGTTCACCTAATTTGACTCTAATGAAGTTGAACTTAGAGGACTGATTATTTTTTTGTGATAAAATTGGAATTTGAATTAGGAGTTCAACAAAAATTCTATTTCGAAAAATGATGATAACAAAAATTCAAATTGGATGCACCCTGTTGAAAAGTCGTTGAATATACCTATCGAGTATGAATCGATTATATACCATGGTTCAGAAGTTCTGAGCTGACCAGATAAAGATTTTGCCAAAATCAAGATTGGGTACATTCTGTATCACAGTTATAAAGATAGTAGACACATCGATGTATGTATTTTTAAATCTGAAACACCCAGTATAGGCAAAAAATATGTTTTCATGGAATAATCTCGAATCGTCTTATTTTCTTCTGGTTTGCTCTTTTCGCATTATTTTCTTCTGAAAAAATACCGTTGTGGACGGAAAGTACGAATTTCAGAAGAAAGTATTACTTCATTGGAAAATATTCAACAAACGGTACCTTTGTGATTTTGAAAACATAAGGTAATTAAGTTAAATATAAACAGGGAACTATGAGGAAAATTTGAGAAAATCTCCACTCACCAGCGTGAATAATGTGAGGATTTGATGAAACAACACGAAACACCAGAACAGCACACGATGGCGATGATGTTATCACTGAATTAAATGAGGAACACAAAAACATAATACTTGCACTCATGTTCAAGTGAACACTCCGTTTGGAACGATAAATAATTCCTTTCGAGTATTTTTCAATTGCGATCACAAAATTCGACCGTTCGTGATGACATCTAATATAAGGCTGTCTTGATTCACCACCTGGTCTCGAATGAATGATTAATAGGTTGAATCATGCTGCTAACCGATTAATTTCCTAACAAATGATTCATCTATGACTAATGACAACTATGATGATGATGAAATTATACGGAGAGAAGAGATATATGGAATACAAAATATATGATGAAGAATTGAACCCGAATATACTGGCACTATTATTTCCGAAAGTCTAATGATTTGAAAAAATTAAACACAGACTGAAAATATACTTTTGGTCTTTATTTTTTCAACCACTGCGCATAACTCGAGGCATAACTGCAAAATCAAATTTGTGTTATCATTATTTTTTGAAATAGTGAAAATGTAACGAGCACTCCAAAATATCTAAACTATTTGACAAATTATTCTATGCAATGAATTCTATCGATAGTTTACTTAATTTGACGCTAAATTTGAGAACTGATATTTTTCTTGCAATGAAATTGAATTTTCAATTACTTACGAGCTCAATAAAATTCTATTTCAATAAATAATGATGAAAAAAAATGTCAAATTGGAAGCGCACTATTAAGAGGTATGCCAATTCATTAGTTTTCCCGCTCTTTGCAAATATCAAAACATATCTACAAAATTCCGATATAGAGTGTTGTTTTTGAAAAAGAAGAAGTTTTTTGTTTTTCCTGAAGACGGTTTTGGATTCTAAATTTGATTCCTATTTAGTTTTGATGAATAATATAATTTGAATATCGATTATACAGATTTTTGCCAAATTCAATATTACGTTCTGTATCGCAGTTATAAAAGATGGTAGACACATCGATAGGGGGTGATTGGAACCACCAAAGTTTCCTATAATCTGCAGGTATAGTGAGTACATTTGAATCTGAAACACCCTGTATTGGCAAAAGGTATTTTTCCATGAAAATTTCGAATCGTCTTATTTTCTACTGGTTTGCTCTTTTCGCATTATTATCTTCTGAAAAAATATAGTTCTGAACGGAAAGCACGAAAATCAGAAGAAAGTATTCCTTCATCGGAAAGTATTCAACAAGCGGTACCTTTGTGATTTTGAAAACATATAAGGTAATGAAGTTAAAAGTAAAGAGGAAAGAGGGAAATATGAGGAAAACTTGAGAGAATTTCCCTATACTCACCAGGGTGAAAAATGCGAATCTTTGATGAAACAACACGAAGTGACACGAAACACCAGAACAGCACACGATCGCGATAATATAATCACTGAATTGTATGAGGAACACAAAAACACTTGTGAACACTCCGTTCGGAACGATAAATAGTTCCTTTCTCGTATTTTTCAATTGCGATCACAAAATTCGACTGTACATGATGACATCTAATAAAAGACTGTCTTGATTCACCACCTGGTCCCGAATGAATGACTGATAGGTTGAATCATCCTGCTAACTGAATAATCTCCGAACAAATGATTTATCTATGACTAATGACGATAATGAAATAATACAGGGGGAACAGATATATAGTATACAACATATAAGATGAAGAATTGAACACGGATACTGGCACTATTATTTTCGAAAGTCTAACGATTTGAAAAAATTAAACACAGGCTAAAAATATAATTTTCACGAAAATCTCTAGTGATTTGAAGAAATTGTACAGTCAGAAGTAGTGAAAAAATCTAGCAAATTTCTCGAAGAGTGTTAAATGCACAAGGAGACGTACAGGGTTCTCTACGAAGTTATTAGAAGTAAGGTTGTGCGTGCGTGCGTGTGTTGAGTTACTACGAATACTACGTGTGACAGAGAATTTTGCGGAGAATTCAGTGGCGTACTCAATTTCTTTAGGGGTTATGATTTTGGAGATACATGTATTTTATTATTTAGTTGAATCCAAGGTTGAATTCGTTATTTGTTTCCATTCAAAACGACGCATAAAACTTTATACATAGGATTTCCAGAAATCCTAAAAAACACTAAAACATCAAAATATAATGAATTTTAGCGGGCCATGGAGTTTCCAAGTTTTACTCTCACGATTATTATGTCTGATACTGTATGTCACGACGAGTTTACACTATCATGTCGAGCATCATTCGGGAGAAAAATTCATGAAAATATGCATGCTCATATTTTAGAATACGTTCTCTTCATTTAGAATATTTTCAGCAATGCATTGTTGCCGCTTCTATCAAAATGGAGCAACAACTTTGTTATTCCAAATAGAATACCCTGTATTTTTATTTTCCCTGAAGGGCTGATTTCATCGATGCATCACACTTGGGGTCTATCGGAAATGATAACAGAGATATAGGGGGTGTTCAAAATCGAGATTTTTCAACTTTAGGTTTTGTTTGTGTCGAAACTATTCATTATCGGCCAAAACGGCTCACATGTCCGTATCTCAACTTCTGATTTACTATTGACTGATATTTAATCGGAATAGATACAGCATGATCAGAATTTTGAATTTTGAACCACCCTGTATCTGTTCCGATTAAATATCAGTAAATCGTTAATCAAAAGTAGAGATAGGGACATGTGAGCCGTTTTGACCGATAATGAATAGTTGTGACACAAAAAAATCCCAAAGTTGAAAAATCTCGAATTTGAACACCCCATATATCTCTGTAATCATTTTTGATAGACTCCAAGTGCGATGTATTGATGGAATCAGCTCTTTAGGCAGATGAAATACAGGGTATCCCATTTGAAATATCAATGTTGCTACTACTTTCTAGTAGAAGCGGCAACACTGCATTGTCGAAAATATTTTACATGAAGAGAGCGTATTCTGAAATATAAGCATGCAGATTTTCATGGATTTCTCCCGACTGATTCTCGATATAAAGATAATGTAAGCTCCTAAATATCCTCATTTTCAACACTACAAAAATCGCGCGGAAAAGTAATTTTTCAGAACTAGTGCGGAAAAGTAACTTCCGATTTATCTTGCGGAAAAGTAAAGCCGTGCGGAAAGTTTCATGACTGGCGAGAGAGTCGCGTCACTCGGCGATTTTAAGGACATTCAGCATTCAGTTCATTGTTTTTAGGTGCCAGTCATTCAATTAGTAGCTTGCTGCCGTGCTGCAGAAAATCTAAAAAGCAGAGATTCTAAGGGAAGGAAAATATCGTTCCTGCATGAAAAAAGAAACTACTTTTGAATTGCTTTTGATGCTTGTGATATTTGGTGATATCTTGTGATTCGTGCGAGACACCTCGGTGACGTCCAGGTGACGTCGTGTAGGTCTGCCGGCACCTCGTGTCTCGTGTCAGTCGTGTCAGTCGTGTCAGTCGACCTGTCGACCTCGACTAGTGCCTGTCTGCCTGTCAGTCGCTCAACTCAGGCTCGCGTTGACGTAGATTTTTAGTCATCTCACATCCAAAAATCTCAGAATCTCACATCTCATTGCAAAATTTTGATTCATGTACCGTGAACTGTGGTATTTTGTAGATTAATAAATTACTTAAATTAAACAGTTTCTCTAACTCAGCTCAGTTTCTACTTTTATTACATTGTTAGGAGTTTCTGTGCCATTACATTAATGAGAGTTTGGGTGCCTTGTAATGTTGCAGTGATATTTGGTTCAATTTTGTAAGTATCTATTGATGGTACATTCGCCAATAATCTATATATATTTCAAATCACATTATCCTCTTCAATTTTGTTGAGCGTCTTTCTTTTTTTTTCATGTGAATTGAATTTTGAGCACGTACCCATGCATTTTATAAAGAACCGAAATGAATACAATTCTCAACTGATAATTTCCCCCTCCACCACACTAGTTTTGCTTCTGACTGACTTTGGTTCCAACATCATCACATCAAGCTGTATGATACATACTTTTTCATATTTTAGGTAAGTAAAGAAAATGGGTTGCAAGGGAATATGCAGGTTCTTCTTCCGTAGACTGCTTGAAATACTTGTAGTTATATTGCTCATTATATTCCTCCCAAACCTGCCTCCATCATCTAAGATATCACAATCTATAAGGTGGGTAAATGCTCTAAACTGTTTCCCAAATTATCTAAACTGTAAATATATATTGATTCCAGCACACCAAACTTCAAACATCTGGAAGGTAAATTATCTAAGAATGAAAGACTGAGTGGTGCAGAATTATGGCATAAAGATGAACTCAATGGTCCAGAAGCCTTTGCTGATTACAATGGGGAACTATATTCATCCTTACTTGGAGGTGACATTGTCAAACTTGTGGGAAATCACATAACACCTATTGTCAGAACTGGAAAGCCCTGTAAGAGTTTGTACCAAGAGGAATCTTGTGGAAGACCTTTAGGAATTAAATTTGATCAAAATGGCAACCTCTATGCAGCTGATGCTTATTATGGTATTCTGAAGATAAATGTGAAAACAGGTAATAGATAATCTTCCAAGAAGTCAAATGATTATGGAATAATTAGATTCACAGCAATTTTTTTCTAGGAGAAAAACAAGTCATTGTTGATTCAAATCAAGAAATTGCTGGTAGAAAACCAATGTTATTCAATAGTATTGCCCTTGCTACTAATGGTGATATTTATTGGACAGATTCAAGCACTGATTTTCACTTGAAAGATGGAGTATTCACAATATTAGCTGATCCCAGTGGAAGGTAATGTAAAATGGATGATTCAAACATCAGTAGACCTTTATTTCATGTACTTATCCAACAAACATGAACCTATATTTGTGAATAATTCAAGTACATTGAGTGCTAATGTGAATAATATTTGAATATGTTGAAATATAAATAGGATTAGAGTTGTCTTATCATAAATATACATAATGAGGGTTTAATAATACTTTGTTAACATTCCATTATTCAAGTGTATTATAGGTATGTAATGTTTTTTGAAACACATTGTTGACAATTAATTTGATAAAAATTATCAGACCTGAGTAAATAGTACAAACATTCATTAATCTGTTTGTCTTGTTTATCACCACTGCATTAGTTTTCAGTTTATAAAAATAATTTGTTTTCAATCTATGTTCAATTTTCACTTGTTACTTGATATAACATTTGAATCATGTATTCATCAGTCTGATGCTTTCTTAGAGATTCTCATTTGATTCAGTCATTTTCTCATAGGGAGTATAACTCTGTTGAGTTAAAATCAAGTGTTGAATTGAATATGAATAATTTCTATCAACAGACCATGCACTGCTGAACTTTGTCCATCAAATATTGGCAACAAAGGTCATTGGTTACTTGTTACTTTGACTATTCTGAGTTTTTCAAACAGATGTTACCAGAGTTATTATTTATTAAAACCTGGGTAGGTAATTTTGTGCTCATCATTTTATGTTTCTTTATTGAACATTGTACCTAGTTTTATCCTCTGAAAAACACGAATATCATTATGAAAATGTGAAGAAACCCCATTTATATAGATATTTCACCTCCATTTCCGCCATTTTCTTCAATAGGCATTTACATCTACTTGCCCGTCTTTTTTCATCATTGGACACTTCGTACACTCATAATCTACCAAATGATACATTGTATAGTATACAAAAATTATCAAAAAATATGAATTTTTGACAATTTCTTTTCAAGTATGCTAGAATTCATTTCTACCGGCCAACGTTTCAAGCTTCAAATGAAATGAAGATTGAAGAAGAATATCATTCAGAATTCTAAATAATGGCGGGTGTAACGTTCCTTGAAAAGTAGGTCAAAAGTTCCTTATATGAGCACATGTATTACATAACTGAATGATCGTCAGCTGGCGTGACTGTTCAATAAATATGAAAAAATCACAAAAAATCATTTTCATTGAACTTTTTTGTTGAAAAATTATCATAAATTGTATTCCTTTTTTCTTTATTCGTCAACCGACTATTATACAGGGTGTCCCGTGACTGGATGGCCATAGCTTAAGGGCATATTCCTTCAACAATTTTAAGTTCAAAGTGCCTTATACACCTTTGTCTAGAACTCAATAGTTAAGGAGTTATGTACAATTAAATTACAACTTTGCTCACCAGTGGGTTGGAAGAGGTGGTTCAGTTTTTTGGTCACAGAGGTCACCTGACCTAACTACCAGCCAGAGATGAGCCGATCCAGAATATTAAGATTTCAGCTGCATTCATACCAGAAGAGGCAGGGAGCACAGGTTCCTATAATAGGAAGAGCAAGAATATGTTGTGAAGCAGCAGGAGCACATTAAAAACAATAAGTTTGATCAAATTTGTTTGAGTAATAACTTTATTCAAAATTATCTTTGCTTCATTCAACACACTGGGTTAAATTTAATATTGCTCATTACTCCTCTACTATAGAGTTTTGGATGAAAGTGTACCTTTATATAGGGCACTTCCGACTTAAAATAATTCAAGCATATGCCCTTAAGCTATGGGCATCGAGCCACGGGACACCCTGTATAATAAATTCATTTTCATGTGATAAACAGAATGTATATTCGTTCAATTTACTTTTTTTTCACAGATTGATCCATTATGAAGCAAAGAGCAAAACAAACAGGGTGCTCATTGATAACCTCCATTTCGCAAATGGAGTCATGCTCTCTGAAGACGAATCATTTATCATCGTTGCTGAGACATTTGGAAGCCGAATTCATCGATACTATTTGACAGGAGCTAAAAAAGGCACCCAAGACATTTTCATTGATGGCCTCCCTGGTATGCTTGATAATATCAATTCCGATGGCAAAGGTGGATTTTTGATACCACTCGTCATATCAGCTGATGCAGAACATCCTAATTTGGGTCAAATTATTCAGCCATTTCCTCTCTTGAAAAAGTTATTGGCTAGACTGATGGGTATCACTCAATTACTATTTGAAACAGTGAACAGGATTTATCCTTCAGAATTTGCAGAGCGTTCCATTTATTACGTAAGTTTCTAGTCATGAAAATTTTCAATTTGTCAAAATTATTCATTTATTGTTCCAGGTCGGCAATTTTCAAATGTTTCCTAGGAGCTTGGATCCATCACGAACAACACTTATTCGCTTATCCAATCAGGGAGAAATCATAGAATCTTTATCTACCACTGACAGAAATATTCATAGTATCTCTGAGGCACATATATTCAAAGAACATCTTTACCTCGGGTCGCCATTCAACAATCACATTCTGAGGATTCCTCTATCTGAAATTGGTTGGTCTGATCTAGCACAGAAGAGGGAAAAGCGCGATGTGCCGGAAATACCTCAAACCACGCCCCCTCAAAGACAACAGGCAACTACACCCCCACCCAAACAACAGCCAACCACCCAACCTCCAAAGACAACACAGCAGACTCCACCTCCCAAACCACAAACAACTCTCCCCCCGCCGAAACAACAAGCAACGACTCCTCCACCAAAACAAACGCCGCCCCCACAAAAACAACAACCTACGACCCCTCCTCCAAGGCAACAGGCACCAGCGCCACAAAAACAACAGGTCACAACTCCTCCCCCAAGTCAGCAAACCACGCCTCCCCCGAAACAGCAAACCACTCCTCCCCCGAAACAGCAAACCACTCCTCCCCCGAAACAGCAAACCACTCCTCCCCCGAAACAACAAACCACTTCTCTCCCGAAACAGCAAACCAATCCTCCCCCGGCTCAGCATACCACGCCTCCAAAACTACAATCAACGCCTCCCCCGCAACAGAAAATAACGCCTCTTCCGCAACAGCAAGCCACGCCTTCCCCAAGGCAACAAACCACGCCTCCGCCAAAAGAAACTCCACCTCCAGCACGACAGACCACTCCTCCGCAACAGGCCACGCCTACAGCTAAACAGGCCACGCCAGCTTCACAGGAACAAAACAAAGAACAGGTGAAAGCGGTGCCGGTTAGGGATGCCCCAAGGGCGAAAAATTCGTAAGTAATGTTCATAATGGTACAATGAGGGATCTCATTCAAATATTACTTTGAGAACTCTGGGGGTTCAAGAAAGATTTGTTACAAAGAATCTTAATAAATAAAAAACATCTGAATTATTGGCCCATCAACATTTTGTTGGGATTCCATATTGTACTTTCAGATCAAATATCTGTGATCTAACTAATTCCACAAGTGATATTTCACTGAAAATTAATCATTCCGATTTTTTTAAATTTACAAGTGATAAGATTTATCATATGTTTGATTGAGCAAGGTTTTGTATGGGTTTTAGGGATCAAATTGTTTTTTCATAGTATTTTATGAATATTGCTCAGTTTTTATACCTTCTTACAAAAAAAATGTGATGGTTATAATTTGTTGCAGCTCTTGTTAGATGTTAATATATAATGCATAATAAAATTGTAAAAAAACAAGTCTACATTAAATTACTATTTTATTTTGGACTAACTGTCCGGCCCGGCTTCGCATGGTTGATTTACCCATTTAAAAATAATGAGACATTATTTGTCAGTCATTCTGAGCTTTGCGTGAATCTACATATTTTCATGCACTAGCGGGCGGTAAAATGCACTTTATCGCCCAGATTTGCGAGCGTAAAGTGGGACCATTACCGCCCACGGGCCATAAAGTGCGATTTACCGCCCGCTGTTCTCAAGTCCCTTATATCCACACATCCATTTCTGGAAAACCTATAGTTGAACTCTCAGCTGATTCTATCGTTATGATTATGATACATGTTATTGTTCATTTGATTCCATCTTCGCTATAACTTCCATCTTTGAATAGTTGCTTTCTGGCTGCCTGATGACAATTTCAGCTTGTTTTTTGGATGTATTGCTAGACAACAACCATCAGATTGATTGACAACATCAAATTTAGATCTCAAGGAATGAATCTCTGTTAGTGAACAAAGAGTTTTACTCTTAGGATAACTGCGATATTCGTACGGTTATTTTAATATGTAGATTATACACATAAACATTGTGCTTCTCTTGAAAACTGAATTCATGAGTAACATATATGAATTGTAGTTTGTTGAAATCTAGTCATAACTTGTGACTCGGGAAATAAACCACTAGTGCATACAATTTTGTATGTATCACGTGCGTAAAATGCGTTTATAGCCTCCAGCGTGTAATAGCCCTCGGCTAACGCCATCGGGGCCATTATTCACGCCGCAGGCCATAAACGCATACTTTACGCCCTTGATATGTACATGAATAACTATTTTGTTTTTTTTTTTTTTTTTTGTGCTTACTTATAGCTATTATTATAATATACTTACACCCATTTTCATTCTCTCAGTATCTTATGTAGTTTTTTGGTTGTTTAACGTATAACAAATTTCAAACCAACCGTCAATTTAGTAGTTGACGTTGTATTTTTAAATCATCCAGGAAACCATCGAAATACCCTTGAGTTGCGGATTATTTATCGAAAACAATTTTTTCGAAATGTTTTGTAATGTTCTTGAATTGTAATAGAAAAATGTGTTTTGAAGAATTGTTTTTCGAAAATGAGGATATTAGAAACTGTTTTTTAGAGAAAAATTGTTTCGAAAAAATTTCCGTTCAAATTTTTTTGTCGAAAAACAGAACCGTCTTTCACCTTTTCGAGGCTCTGGGCACATTAGAATAATGGGGCCCCTACGACCATAATAAAGTAGAATAGACAAATAACGTGAAATGCAAAGTTTTAGCATTATTTTTATTTCTTTACAGTTACATTAGATATGATGAATAGATTATATCATGTAATCCACACTAAGTAACCAGCATCCACGATTAGTCCTTATAATCCTTATATATATATAAGTATCTATGCTGATTGAAGATGTACCCTTCTAGATTTTAGTTGAGCAAAATCGTTAATAACATTTTCAAAATCTTTATTTCCGAGCATATCACATTCTATCGACATTAGCGACAAACTATTCAATCTCTCTTGAAGCATTGTACTCGATTTCACTTCTTGCACTGCAGTTAGTTACCATCATGCTTAGAAAGACTCTCAGTGCGATTTATAGATTGGGAAAGGTGTCTTGTATTTTTGGTCTCTTTCAAAAGGTGATATTTTTCCAGTATACTATCCAATATACTATCAGTTTTTCCATTTTCACTTTTTACTCTGATCAATTTTCAAGTATTCTGTTAAATCCAGACATTCCATTTCTAATTCTTTCTCGTTTACGTCTTCATAGTAGATTTCAGCAAATTCTTTGCAACTTTGTGTCAACTCTTCGGAATTCAGAGTTCTCAAGTGAAAAAATAAACCAGACTTCAATTTTTTTCTCACTTATTTTCAAGTAAATTATTATTGCGAAAGGCAATTGAAGTGAAAAATTATATTGAAATTTATTAAACATGCTGCATTCGGTAAGCCTGATTTTCAGGCGAGAGTAGAGTAGCTATCGGGACTAGGGGGCCCCAATCCTCGCGGGGCCCTGGGCACGTGCCCAGTGTGCCCAATGGGGAAGAGGGGCCTGTCGAAAAATAGTATTCGAAAAAAAATACGAAACGCAATTCTTACTGCCGGTTGTTCTATTACCCGTCTTCCCGTAGGAATGAAGCATTTTCCCGCGGTAAAAAGTAGCCTATGTTCATCAGGGATAATGTCGGCTTCTATATAATGGTAAAATAATTTTTCAAATCGGTTTAGCAGTTTCGGGGCTTATTCAATAGAAACAAACAATCAAATCTTTCCTCTTTATAATATTAGTGTAGATAGGACAGGTACATAAAATACATATAATCTAAATATTTTTGGCACTGTTTAAGAATGTGTCGTCCAATTTTCCAATTATTTCAGCAGGCAATATCGCATTATATTACACTACTGAGTCTCTCTGGGTGCCAGATTAATATTAATTAATTAATAATTTGTACAATACAAAACAATTGAGAATCTTCTCCCATGTGAGTGAATTGACAGCTTTGTTTTCTGAAATTAGAGAGCAATCGCCTACATTCCATTCAGTGTGAATACCTATACAGGGTAAGTCAGATTTTTGTAGCAAGAGCAGGACTTCAACAGCTTGAAGAAGATACCATTTTATACAATTTTAATATGAAAATCTCATATAAACATATATGCGTAGGAGCCTATTTTCCAATATACAGGTGGTGTGATATTTTCATATATTTTATTTTGTGTTTTGCCACTAAGTTTCAACATGGAAAAACATGGAAAAAGGGGAACAATCACATACTTTGACTACCTGTTTATTGGAAATGAAGCTTCCACGCATATATCTTCACATAAACTTTTCATTTGAAAAATATGTGTTTTTCAAACTGTTGAAGTCCTGTTACAAAATATCGACTCACCCTGTAGATATTATTGTATTTTAGATTCGGCGTCGATGCTACGGCAAGGGGAAGTTTCCTTCAGATGAATTTCCATAAATAAATAAAATAAGTTCGGAACTCTTCAGTTTTATGTCCACGCTCTACAGTCGTTTTCATTTTCAAATTAAAGCGATTTCTAATTTTCGGGGCTGCAAACTGTGACGTACATTCTGAATCTAGTCTGAATATACCTGATGGTGAAGAATATAGCTAGCGAATAGCTAACGAATAACTAACGAATAGCTAACGAATGAAAAACGAATGGAAAATATAGAAGAAGTAAAACTGGTATTTATGCATTGAAATATCTCGAATAGAGCTCGATCCTATACGAAAATATCATTGAATCAATATCGGCCTTATCGGCTACATTCAATGATACTTTCCTAATTTACTGCCATCGGTCGGAAGAGAATGAAGCCGACACCCATGGCTCCTTCCTCTTGTTGTGCCTGTCAGTATTTGAGTGGTGTGGACGGACTCGTAGTATTAGGCGCTGTTGCAAGATGTAATCTGCAACTTTCCTAGAGAGTAGATCCGTTTTATTAAGGAACGAATTCATTAGCAAAAAAATGACTGACAACGATAACGATAGTGAAAAAATGAGAGATTATTGGGAATTATTCATAATACTTGACAAAATAGGATTGAAGAACCTATTATATCCCATTGCTGTTATGAAATAGTCATTATGCATTCAAAGAACAATTTTCGGAAATTTAGACATTTATGATGCCGGCAACGTCGTACTGGCACAGGGAATCGTATTCTAACTCTGTGTGAATGTGGATTTTCAGAAAGTACGTCATAGCAATGGTGGAAGAGCCAAGTTCCCCTTTTATTTATTTTTTTCTGATGGGAAATTTCATCTCACGAAAAAAATAAATAATACTTATACAGGGTGATTCACATATGAACTGACATAGAGCAGGGGCATGTAGGGGGTCCCAAAATATGGCAATTTAACGCAACTTACCTCTATACCAAGTTGCTTCCCTAAGGAGATATAGGCTTTGAAAGTGAAGTTATAAATTTTGAAAAAAATCAATATCTCCGTTATTCTTGAACTTGAAGCAATCAGATTTGGAACACTTTGTGGATGTATTTAGGGAGTTACTTGACAGTAACTAGAGTTTAATTGAAATTTGTAAAGGGGGTATACCGGGTGGCGCACCATTAATATTCAACATAATTTTGTTAACCCTTGATGGATTTCAAAAATCTTTGCTTTGTTTTGTGGGCAATTCAATTCTAAAACTTTTCTTACTATAGTAATTTTTCTAAAAACCTCATCATTTTCATCAAAAACTCGAATAACTGAAAATGCGCGCTCTAGGTGTGATTTAGAATCATCGAAAATTCAAAAGTTGGCTATGAAAATAAACGTCAAACTTGACAATGTGAGTTGTTGTTCAATTAAGTAATTGTTGTTTGAGTGTTTTTAAAATGAATGAGAAGTTTTCTTTTAACGAGCAAGTTGACATGCTGTTAGTGCTATGCCTATAACTCCTTAGGGAAGCAACTTGGTATAGAGGTAAGTTGCGTTAAATTGCCATATTTTGGGACCCTCTACATGCCCCTGCCCTATGTCGGTTGTTATGTGAATCACCCTGTGTATTAATTTTTTACAAACTTCACAGTGAGAAAAAAAACCTCAATATAGGAAACTTCCCCATTTTGTGGTTGATACCGGCAAAGATGGGTGACAGAAATTTCAATTCTTGTACACTTATATGTTACAAAATTTGTGGTGTCTTATTTTAATTTAAAGTTTCGGGTGTACAAAACAAGTCACTATTCATTATTCATCCCATGAATACCAGGGGATATGGATTTGTGTCTATCTCGATATTGGTTGATATGTGCCTGGGTGTGGTTGGCCTAGGATCAGGTTCTGAGCTGTGCAGAAGCCAATACGTGGTTACGAAGCCCTTTCCTTTCAGTTCGACCTCCCCTCGCAGTTCTAGTTCGAACGTACCGAATTTGTCGAAAATATGCCTGGTAGTTTCGCTGACATGAATCTTCAGTGCTGAAATAAAAAGAAAAACTTACCATAGTGTTGCCAACCTATTTTCATAGAAATTCCCTAGCAAGGGTCATGAAATTCCCATTTTTTCAAAAATGTTCCCACATGTTTGTTTTCATGAGAAATTTATGCCCAAATAGAAAAAAAGACTACTCCGGTCCATATTTTTGATATTTTCCACATTGGATTTGAAGAACAGTTATTTATTATACAAGGGAAAAAAGTGGTAGATTCTAGTTGAAAACCGACAAAAACACTACCTTGTACTCCCGCTTTTGGAAGTGTAAAATCGGTCGTGAAAAAACAGTTTTTGTTGTATGCACTGAATATTGTTCGAAACAGAACAATTGAAATTTCCAATATCTCATTTAGTTTTCGAGATATTGAGTATTCTAAGCGTGAAACCCATATTCAATCACCCTGTATATATATATACCGGGTGTCCAATTTTAATCTTTATTTGGAAATTTCTCGAAATGTATGCATCTGACAAAAAAAATTGACGAATAAAAGTTGTATGGTTTGGAGGGGGACGTCTGGTTATAAAACAAGTTTCACCCCCTGACGCCCAGGGGAGTGGGAAATGGAGGTAACATTGAAATCTTTGATGGAAACCCCTATTTTTTATTGCTGATTCTGGAAGAGCATTAAAAACTATGAAGCTTTTATTCAGGAACTCCTTTTTTATTTTCACAAGATAGCGCTGCGATCTTGAAAAACAATATTTTACTATTTAGTTTGTAGTTGGCCACCCAGATCACCCGACTTGACTTCCCCCCCAGACTTCTTTCTGTGGGGTTACATCAAAAACATTGTGTTTCGCGAACCCCCAACCACACGCGAGAATATGAAAGATAACCCCTGCTATGTTGGAAGCGACAATGCGGAATTTTGAAAAACGAGTGAACTTGTGTATTCAAGAAAATGGAGGTCATTCCGAACACTTGATAAAGTAGTCAAACCCACTTAAAACCAGCTTTAGTCTGACCTAAATGATACCTTAATTGCTGAAACATGCTTATTTTTCTCTTTTCTATGTAGAGGTGTCAAGGTAAGTAAGTTCGTTTAGCGTTAATTTGTCGTGTGAATATCACCCCAATGGCGTTTGTCTGGGAAAATATCACACCCTACACTCTTCCTCGTCTTCAGGGGGTTGAAATGTGTAAATAGTGAAATATTACGATCGCAGCGCCATCTTGTGAAAATAAAAAAGAAGTTCCCGAATAAAAGCTTCATAGTTTTCAATGCTCTTCCAGAATCTGCAATAAAAAATAGGAGTTTCCATTAAAGATTTCAATGTTACCTTCATTTCTTACTCCCCTGGGGGTCAGGGGGTGAAACTTGTTTTATAACCAGACGTCCCCCTCCAAACCATACAACTTTTTTATTCGTCAATTTTTTTTGTCAGATGCATACCTTTCGAGAAATTTCCAAATAAAGATTAAAATGGGACACCCATATACCAATACCCACCAGGGCACCAATTTTTTTCATTCCTTTTATGTTATTATCATAGTTATTACTTACGCTGCCCGGTACTTTCCATTCTGCTCGCGGTATTGACAGTATCGCCAAAAAGACAATAATGGGGCATCTTCTGTCCCACTATTCCAGCACAAACCGGTCCCGAATGTATCCCAATCCTCAGTTTGAGTTGATAATCCGGATTATGTTTGATAGAGAATGACTTGACAGCGTCTAGAATCGCCAGTGCCATAAGACCAATTTCCTTTGCGTGGTTATCGGCATTTCTTTCTGGAAGACCCGAAACGACCATGTATGCGTCGCCTATTGTTTCGACCTATAAAATATAACAATACATGGTGAATCATATTGAAAAATTGAATGGTCTAATATAATATTAAAGGTATCCATATCAGTATCTAGTTAGATACAGCTTTCAAATAATTAGGTACCAAGGATCAAAACACAAACTAACTACTCCACTTTGAGATACTACCCTAATAGCACAATTTATGTCAGATGGATATCCTTAGGACGTCCTGTCGAGTCATTCAGGACGCCCATAGGACGGTCGAATTTGGTATCGTGGACGTCTATGGGACGCACAAATGTCCCTCTTGAGGAAGATCTTGCATTACTGATAAGGACATTCAGTTGAGTTGATGGTTTTCAGAAGGTCCCCAATAGATTCTGAAGAAGGTTTCTAAGAGGTCCCATCAAAGTAGTAGAATTATCTATAGGAGTTCCTTCCGAAGTCATGATAGTTCATGTACCAATTGAGACATCCGACGGATATCCCTAAGGGACATTCGACGGATGTTCCTAAGGGACATTATTTCGAATGTTATACAATACTGGATATATTAAGAGCGTCCGTTCAGAGATATTTGAAGGAATATACACTCTGGGACATTTCATGGTTGTTTAGAAGGGACATTCTGCAATATGTCTAAGGGATGCTATTTCTAGGACACTTGAAATGGTAGGACACATATTTTAGGTGCGCGACATTCGGACTTGAATTGTACCAAATAGGTATTAGGATTTGGATTTCTACCACAGATTAATGACAATAATTGATTGACGAAAACACAGTCTAACACTATAAGATTTCCATAAAATTCTCAACAACACGAAAAATAGCCGGATAATACATACATGAGGTTCTAGTCATGTTATCGCCATCTAGTGGCATAGTTCTAAGGTAGGATTACGCGATCACGCCATACACTGTACGACACTGCCATCTATAGTCAACACGTAAAGACTCTTATGTCTACGCGTTACAGAGTGCTACTACAAGTTCACCATTCTGTTGACAGTTGGCACTACCAGACTGACCAGACTACTTGACTGGAATGATCCACCAGTCCTATTCATTGAACTAGATCTCATAACTAAGAGATTTAGGATGAACAGAGTTGCCCATATTTGTCAGCAGCAGCGAGACAGTACTGTTTCGGTCCACCAGGCCTTATTAGCAGCTCTCGGTCTGCTGACAAATGGGACAACTCAACGCTTCTGGCTTAGATTATTTAGTAGGTACTAACAAGTATATCACCTGAAGAAGCTATACTTTTAGCGAAACGTGTTATTAAAAATTTGTTTGTGAAGTTTTTTACATCTACAATGGATTTCCGTGAAATAAGGTCCTGTCAAAATAAAAAAAACGGAAATGTGTATAGAGTGAGAAGTCTCTATATGAAGTAAATATACGCACCTTATAGACATCATAGAATCCTATGATTCTGTCGAATGTGCTGTATAAATCATTCAGAAAATCTACAACCTGTAATAATAAACATGTTAAAGGTATAATACAAAAAAATATCATTCGGTATTGTGATAATGTACTAAAAAACAAGTGGATAACTCGAATTTTCAACAGTTTTCAAGTTCTTGTAGTTTTGAAAAGTCAACCGAATTTTAGTATGCTTTTCAAAAAACGTGATTTTTCTTCCAAACTATCTGAATGTCGGAATATTTTTTTATGTTCTGTTTCCCACGAAAAGGGATAACCTGTGATGTTCAGAGAACATCGTGAGAACCAAGGGAAATAAGGTAGGAATTTGTGTTCTTCTCAAACTGGAGGTTAAATGTCTCTGGAAACACCTTTCTTGACAGGTAAATTATTGACATTCAACTCTAATGAAGTGTGGGGAGGCTATTTGGACTCAATATTATACATTTTTTGAGCTGTTTATAACGAAATATTGTTTTTTGTCATGGACTATAATCAAGAAGAGCTCGAAGATATTAGGAGAATGTAAGAAAAACTCTATTGGCAAGTCGGGTTATGCACGTTATCCGGAACGACGTCATCCAGACAAAAAGGAGCCTGCAGCAGTGCCGTATTGTGCGTATTATCCATAAGGCAAACTAGGCCTCTTACTTTCTTCACGCTGAACAACGTATATTAGTAGTTATGATTTATAATATCTTATGACCACCAGAGGGGCGCCGATGAGATGCTTGCCTAGGGCGCTATCGACATTTAATCCGCCCCTGGCCTGCAGAACTTATTGGCTAGGTTTGTACGAACCGGAAATGTAAAATATACATAATCAGTTAGAGAGACCGGTTCGAAATGAATAAAAACAGCTTTCAGGTGCTCAATTGAAGTTCAAAATCGGTGGATTTTCAAAAAAATAACAGAAACTTAGAAATCATCAGAAACTCGAGTGGTCCACTTGTTTTTTTTTCTAGCACTTTGGGTTTGGTTTCACCTGCATTGGGGTACTTTTGGCACAAAGCGCAGTGAATCCAACAATGTCGCTGAAATAAATAGTGACACACTCGAATTGCTCCGGTTGAACCAATTCGCCGTGCATCAATTGCTGTGCCACGGGTCGTGGCAACACTTGGTACAATAATTCTTCGGACCTTCTCTTCTCTTGACTGAGTTCTTCTGTTTTCTCGCTGACCAGCACTTCCAAATTGTTCGCGTATTGTTCCATCCTCCTCAGAAGATCGTCTATGAGATTTTCACAGTAACCTCTGAAAAATAAATGTTTCTACAACGCTTCATGAGAAAACTTTATATAGACTATTCACGAATAATTTAAATTTATATTTCATCATTTCCCGCCCTCGTATACACCCTGTTCAAGATAAGGGTACCTTGGAAACCATAATAGATACGAAGATGGAAGAGAAAATTTGTGCGATTTTAAGCTCAACAATATGCCGTTCAGAAAGTTTTAAAATTCCGAGTATTTCCGGAGATATGAAGCCAAAAAAAAACAAAATTTGCCGATTTCGTTTTCAAATTTTTCTGTAAATAGTAAATATGTACCAAAGATAAAATATAGTGGCCACGTTTATACCGTTTACTTTCGTAAAATTAATAAGCGAAATAGAATCGTATAGAGAAATTGAAGAAGAGTACCTATAGTGTTCACTCGTCGAAAACATGAAGCGTGAGCAAAATAAGTGGGCTCTCGCTTAAAAAATGTTACTTTTTCGTCACTCGTGAGCGAATATACCTCGGAATATACCCAATACTGTGACTCACTTCATGATATTTCTCAAATTGAGACGAATGGCATCAAAAGAAGGCCTATCTTCTGGGTTATCATTCCAAGATTTTTCCATCAACTCAACTAATTCTTCAGGACAATCTCTCAAAGTGACCGCTGGTCTGAAGGGAGGGGTTTCTCTGGCTGCTACTCTCGATATAATTTCTGAAACAATGATTGTATAATTTTTTATAACATAGTTTCCTTGGTATATTCACCATGGGGTTCTAGAAACTGTCTTGCTGCTTCATAAGGTCCACCTCTCACTATAATTTCCTCCAAAATTATACCAAAACTGTAAACATCCCCCTTTGGTGTGGCTGGTATACCTGGGGTTACTGTTAGAGGTAGTAGTTCTGGTGCGACCCATAACATTTCTGAAAAACTCGTAGTTTTGCAATTAGGCTTCTGACCATTGAGATTTCGAAATGGAAAACACTTATTAGAATATTAAGCTCATTGAATTTGGAGATTTCAACATTATATTTGAAGCTTTCAGAAATTCAAGCTTGGATTGCTTAGTCCACTGAAATTAGGATTTTGAATCGGAATAGTTCATATATACGAATAAAATTTTTGGTGCATTTCCGGTCATACAGGGTGTTTTTAAACATCTTAAGAGTTTAGTTGTCAACTGTTGTGCGTACACTCTATCGTAGGGAACTTGAGGAGCTATTCAGAACACCAATTAATCACATAATCTGACCAATCACAAGCCAGACAACGTGTGCTTATCGCGAAAACATTAGCTGTCTTTCAAATTTGATTGGTCTATCAGCGTTGATGTTTTCAACGATGTAACAATAACCATGGATAGAGAAGCAAAGTCTGGATATAACCATGGATAGCGAAGCAAAGTTTGTCAGTTTGACATAAAATAATTATGGCAGTATACTTGTCAGAATTAATCACTCAAATATAATAAATGCTTTTTATGCTTCCTGAACGTGAAATAGTCTAGCAAAATACCACTATGTTCTGAATATTTTCTCATATTTCTATCTTCCATATATCAATCACTCACGAATATTCAGAACATCGTGATATTACTATTAATACTTATTTATTACTATATTACTATGAAAACACATTGAAACCTTCTGTATGAATTATTCCGCAGTTTGGCACTTTTTTCCACTAATTTCAGTGGACTAGCTGGAGTTCCACGATTTACTGAAAGTATTACGCAAAATTCACCACCCTCCCCTCCTGTTCTATAAAAAATTGGTGACATTCAAAAAGTATAATCGAAAATTTTCGATCCAATTTGAATTTTCTTAAGTCGACTTGATTACTTCAATACCCCGCACGAAAACACGGGAAATTGGCTCTCGGTCGAATTGGCTGAAATTATACTATGTTGTTGTGAGATGGCTCATCAGAAAAATATCTGAGTTTGAAATGTTTTGTATGTTTAGTTTCTGAGATATAAGCCGACAAAGTTCGTAAAAACGTCGTATCGGGGTAGGATTTAGGATTGACAAAGAAAAAACTGTTTTTTAGTATAAATAAGACAAAATAAGCTAGAAAATGTATTGATCGGAACTCATATACATGTCTAGTTATGATCACATAAGTTATAATAAATCAGGGTGTATACGAGGCACGGTCAAAAAATTCATTTTTCGAAAAAAAAATTCGAGCACTATTCCAAAACTAACAAGTTATATTTTGGTGAGACATTATAGTTTCAGTCTATTGTAGGCTTCGAACACGTATTTTCATTCTTGATAACTATCTCTGTTCGAAATATGAATTCTTTGAATTTTGTGTTATACCCCTTTTGGAAAACAATGGACAGCTTGCTTTTGATCACAAAAAAGGGATTGATTGATACTGTTGATTTATTGAAAGCTGAGTTAACTCACTAGCGAATTCAGTTGTTCAATATTGCTTTTCATTTAGATACAGGGTGTGTTAGATTTTGTTGGAGATTATTTAAAATGTTTCAATTGAATATCTCGAAAACAGTTCCGTTAATTTGGATCTCATTTTACTCACACTATTTTGAATATGTTGACTATCATATGCAAAAAGTTTTTCAATTTCTTATGTTTTGTTTCTGAGATATGCATTTTTGAGTTCACAGTATTACAGGTATTATAGGGTTATTACCTCGGATATTACTATCGATTCAACAGAACTTTACGGAATCCATACTGTTGAGTTTCATATTGTTTTTCAATGTGGTTAGTGTTGTTTATAGTTACAAATTATTGATTTCTAATAGTTTCATAATGTAATTGAATGTTCGAAAGATTCCGTAGAGTTAGTTCTGTTGAATCGATAGTAATATCCAAGGTAATAACCCTATAATACCTGTAATAGTGTAATATAATAAATACTGTAAAAATGATATCTCAGAAACGAAACATAAAAAATTGAAAAACTTTTCGCATATGATAGTCAACATATTCAAAATAGTGTCAGTGAAATGAGATCCAAATTAACGGAACTGTTTTCTAGATATTCAATTGAAACATGTTAAATAATCTCCAACAAAATCTAACACACCCTGTATCTAAATGAAAGGCAATATTGAACAACTAAATTCGCTAGTGAGTCACATCAGCTTACATTCAATCAACAGTATCAATCAATCCCTTTCTTTGTGATCAAAAACAAGCTGTCAATTGTTTTCAAAAAGGGGTGTAACACAAAATTCTAAAAATTCATATCACGAACTGAGATAGTTATCAAGAATCAAAATACGTTTTCGAAGCCTACAATAGACTGAAACTATGATGTCCCACCAAAATATAACTTAATGGTTTTGGAATAGTGCTCGAATTTTTTTTCCTAAAAATAATTTTTTGACCGTGCCTCGTATGCACCCTGATTCACTATAATTTATGTGTTCATAACTAGACATGTATTTGAGTTCCGCTTCCGATCAATACATTTTCTAGCTTATTTTGTCTTATTTATACTAAAAAAACAGTTTTTTTCTTTGTCAATCCTACCCCGATACGACGTTTTCACGAACTTTGTCGGCTTATATCTCAGAAACTGAACAAAACTTTTTAAACTCACAGATTTTCCTAATCAGCCATCCCACAACAACATAGTAAAATTTCAGCCAATTTCACCGAGAGCCAATTTCCCGTGTTTTCGTGCGGGGTCCTTTAAGATATTAGAGTGACGTGACCATGAGGCAGGGAGCAAAATAGGGCCCAGATGATAGTTTTCAATCAATATCAAAGAAAAAATAACACCCGAGCACTCGAGCAGTTTATATCACTCGATAATAATATGTTCAATTCGAAAATTTCAATATTATCTTAGTAGAAATTCTTACTTCTGAAGTATTTTTCGTCCTTTGTTACTTCTAGAGGGGTAGTGAGAAATGCAAGCCCAAAGTCCGAAATTTTTAGAACAAATCTTCCGTCTATCAGACAGTTGCAAGATCTCAATTTCCCGTGGACTGATACCTCAGAATTGTGCAAATATGTCATGCCCTAAAACATATATGGTCTCAGGACCTATTTTTGTTTCAAATGACGTTTAAAAACCTTCACTATATCGTATATTAGGGACATTCTGAAATTCCAGTCCAGATGAATGTCGTCATTTTCCAGAACGTCTTTCAAACTTCCTTTTGGGCAGTACTCGGTCAAAATCAAAATAGTTGGTGCTTCGATACAAGCCCCGATGAATCTCACTGTATTTTCATGAGTCACATCTCGAACCTGAAAAATGAATTCGCTCATACAGTTCGATAAAAAATACAGAGATATAGTAGACTGGAAACTATTTTGATTCATACCTGTTTTATTTCCCACAAGAGCTTCTTGTTTACATCAACCTTCTTCCTGATAATTTTTTTGATTGCTACTCTGGTGCCCCTGTATAAACCCACAGTCGTGAATATTCTGGTGGCTTGAAGAGAAGTACCAGAAGTTATAGATGCTCGACAACTTGTCAGTCCGTAGGTCTAAAGAAAATCTTGATATAGACGGTTTGTTAACTTTATGTGTGGAAACATTATTTTCCATTTTCGACGTTGGTAGGTATAAAAATTATGTAACTGTTATGGGATCATCCTTCAAGGTCAACAAATTAAAAAAAAATAACCTCTGATAATTTTTGGATGGCTAGCTTAGATCCAAAACTTCTTCCGGATTCAAGATGGACTTCTTCTGGCCTTATTCTCCAGGACATATTGTTGAGATCAGATACAGTTTTCATGTGCCTTGGAAATAAAAAACGCACATGTATCAAAACAATTGATTATTGATTTATTTCTACTCACTTGTACATTTTGACACAGACCAGAGTGAAAGTGAAAGCCAAAAATACTCCGAATGCGAAAGATCCGTACAATACGATCATATATTCTCCAAAAGCAGCATGAAAATAGTTAAACATAGTTAGCGAAATACGTGTCGAGGTGTGAAAAATCGGTTTGGTTTTTTTTATGTTCTGGTTCCCACGAAAAGAGATATCCTGTAATGTTCACAGAACATCGTTAGAACCAAGGGAAATAAGGTAGGCATTGGTGTTCTTCTTAAATTTCTGGAGGTTATATGCCTCGGGGAACACCTCCCTTGCCAATGTGTTCCAGAGTCTCGCTGTTCGTTGGATGAACTAGTCTTTGGAAAGAGATGTTCTGCAGGTCTCCAAAGTGACCACGAAGGGGTGCGAAGCCTCAACTCGACGAGTTAATCTCGGGGGGACTGCCAAGGGAGGAACAATTGTTGATATTTCAGGAGAGCATCGTCCATGAAAATATTTATAAAATTGAGCCAGATCGCCAACTTTTCTACGGTGTTCCAGAGATCTGAGTGAGCATATATGTGAGCGAGGCATCACTCACGTGACGAATTGCCCTTTTTTGGACAGAATCCAACAGTTTCAGGGTATGTTTGGGTGCTGCACTCCAAATATGGAAATAGTATTCCAGGACAGGTCGGATCTATGCCTTATAGATCATAAGCAGCTTCTGGCCCGAAACAGATCGAAAACCAAGTTTTCGGGATGCACTTTTAGCAATTGATCTCAAGTGATTTTCCCAAGAAAGGTTATTGCTGATAGTGATACCAAGCATCAAAATGGATGTATGTCTTCAAAGGTATGGTCACTCCTGACAAGCTTATGACGAGCTTATGCACAGTGAGATCGGTTTTTCTAGAGAAAATGCATGCTTGTGTTCTGTTCGCGGTAAAACAGTGTGGTGTATTATCGTGCTAAAGGTTCCCAGTCTTCGATATAAAGTTCTCAACACACTAAAAGCACCACTCATAATTTGACTCTATTTCGAAGACCTGTAGTTTTTGAAAAAATTGACTGATCTTCATGCAGATTTCGATATCAGATGAGATGTTTCGTCGTCTTCGAAGAGAGCTAGAACACCCTGAAAAAGTCCGCAGAACAAAACTTACACAGGGTGTACAGTGGAACCATTACACTATGGTCTACATTTCCAATGCTACCAGAACTAGAGATTTTTTTTCTGATCAAAAGTCAGTCATATTATGATACACTGGGACCTCATCTCGGGACGTTTTCGTGATTTATCCTTAATTGGCCATTGTAACAAAATATCGATTTTTTTTGCATTTCTTGAATTTTTTTCTCTAGAACTCCACTTGAGCTGACTATTGAGAAGAACTGTTCTCATGTTCTGTGGAGGACAATGAAAGACGAAATAAGGACTATTGTGGAATATACAGGATGATAAGAAATCTCATCTCAGTAAAAAATATCAAAAATGGTGACTAAAACCATGGCCCATTCGATTCAGTACATTCAGGCCTTCTCGATATCCATTCTTAATATCAGACTATCAACTCGAGACGTTTTCGAAAATTCGTCTCTAATTGAAATACAGGATGAAAATTTTCAATTCAAACTTGTTTCCTGATACCGATGATTCTTATCAACTGATTTCCAATCTTTATTGCCCAATTATTAGACACAGAGTATTGTTGTTCAATATATATTGAGTGTTCCACAACTTATCTGACAAATATCGAACTCTAGAGAACAATAATGTTAGCATTATCTCAAGATCTGAGTTTGATTGAACATGTGTGGAGCCGAACTTAATCTATCGAGAAGGCGAGAGGCACCCCAAAATAATGACAACCTTATCCAAGCTATATCAGAAGAATGGAAGGCAATATCAATAGACTTTATCAACAACCTCATAGAACCTATGCCAAACCGATTTCATAGGGTTTTGTTAAATCGGGGAGGCCCTCGTCCTACTGAGTACTGAAATTCAGGATATAGAACTTTTCAGTTGGATCTTCATAATGCTGAAGAATTCACTAATGTCATATTTCGCCAATAGGGTTATAAATTTTATTCTCTATCTCGTTTTACTTCTATAAAATTATTAATTGAAAATTTTCATCCTGTATTTCAATTAGAAGCTAATTTTCGAAAACGTCTCGAGTTTATAGTCTAATATAAATAATGGATATCGAGAAGGCCGTTTCTGAATATACTGAATCGAATGGGCCATGGTTTTAGTCACCATTTTTGAAATTTTTTACTGAAATGAGATTTTGTCCTATTTTCTTATCATCCTGTATATTCCACAATAGTCCTTATTTCGTCTTTCATTGTCCTCCGCATGCACAAAACATGAAAACATTTCTTCTCAATAGTCAGCTCAAGTGGAGTTCTAGAAAAAAAAATTCAAAAAATGCAAGACTTTCGAAAAAAAATCGAATTTTTGTTCCAATGGCCAATTAAGGAGAAATCACGAAAACGTCCCGAGATGAGGTCCCAGTGTATCATAATATGACTGACTTTTGATCAGAAAAAAAATTCTCGAGTTCTAGCAGCATTGGAAATGTAGACCATAGTGTAATTGTTCCACTGTACATCCTGTGTAAGTTTTGTTCTGCGGACTTTTTCAGAGTGTCTTAGCTCTCTTTGAAGCCGATGAAATATCACATCTGATATCGAAAACCGCATGAAGGTCGGTCAATTTTTTCAAGAAATACAGAAGTCTTCGAAATAGAGTCAAATTATGAGTAGTCCATTATTAGTGTGTTGAGAACTGTACTTACATACATTATCACATACATACAGGTGAAGCTAATGAAATAGTGTTAATAAAAAGACCATCTATTTATTTTTACCATCATTTCGGCAATCAGGACTGTTGTCCATGAACCCGCACTCGGGCACATCGGGAGGCGGTCCCTCCCTTCCCCCCGGCCAGTGGATTTTTTTGCCGGGCACTGGCCAATAGCTCTTCTCCATGCCGTTGTAGTGGCCGACCACCTCGAACTTCCCGGTGATGGGGTCCAAGTCCAGCATGGAGTAGTCCGCGTCTCTGTCGCCGTTATCATCAATTCTCACTCTTCCTGTCATAAAAAACACCCTGTTACTCATACATTTTAATTTATCGTCGATTCTGACTCTCAGTTTAACAATTTCTCCACATCAGGTTTTTAATTTTCTCTTATATTTGATTATGTAATTAAATTATCCTCCTCTCATTCAACAAATCCGTTGCTATCCGGCCTGGGTACTGGCGTAGAGATGATGGAGTGAATTTGACTTCAAAAGTATATATGGCCCCTTTATCCGATGAATCCGTCATCATCCGGCCTGGATACCGGCGTAGAGATAAAGGCGGGCCTGATATATGTTTACCACACACATTAAACTTCACATTGAATATTTAATTTTCCTGACTCAACCTGACTTATTCCAGACCACAGTTCGCCATCTGATCACTACCACGGTTGGATGGCGAATTCCTCTGACTTTCCTATCATGAAAAACACCATGTTAATGATATATCTCAAATTATCATGCATTTTCTGACACTTCCTGTCATGAAAAACACCCTATATTACTCGTAAATTCCAACTTATCATAGATTCTGACTCTTCCTTTCATGGAAAACATCCTGTAACTCATAGATTTTCCTTTCAACTTCTGTCACTGAGGAGTGGCAGTAAGCGAAACAAAAAAATCATGCATGGAAAATGTTTTTCTACTACTGCAATGAAAAGTAGCGCATTTCACATAGTTAACTTAGTTTCAAAACCATGTATTGCTCATACTGTGAGAAATATTTTTTCTCACGGCACTTTGCCAACACCACATAGATTTCCACAACTGTCAGAAGAAGTTTTTTAGATTCTTTAGTAGTTCTCATTAGTGCTTTTGATAGAAATAGCAGTTTCCATAAAGTATTATTCCAACATTTCATAATTAATAATATTATATGTAATACCGAGATGTGACGATATTGATAAATACATCGCCAGAGACAGAGATAATGGAAGAAGCTGCAAAAGTTGGATTTGTTTCCGAAAATTTCAAGAAAGAAGTATGAAAAATACAGAAATAAAATCATTTTCGGATAGTGTACTTTTTTGAAATACTTTGAGGAACTATAGGAAAGGCGTCTACTCTTTGGTCACAATATTCAATGTGGCATAGAGCCACATTATGAAATGAATACCAATAATTAAGCTACATTACGGATTTTTTGAATAAGTGCAGTTGTAGAAAAAGTATAGTGTGCAACATGTGGGGAAAAGCACTTTTATCACTCGTGTGTTTGCATCACTCGCCCTTCCAGGCTCGTGCCACAAACTTTCATACTCGTGAGAAAAGTTGAACTTTTCCCACTTGTTGCACAATATACTATTTCATTTCGATTTATTTGTTGAAACATGGTGCAGATCACTGACCATAAATAAACAACAAAAGGAAGAATAATTAATAGGTACAAGAAATGACACTTGGTGTATTAATGGTGCAAAATGAGTATTTTGTCATGCATCAATCTTGCGCTTTTCTCCATGCCGTTGTAGTGATACCAACCACCTCGAATTTCCCGGTGATCGCCGTTATCGTCTATTCTGTACACCCTGTAATAACTCAAACAGTTTCCTATCATATTTTATCGCTGAGGAGTGTCGGCAAGCACGACAGGAAAAATCATATGCAATAAAAATGTTCATTTCGATTTCTATAATTATTCTATACTTATAATTTGCATCAAAAGCGCGTAATATCGGTAAAAAGAGATCCTCCGTTGTCTGATTCTGTCGTATGTGTTTGCCATGTGCTTCATTTTAATGTTTCGCATCGAAACACGACCGGTGCCTTTCTGCCTTTACGAGGGGAGTGTACCAATATACTTAGCGTCTGTACAATGGAGAACCGTCTTAGAAGAATGATAATGATTGATTATAATGAGATATATGAAACACCTGTGATTCCAGAAAATTCTCTGGCCCACATCCTCGCTGTGATTCCCCTGCCGTCTCTGATGTCTCCCCCCTCCCAAAGAGTCTCGTTTAGGGCCATCGCTAGCAGAAAAACGCCATCGTAGAAAGCGCCGATAACAAAATTTATCTGAAAAGCAATAACAGAATGTACCTACCTATATCAGTTTGAAAAATGTGAGTATCAACTGACCTCTTCCCCTTCACTGATTGTGTAGTTATAATCTTCCACAGATCTCTGCTTGACTTTGTCAGCAAAATCTTGGAATTTGTCGCTAGTTGGTTGTAGTAGAGATACTCTTAATAGGGCTTCATAAGCTTTTCTTGCCAATCCGTCATCAAGATCTCCAGCCTTCCAGTCATGCTCTCCCCAATAAGAACCCTGCGGAACACAACTATCAGTGCAATCAGAAGCTATACTTTCATCGGATGGGCCCCCTCCATTATAAAGAAGCTGAACCAATAATAATTAATGATACTCATTCATACACTTTTACATGTGGAAGTTCAATAAAAAATCTCTATACGTGAAGTAGGTACACTCGTCTTCAGAAAACATGTCGCGGTTGGACGGTGTGAGCGCTCTTATTGCAGCAGTGATTTAGAAAGCGTCAATTATAATTATTTGATTTTTCAATATTTCACAATTTACTACAAATTAAAAGTACCTAATTATTTGAAGTTGAACTGAAATCACAATTTTAGTTTATGTGTGCACAATTTTAATTATTAAAATTCCTTTATTCGGACATTCTGTTCAGCAAAAGTGTTGATGACGTCATCAAAGTTGAGGATGATCGTTCGGCACTAGCCGTGGTCACAGGAATAGGGAGAAATAGCAGAAATACAGGGCACATTTTAGGAAAGCTTGAAGATATAAAATTATTCTTTATTATTAATAAGTCAGGAAGTTCTCTTATAGAAGATGCGAGGTTTCTATTTCGGTTCTAAAAGAGGATCGAAACTGAGAATTTCCTTGGAAAACGAGATAGATATATCTATTTTAAGTTGATGGATGAATGCTGAAGTATTTCCCAATAAATCAGGTATTATTCAAATTTTTGTAAGTATATGTTTGTCCACTCATATTTCCGAAATTATTAATTCAATTTTTACCATTTCTCTCTAAAACTTTTTTTTTCTAATGCAATATATACAATTTTAATACATTTTTTCAATGGTGTATATGCAACTAACTAAATAATTTGAATCAATAAAACTATCTTTTTTACAAAATGTGTAATCAGGAATGTTGGAAGTTGGGAATTTCCTCAGACTGGGGGCCCGTGGCATTTTGCCGACTTGCCACCCTGTGGTAGTTACGCCACTGATATGAGGAGATGCTACCTCTGTAAGCTCTCTACTGTGTTTATACTGCTTATACTTTATTCTTTACTGAATGAATGTAAACTACAACAACGACGGGATATTAGGGGATACTGATTCTGATTAGGTAAATTTAGGCACAGTTTTAGGTAACCTACCTGAAATATTTCTACATCTAGGAATGTCCAGTCACCCCTTGTCATCCCTAATGCATGAGCTGCCAGCATGAATTTTCGAACCAGTGAGCCTCTAACACATAAAACCACAACTGCAATTATTAAACAGATCCTTCTATTAGACATTAGACTTTTGTCAGATACAGATCACAAATCAAACAGAATAATACATGTGTAGATGTGTAAGCATGTGTGAAGACATAGATTAATTTGTTTAATCTATGGTGAAGATGTCATGTGTATGTTAGGTTGCATATCTATTAGGGTTCATGAAGATAAATTACTGTTGAAGTATCCCAGTTTTACCTCTTGCATACATGCTTGCGTCTCGTAGATAGTTGTCGAAGGATTCATCTTCGTTGCCGTCTAATTCTTTTTCGAATGCTAACATTCCTCCTTTCTTCAACCCTTGTTCTAAAATTTTTCCTGAAATCATTCGTTATATCCATTGACTATGAAAATCGTAATTGTTATCAGAGCCTCGGTGGCGCAGTAGGCAGCGCGTAAGTCTCATAATCTTAAGGTCGTGAGTTCGATCCTCACCCGGGGCACTTTTTTGTTAATTTTATTCGAAATCCATAAAAAGAATAAAAAAAAATGATGTCAGAAGAGGGATTCGAACCCTCGCCCACAGAGTGGACCAGAACGCTCAATTACCCATCTGATGGGCAAGGTTTTTCCTTGAGTCTGGCGCCTTAGACCGCTCGGCCATCCTGACATATAATAATTCTAGTGATAAACTTTCTGATAAGTGAAATACGAAAATAGAAATAAATACATACCTTGCATGAGAGCTGGTTTGGTGGTGAAGTTTTGATTTTGTGACACTTTAGAATAAACTCGTATATTATTATTATTGTTCTAGTATCTACTACCTACTGCTTTTATAAAAAAAACATTCCGAAGGTGGTTTCACAATACCATTAGCTTATTACCTTCAAGCTGGGTTCATAGCACGATTTATTGATTCAATTAAACAATTAACAATCAGGAATGTGAAATGTTTTTCGATATGAGGTGATTTTGGTCTACACAATTCATGAATCCATAAAAATATATACCAATTAAATATCACACCAAACTCTATGTGACCATACCTACCTAGCTACCTACTTGATATAGGGGTTTGTTTATTTATGTGATTTGATTTGTTTGTGTGAATTTATTAACTGAAACTCTGTTATGGCATTAAAATTCAATGTATATATGACGAGGTGGCCGAGTGGTTAAGGCGTTGGACTGCTAATACGTTGGTATCGAGACTCCGTAGACTGCACGTCGCCAGTCGGAGAGAATTTAGAAAGAGATATAAAATTAAAAGTGTGGGAGTATGAGTGAGATATCGACACACCTCTGCCCACACCCGCACTGAAGCTCAGGAATTCCAAACACGCGTGGAATGCGGGCCCGCATTCCAACACAGTAAAATTCGAGTCTCGTTCAGGCAGCGAAATCGAATAATCTCGCGTAGTCTTCACCAAAGCTGTACGCTTGGTAGCAACTATAAAAAATAATACAGCTGTACAAGTTTTAATTGATTTGTTATTCTTTTATTCATTATTTTGATAAGTAGGTATAGTCAGTTCGCTCTTAAGATCTA